GTAGGGTTTAGGGTTGACACTCATCACCAAAAGGCACTTGTTACGTGCCAAACATATCTATAGTAATTTTATTCAGAATATATATATATATATATATTATACATATTGCCAATAATTATTTCATTAGCAGAATCGTTACATCATATGATCCTTAAGAATCTTTTTATTTATTTATTGAAAAAGGGGAAATTAGTAAATTAATTCAGTAGGGTTTAGGGTTGACCTTTACTAGACCTGATAGGTCAGTGCCCTAATAAGATCTCACTATATATATATATATATATATATGGTTAGTTAATAAATTAGTTTAATTTAAAGTTGACAATAACCAGTCGGGATTAATTGTACTTTAGAAATGATAAGATATGTTCTTTTTAGTTAATACTTATTTATCATACTTATATACTTCTTAATTAATATCTAAATTAAATTTGAAATCTGACTTTGTGTATGTATATATAATGTATGTGACTTTTTTTGCATGTGAAGATAAGTTCGAACAACAATAAAGAAAAGATTTGTCGGAACTAAATAAACACTCTTCTTTGATCCATTCAATTAAATATTTTTATCCGACTCCGACTCCGGATAAAGTACTGACTGCATATTCAATACGAGTGAGCAACACATCAATTATAAAGCAACAACACAAAATTTATACTAATACTCCCTCCGTCCCAAATACCATGTCTACATTGTTGTTTTTGTCCGTCCCACATACCATGTCATTTTCTTTTTTTGGAAAATGATTACACACTTTAATTTCATTTTAAATTTTTAAATTTTTTTTTTATTTTAATTAAACTAATTAGTTATTTTAATCTTAATTTATAATTATTTATATCTACAGTGTAGCAGACACGGTATTTGGGACGGAGGGAGTAATAAATTTTGGACATTTCAAAGTCATAGTATTTATTAAGCCGCCAAGACAACAAGGTTCGCTGGTCCCGTTCGTGATATAAATCTTGAATTAAAAAAATTAGAAAATAAAGAAATAAAATTAAATAGGTTGAGGTGGTATGCATCCTGCAGAGGAGACACGCAAGAAATGAAAGGGAAATATTTGCGCGTGTTACTGTGGGGTGAGCTGTGATGTGCTGTACTCTATTTAATGACCAATAATACATACATATATGTGATTTTTTTATATAAATACGTCACGTTTATTTGTATTTTAGATTTTTTTTTAAAAAAAAATAATAATAATAAATACGACTAATAAAAAAAATATTGAACCATACATATATGTTGTTTATTGTATAATGCGAAAATAGATAAATATATACATATATAAACTGAGGAATACAATAATTTTGTCCACTATATATTCTCAATAATTTTTTATTTGTTCATTATTATTTATTATTTTATACAATAAATATGGCAAAAAGTTGTGAAATGAAATATATTGAAACTTATAAGAATAAATAAACTGTGAATGAATGTGATCATTTAACATAGTTATGGGACAAAAATTTGATGGAAATTTCATATGTCATTTTTTTTACTATGCGATGATTAATGTTTCGGTGTTATTTTGAAAATAAAATAAGCGGGTAAGGACAAAACAATTATTTAATTATTCATCTACGTGACGATTTTCATGACAAATATATTGATTTATTTGTTAAATTTTATGCATGTTCAAGGTCGATTTTGGGGTACTTTTCGATCCTATTAATAAATTTGTCGCATGTATTGATCTTAATTGATTAAATGTCTCCAATTTTGGGCTTTTGAAAGCCATCGAAGGTCATTTCCTTTCTCGATTTAATATTCTTCCATTACTTAATTACTATATATGGATTCATCACCATCATTGTATTTGGTCTTGTATTTTAAATAATAACCAAATATGATACTTTACTAAATAAAATAATACATATCAGCCTCATGTGAATTTTACCAACATTAAGATTAAGACATACGTATGTATGTGTAAGTATGAGTAGTCAAAAAAAGGGTGGAATGTTACAGCTAGGAAAAATAAATTGAATTCGATATATATATATATATATATGTGTGTACATAATTTAAATATTTGGATTATAGATGAATCTTCTAATTTACAACTGTTTCAGTTCAATTAATCAAAAAAAAATTGGCAGTTTTATATATTAATAAGTGTGTAGGTACGTGCATTTGATGCAATTGTTAGCAGTCTAATATGATGTCTAGTTTTGAATTTTAATTGGATAAAAATTAAAAGCTGACAAAGTTGGATTATTCACTTCTTCGTCAAATATGCATCAAATAATTAATTTTAAATATATATTTTGTATTGCAAAATATATATATATATATATATATTACAGCTTGCAGTTGCAGGATGGCTGCATTGGAATTTTCCTACACACATTTATATATCTTCTGATCGATCAATTTTGTCTGTGAATTATTAAAAAATAAAATATTAGTCGTGATTTTAATAAGCCAGCTGTGCATTCACCTAATTTTTTTAAATAAAAATAAATAAACCAATACTCCTATTTTTTTAATATTTATTTCAACTTTTATTAACTATATAGTTTTTACTACTCTATTTTTTATAAGTATACATAACGGACTATTACTAGAATATTAGGTTCAATTATTATTTAAATACAACACATAAAAATAAAATACAAGTATAAAATTGAACGAGAGAAATATATATAAAAACTTGAAAGAAACCACAAAGGGTTTGATTAATTGATTTAATCAAGAATTAAGCCTTATAATAGTAATAATTATTTAAATACGTGACTTAATTTGTTGGCATCCTATCAGACCAAATTTAAAGCTGTCTCCTTCTCTGGGGATAAATTTCATCAGATTAGAGGTCACAGGATATATATCATTTGAATTTAAGTATTCAAAATAAATAAATATATATATATTTAAGTAACAATACCGAGGATGTATATAGGCAGGGAGACATAAATAAAAATTAATAAAATAAATTAGATTATGGCTGCAGCGGCGGCGGCGGCGGCTGTACGGCAGCCTGTATTATGCGCCACCAAGCACTAGGTCCGAAATCCAGGACGCGGATCCGGATCCAGTTCCATGGTCAATTATATATGCTCCATATATATAAATATATATTATAAAAAAAATGTCACTATATGACCAATTAATTACATATTACTGTGTGTATTTGCTTTTATTTCTACTATTATTTCTGATAAGCTTACTTACTAATATAAATATACGTATTTTATTAAAATAAAAATAAATAAATATTTTTATAATTTTCAAAAACTTAACAACTAAAGAACACCAACCTCTATTTTTTTATGTATAAATTTTAATAATCTTATTTTCTATGTATATGTTATCTATAAAAAAAATAAAAAATAAAAATAAAAACAATGTCTGATATCATATTTAGAAGATATTTGAAGATCTACTTAAAATCGATATTTTTAAGTGGAATAATTCTTTATCCTTATATCTAAGAAAGGAGTTACCATAATTTTTTTATATTGACTATAATATTCAATAAATTTGAGTTTTGAATATAGTAAGAATTTTAAATTAGAATAGTTTTATGATGTAATATGTTAAATATTTAATTAATTTTAAATATAATATAAAAAAATATATATTCAATTTGACATTGTGAAAAAAAAAAAATTGATAATAAAAAAAAGTAGAAAATCTAAAAAGAAAAAAGAAAAAATCCAAATAAATACAGCCATATATAATGTGTCAATTAATTAATGAATTGGGCATGCAGGAATTACTGATCAGTAGAGTGAAGAATTAAAAAAGTGACTTGCATGCATGCATGGGCCCTCCATTCACATTCCACTTGCAATACTATATAATAAAATTATTATTAATTTATTACAATATATAAAAATGAGTGTAGATGAAATTAGGATGAGATTAATGTGTCGGGATCCTTGCGGCAGAGCCTACTCATTTTCTGGATTTTTTTTTTTTTTTTTAATTTTTATAACGGGTTAGATGTGATATATTAAATATTATTTTTAATATTTCAAATAAAACTATTTGTCAAAATTACATGATTATATATATATATATATTTTTGTCTTCTGTTAAATTTAGCCACAATTCATTTACAATAAATAAAAATTTTATTTATCCACCATTTTATTAGGCTTTAACTAATAATAGTAACAAATTTGTGATAAAATATTCATTATATATTGCCATATTTTAATATACTATTGGATAACGTGATATTGTTTTATTTTATTTTACTTTTGATGTTTTTTCGACAATATTTTTAAAAAGAAATAAAATAATGATTATAAAAAAAGTTTTTAAAACTACAAAAAGAACAATTTATACCACTATTAATCTTTCTTTTTTTTATTTCAAAAAAATATTAATTAGTTTTGATGTGAAAATTTATGTTTTGGATGGAATTTAAATGGAAAATATGTTTGTGTCATATTTTTATGTTAACAAAATGATTTATTGATTTTGATGTATGTGGGCTATTTTATAACTATTTCTAATTTTCAAAGCCCAATTGAGACCCAAATATGAGAAGGATTTGCTTTTTGAATTTAAATTTAAATAATATTTTATTATGATATTTTTTAAAAAATAATAATATCTTTTTATTAAAGATTATAGAAATAATTGTAATTTTTGTTTGAAATAAAAAAACAAACAAATCTTTTAATTTTTTTCGTGCAAATTGTTTTCCGCTTTATTTAGCAAAACATTTTTAGAATAGTAAAAAACTCATATCCAAGGTACTATAATTGTGAGAATATATATATTGATGAGATATATCTGTATAAATAAATAATTTCCGTAAGGAATGACCCGGTGCTGTAGGAGTTGGATTTATGACCGTGAGATTATGAATTTTAGGTTCGGTCGGAGTTTACCCAGTGCGCACTTTCGGATAGTAACTACGGATTCTCGTGCCATCCGAAATATATATATATATATATGGAAGAGGAATAGTTAAATATAGTGCATAGATCTTACAGAAATTCTATATAATATATAACCTCCTATGTATCTATTCCAATACTAGTGGATATTATTAAAAATAACAATGAAGGAATGTTTGAAAATATGATATTTTTGTATGTATATTTAATACATTGTTTTTATTAAAAATGACGCTAAGCTATACATTAATATAGTAAGAACAAAAAGATGAAATTAAAAATAAAAAGAATAAAAGCAGAGGAAAATGATTTCATGTGTGAGTAGGCCTCCAAGGGGTTGTGACAGCGGCCGGCGATAGTGCCGGGGCCGGCATGGTATCGAACATCTCCCACTGCATTGTTATTACAACAGGGCCGCGGCCAGGGGCCGAGGCCTGCTGACATTGCTCCGGCAAATAATAACTCCGAATTTCTTGTCGCTGTTCATATGGTTCGTGCTCGACTAAATTCTTACCATTTTCCGGCGTCAGGACATGGCGCTTGCCCGAGTTTCTTACCTTAAGCATCTCAAGAGTCTCAACATAGCTCTGCGCTCTTTTCACCTAAAGTTTTCAAATTGGATCAAGCTAAAAATGGCGGATTGAACTAAGTTTTCTTCGAATCTAACATCCTCGAATCAATCAAATTCTTACCTGCATTTTCCTCTGCAGTTTGACATCGCCATCGACAACGATCTCGTCCAATTTAAGCAACTGATTCATCAAAAGTTCGATCAGATTCACCACGTCCTTTTCAGACACTTGCCCCCCTTTCGAAAATGTCGACTCGAGAGCAGACACCTAAGGCAGTTAGATTAGATCACATCAATTTTCATTATTACATATTTTGGTTAATGTGATAAATCGTTGATTAGTTCATACCTGTGCAGCAATGATGTCGACTTCCAGGCTGATTCGTGATATGCACTTTGCAGCCTTCTCCATTTTAGCGTTTTTCTTCATCTGTAAATAGCGCTTTTCTTTGCATATTGGATCCTCTTGAAGGACGATTTTGGAATTGTTCTTCACCCCTGCTATGTCCAGATACGCCATAGATTCCCTCTCCTTGTCCTTGTAATAAACCTTCTGATCCTCGTGGTGCAATCCTGTTCGCCCCGACAACATTTTCTTCAATTCCCCTGTAAGAATTGTTCAAATCGATGAATAATAGTAGGAGCTTCGATTGAATTTGAAGTAGTCGGAAACGGTTGGATTTAATCACCAAATGTAGCTCGGGAGCTGATGTTCACTTCGTGGTAGGTGGAGCCGTACTTCACGCGCAGGCGAATAGTCGGCGGCGGCGGCGGCGCGTGGCTTTGGTGTCTGTTTTGGACAAGCATTCCGCCCGGCCGAAGCTCCCACTCATTCTCGCCGCCGACGACAACACCGCCATTATTCCTACCTGTCCTCATTCGCATCATCTTCTCGTGTAAAATCGATAACCTAGGTTGTAACAAAATCTGATCGATTTCGAATTTAGAACTCGGCAGAGACTCGTAAATCTCGGAATTACACAAATGCAATGACGCGTCGGTGCTAACAATACCTGTCAGTTCTTACAGTAAGACTATTTTTCGTTCCTAATCGCCGACAGATTAGATTCGCTTCTTCAACCTTCAAATCTTCGAACAACCTCGTGTGGAACTCCCAATCGTCCAGATTCGAGACACCCGTGCAATATCAATGTCCGCCACCAGAATCAAAACCAAATCTGAGAATATTTTCAATCTCCGAATTCTGAAAGAACAGAAAGTGCGAAGAAAATGGCTCAACGAAAGCATAAGTATAGCAGTTGGACATGAACCCTAAACTGGAATGATTACGTAGAGTAGGAATCAAAAGATGGCACGTGCCATTTCTGAGGGTGATTTGGGAATTTCACGTTACGGAGTGCGGTGGGTCCCGCCGGGAAAAGTCTCAACAAAATATTAGGACAATTGTCAATTACAGTTGTGATGATGTTAACGGCGACTGGTAATTGCCGGTAGACAATCTTAATCGGACGGTCGCAGGCTGATCTCAATTGCGAATGACCATTTTAAAAAAATAAAAGGCTTAAAGATGACATTTCTAAAATATATTTAATGAAAAGAAATATTTGTTTTAGATAGACGTGAAGTAAAGCAACAGCAATTTCCGTTACACTGATTTCAGTTGGACTAACCAAACAAGGCAGTACGTGACGCGCACGTGTTAGAAATAGTGGCAGTGTGTCCACTTCCCAAGTTCACTTCTACACTCGATCTCCACCGACACATTTGAACCGTCCGATTAACGCTAAGGATTTGACACTGACCGTAGATCCATCGGCTTGAAAAAGAAAATAGATTAAGCTGTGGGCCACGGGCCCGTCCTGGATCAGACCCAGTTTGTTGTAATAGCAGACCTTGGCCCACTTTTAATAATTTTGTACGGCCCACAAAGCAATTCGTTTCTAGCCCATATAAAATTGGGCCGAATTATATTCGTTGTCCAGGCTAGTTTTCTTTTATATACTTTTCCAAGGAAGCGACCAACTATGTAAATTTATATAAAATTTCATAATTATATGCCTAACATCATTATTGAACATTATCATTATATTATTTGCTAACAAGATACAATGAAGCTATTGTTTGATGTAAAAGTAACTTTTATTTAAATAAAATAAAATTATAAGATTATAAATATTTTTTTAATAAGTCTATCTATCTCCACTTTCTTTCTCGTCGCAACATCAGATTTTTACTTCTACCTGCGGAACTCCAAACAATACAGGCATACATTAAAGCATAAACGCCTTATCTATCTCCGCAGCCATGGCTGCTGCTGCACTCGGCTGCAATTTCCACCTCAAACTCCACGAACCCTACAAATTTGTCAGAAGAATCCCAACCACCATCTCCTGCTCTCAGTCTCAGAGCAACATTAAGGTAGAAACTTCCTGCGCACGTTTTTTTGCCCTATTTTGTTGTTTATAATGTGAAAAAAGAAATCTAGGTTGTAATAAACGGGGCAGCCAAGGAAATAGGAAGAGCAGCAGTGGTTGCAGTGACCAAGGCAAGGGGAATGGAAGTAGCCGGCGCAGTCGATTCTTACTTGGTCGGAGAAGACATTGGAAAGGTTCGAATTCGATTCTGCCCTTGCAATTTAGTCCTCCAACTTTCGATTCAATTCAATTTGGTGAATGTGGCTTCTTTAGGTTTGCGACATGGAAGAGGCTTTGGAAATTCCCGTAGTGAATGACCTTACAATGGTCTTAGGTTCCATCTCTCAGGTAATAACTTTACAAGCTTTATTCTCGAATGAAATCCGCCATAACTTCTAATGTTGGTATAGTCAAAAGCAACCTCTGTCGTTGTGGACTTCACCGATCCTTCAGCAGTTTATGAAAATGTCAAACAGGTAAAAATCATACTCTCCTATACATACATACAGATATATGTATAGATTTTGAGTGTGGAATTTGATCAGGCAACGGCATTTGGAGTGAAGAGTGTAGTCCATGTTCCTCGTATGAAAATGGACACTGTTTCTGCATTGTCGGCATTCTGTGAAAAAGCAAGCATGGTGAGCATACAGGGTGAGATTGATGAGAGCCTATACTTACTTACATACATACATACATACAACACACACATAAATATATATATATATATTGGCTCTGTTTCACCTAAATTGTTCTAAAAGAATTTTGTAATAGATTGTGGTGTGCGGTGGACTCGTAACATTGACGTACTTATTTTTATAAGATATTGTATTCGATTGGATTCCAGTGTGCAATTTGTTGAATTTAATTACGAATCCGTTGTGTATGTTAACGACATGAGTTAAAAATGACTGTAGGGGTGCGTCGTGGCGCCAACGCTTTCCATTGGATCGATACTCCTCCAACAAGCTGCGATAACCGCCTCTTTTCACTACAACAGTGTCGAGATCATCGAATCCCGGCCTCGCCCCGCTGTAAGAACTCCAATCCAATTCGAATTAAGGCTGCTGATCCATTCATTGATTAGTTCATAAGATCATTGTAAGATTGCAACGATCCTTGCCCGGACAGGATTTCCCGTCGCAGGAGGCAGTGCAAATAGCTAACAACATCAGCAACCTAGGCCACATATACAACAGAGAAGACATTTCCACAGATACTCGGGTCAGTCTGTCCTAAAATCATTTAAAATACAACAGATGGATCGATCCCATCGATCAAATCCTATACATAATCGAAATTTCAGGCGAGGGGTCAAGTAGTCGGGGAAGATGGAGTGAGGGTGCACAGCATGGTCCTTCCCGGCCTCCCCTCCAGCACAGCAGTCTACTTCTCCCGCCCCGGCGAGGTCACTTTTTTATTTTTTATTTTTAATTCTGAAAAGCTCGAATTTAAGACAACCTAAGATGGTGATCCATCAAATCCAGGTTTATACGGTGAAGCACGACATTACAGACGTGCAATGTCTCATGCCGGGGCTCCTCCTCGCCATCCGAAGAGTTGTCCGTCTCAAGGTAATGGCCAATAATCTTACCTACGAACTTATATAGAATTAAATAAAGAATAAATTGATTTGATGTGTTGTTTCTTGTCTTGGATTTGCAGAGCCTGGTGTATGGCTTGGAAAAGTTCCTGTAAATAATGCTTCTTTTTGTTATTAACAAAGAAAAAATATATATATATAGTATTTAACTATTATGTTTCGATGAATATTTATTTATTACAAATGTTACACTCTCATTATTATTGGTCGTTATTCTCTTTAATTGCTAACTAGAGTATTCATAAATGCGCTCGTTAACTCCAATGAAATTAATTTTAGCAGAGGGAGTATCGGTTTAGCAGCGGCAGTTAGAAATTAATGCTTCTTTTTACCTTCATTTTGCTTCTTGTTTGCTTTTTGATGGACAATGATCAAACACAATTTTAATTTATAAAATCAAATACCAATTCAAAATAATTTACAATATATAATAACAAATAGTACATGATATAACAAAAAATATATATATATATATAGTTCATAAGGAATGACTGGGGATTTAGAAATTAAATTGGTGATAGTGAGATTATGGATTCAAACTCTTCATTACCTGCAAATGCACTTGCCAAACATGGTTTTGCATGCAAATACAATTTATGTTTAAAGTAAAAACTGATATACCAAGAGATTTTTTTATATATTTAATCAGTACTATGTAGCCAAAATATATATAAATATATTCTAACATTAGTAAAAACTAAATTTAGCAAATAATTTGACATTATATCCAAAAGATGACTTAATAAGGTGGGATAAATAGTTGAAACCTATCTAATAATGAAAAAAGAAAAAAGAAGAGAATTTGTTTATATTTTTATCATTAAAATATTACATTCATAAGATTTTATTGATAACTTTCTCAACAAAATTTTATAGCAAACATAAACAGTAATCCAAACCAAAACCCACCCCAAAAATTTGACCCAAGTCCAAACGATGTCGTGTCGCCACCGTTGATTCAGCACCGACTGCACCCACCAACCGGTGACGGACACCTGCCGGTAGTCCCACAATAGTGTTGCATCTTTCGACTGGCTATAGCCGGTGGGACCCCGCCTTGGACTCCCGCTAGGTATATAAACCTCGATCAGGAGCAGATGAAAAGTCCCTTAGAAAAAAAACTCCTCTTTCAGGGAACTTCTCAGGGATTTTCTTCATCTGTTTCAGGTTTGCGGATGCTGAGATTATTAGTCGATAATTGATGTATGTAGCCGAATTGCCTTTGAAAGTAGAGAGATTTTTGTTAATTTGCCTTTTCCCTGTCTTGTAATTCAAAATGTTGTGTTTCGGTTAATGATTGTAATTAAGGAGGGTTTAGGATGATCCCAATTGGAATGGTTTTGGTCGTACACACTGGAAATGGCTTCTATTAGATGGAGTCTGCATGATCATAGTGAATTTAAGTTTGATCGCCTGGTTTGGTTGTTTGATATTGAGTTGCTACGATCCAGCGCGGATTTTTGATACATTGCGTTACTTATTTTACCGAATTGATTGATTTTCCTACTGTTGATTTCATTCTTATCGATCAAGTGATAAAAAAATGTGCTTTATTTGGTATGGGTTTAGTCATAGTATCTATGGGTTAGGGTTTTATGGGACAATTGTTTGCGATTTGAAGATGGGATTGAGGGTATTTGCTTTGCGACTTTCTGCCCCATTTATGTTATATTTGCTTATATTTTGATGGTGTTTTAGGTTAAATACGCTTGGAGATATTATGCCTCAGATGGTTATGCCTGGATTTCATTGACAGAATCCAAGAGGGTATCTTTTTGGAAATTTATTGTGACTGGCACAGCTTGATATGCCGGGTGGTGGTGAGGAAAGGAGATATGTTTTTGTGTTGACCAGATTTTGGATTCGTGGGAAGGAGAGAAAATTTTCTTCTAATCTAGCTTGAATATTGTCTTCTGTACATAATTTGTAACGGTTCAAACCAATGCCCCCTTCTCGGGTGGCGAGAGGAGCTGCAGAATCATCTTCTAGTTCAGATTTATATTTCCAGGGAGAAGGACGATTCCCAAGTGCCAGAAATTCTCAATTTACTTCAAATTGTGGGAATACTTTGAATTCAGTACTACCTGGACATGCAGGTGCCAACATGGCTCCAATTCCAGGAGATGTTGGCAATGCAGCTTTAAATAATGTGCTGAGCTCTGTGTCTAGAGCTGGGGTAAATTATTTGGGTACTGGTACAAATTCAGGGCTTTCAGGAGGTCCCAATCTGCAGAGAAATGCTAGTTTTAACACCGATTCGCAGATGCTCACACCCACGTCGCCAATGTCCTTCACATCTATTGCTAGGGACGGACCCTTAACTGTGCAGGACAGATCCAATCAAGAGCTTGATTCGCAAGTTCAGCAAAGACAGGAGAATCAAGGAGCTTCATGCCCCTCTTCCTTGCCCATATCTCGAATGGGGCAACTTCAAGTGCCTGCTGGTCCACGGGAGCGTAGTCCTTTAATTCAGGACCCATTTTGCATGTCTCATTTGCAAAAGAAACCTCGCTTGGATATCAAACAGGAAGATGTTTTGCAACACCAGGTTTTGCATCATCTGTTACAGAGGCAAGATGCTATGCATTTACAGAACTCCAATCCTCAGTTACAGGCTCTTATCCAACATAGATTGAGGCAGCAACAGGAACAGCAACATCTTCAGTGTATGTCTCCAATGCAGCGCTTGCAGTTCTTGCAGCAGCACCACCAGATAAGACCTCAGGTTGCACCACAGGGACTGCAGTCTGCATTAGGAACAAAACGCCCATACGATGGTAGTGTATGCTCCAGACGACTAATGCAATTCCTCTATCATCAGAGGCAGCGTCCTGTAAGTAATTAATTGGTTACATTTCACTTGGTCTCATAGCATATGGTCTTTGTTTATGAAGTTTATTTATTTGCTCCAATATATGCTATGGCTTAATTTCATTGAATCCAATTGACCATGGAGCTGATTTTCATTTATGATTTGACTTTAAATTTGTTAGGATAATAGTCTTTCTTATTGGAGAAATTTTGTTGCTGAGTATTACTCTCCGCGCGCAAAGAAGAAGTGGTGTCTATCCTTATATCCTAACGTGGCTGGAGTATTCCCACAGCCAGGGGTAATTTTTTGTGTTACAGCTTAGTTTTCCATAAATCATTGCAGTTTATGAATTCATAATTTACGTATTTGTTTTTTCTATTTTGGCAGGATGTATGGCAATGCGGACTTTGTTGTTCAAAACCAGGAAGGGGATTTGGTGAGTTTATGAATTCGTAATTTACAGTTTAGATATCTCCATGATATTTTTATATCCTTCATATAATAATTAGCTCATCTAAGTCATTCCCAAGGTTTTTTTGGTTAACAATGCATATGATCTGTGAAAAAGAACTGCCCCCATTTTCTGTTTCTGTAATTTATAATTGGTGATATCTAGAAACTGCCTTCATTTATAATTGGCTGAGATTTCTGCCCGGTGCCCCATCTTAGTTTTCCTTAAATGGAACATTATTGCCACGTGTTATCTTATTCAAATTTGCAGTTGGAAAAAGTTAATCATTTACTTATTAAGACAAAGATTCAAGAGAAATATATGATCCTTGTTCAGCTTCTTAATGTGAAAAAAAACCCAAATCAAATTATAGTTCCTGTGTTGATCAAATCATTAGTTCTTGTTTCTTTGAGGTTTCATTTGGGTTTGAAGGTTTGAGTTTTTTAATTAAATAATTTTTAATGTAATGTTTTGTGAGAATAATATATATACATATATATATATTTTTAAGAACTAGGAGTCCAAAGTAAATCCAAACCTTAAAGAAATACATAATAAGGTGTCTCCTTGACTGAGGTTATAAGCCATCTAAACGTGTTTGCTCAACAAGGATTCAGAAAATATAATTCTTTTGGAACTTATAAGCTCCAAAAGGTACTCCAACTTTTGTTTCGTAGCTATAAGCTCTGTTATTATAATATATATTATAACCATATATGTATATATTCATAATAATATAAAAATATAGCCATATGTTTCAAATTTTGGACTTGAGCAATATACATAATTATCATATTATTATGATTTAGAAGATTGAAATAAATGTATATAGTAATATTTTATTGAAGTTAGTAAAATTGAATTTTCTAACATTATATTAAGTCATTCTAGATATAAACACATGTTTACATAATAGAAAATGTAAATATAACAAAAACATGTCTATGTTAGCCATCATCATGACAATATAATAGCTTATATTATGAGCATTATTGAGCCTAGTTCCAAAATATTCACAATGATTTATTTCTAAAACAGGACAGCATGAAAAGGGCCTATGAGACCTTTTTCGAGAAGCTTTCCCTTGTGTACTCTAAAAACTTTGTATAAACTGTGAATGTGAAGATAATGCACTCATCAACTAGGTTATGTTCCTGAGTATATTTGTATTGCTGATTTAGTTTTCATTATTAGTTATTACTATCAAGATATGAATTGTTGTCGCTACACAAACAATAGAAGAATATGTTAAACTGGATATTTATTATTTATTTTTCACAATATGAACAGTGTGTGCATTATGTTGTTTTTACATTTGGCTGATTATTATGTTTCTTTCCAGTTTTATTGAACATGGTATGTTTCGTAAATCTTTTTGGAAAAAGAATAGTGTCAGAATTCCAAAATGTGTTATGTCAACAACGCCAAAAGTTCCGGACTAGTCTTGGAACCTTCCAGCAGTTTATAACCCAAAAAAATATATATTCTCCTGTTGAATCTTGTATATACTAGTTAGATCTACACGTGTGTGCTTTGACTGTTTTACATTTATTCTTTTACCTGGTTTGAACAGAGGCGCCCTTTGGAGGCCTGGCAAAACTATATCAAACAAAATTCAATAGTGGTGTTATCGACGAGCTTCTGTTTCTTGGCTTGCCTAGTGAATCTCCAACTCCTGGAACAATGACACTATATTATAAAGAGGCAATTCTAGAAACTGTTTATGAGCAAGTTCGCGTGGTTCATGAGGGTAAACTCCGCATCGTATTCACTCATGATCTAAAGGTAACCGTTGGTCTTAATATCGTAATGCTGGATTGCAGTCGATAATCTTAATTCACAGTTTTGGTGTTTGGCAATACTTTCCCTACATTAAGCCCCATGCTTCTAATTTCTAAACAAAATTTTATCCAACTTTTTAAAAATTTGAGAACTCAGATTTATTTACTCATCTGTTTGGGTGTTTTAACATTTTCTGGTGAGCTTCTATAGATACTATTGTGGGAATTTTGTCCGCGGCGACACGAAGAGTTTATTCCTCATAGATTGGTTGCACCACAGGTACTTTGCACTTGGTTGATGTTCTCCTGATTGAGCTCTCAACTATAATCACTTTATATTCGAAAAGAGTGTGTTTTGTCCAACAATGTTGTGCTACCTGATCTTTACCTAAATTTAGTGATATTCTAATCGATCTTTTATATTGAATTTCTTTGCATAGTCTATTTATTCTTTGTTTTTCAGCCATTACTAAATTTGTTGAATGTGATTTTACCAGTAAATCTTATTGTCTGAATCTTTGATCCTCTAGGTTGAAAATTGACGATGCCCTCGTTATACGCTAAACTTGAACTCTGCTGCCTTAGTATTACAATCTTGTTAGATGATAGCATGTGTGTGCTGCAGGTGAATCGGTTTGCGCAGCTTGTGCAACATTGCCAGGACAAAATATCTGAAAGTGAACCTGATGCAGCCGTTCCTCAATCCGATTTACAAACACAGACTGCTATGTAAGTGAAGATTTCAATTCACTAGCTCTTGATTTTTCTACTAATATGACTAATTTAATTGGGTTTCTTGGGTTTCTTCTGCTTTCAGGATTGCAACGGCTGGGCGCCAGCTTGCTAGAAACTTTGAAGTGCCATTCTTGAATGAATGGGGCATACCGAAGAGATTCGGCAGGTTCCTACAGGTACCTCTCGATCATTATTTCTAATTTTGAATATCGTCGCCTGATTCTCCGAGGGTGTACAGCTTCTTATTTTTATTTCTTAATTGGTCGATAGATAGTCGATGTTGTCAATAGCATGAAAGACCTGATGGATTTCTGCGATGCAAAAAAAGTCGGCCCCATCGGTAACAAACTCCCCTCGATTTACTTTTTTTAATTCTTTTCAGTTTGATCTTTTACATAGATTTTGGCTTCAAACTCTCTATTTTTCAGATGGCTTGAAAAACTTCCCTCGAAGCACTCCGCAAACGACTCAGATGCCCAGTTGCTCTCAGGATCCGCAAACTAATCAGAACATACTCCACAATCAAATCACGGCATCGAATAATGTGCTCGGAGACACAACAAACAACCAAACGGCGACATCAAATCATGGACTCAGTGACAATGCAACAAATAACCAACATACGATCCTTCGGGGAGCTTTTGCCGGCCCTGCTCAGGCCGCTCTTGCTTTAACTAATCGTTTGACAAGGGAAAACTCAATGAGCACAGCCCATGTCCGTTCGCCTCAGCCGGAAGTTTCTTCCTCTTCCAGCCCAGCTCCGGCAACTCCGGCGCCAACTTCTGCTGCGCCAGCGACTGTACAGAGTACACCGACCAGTGACTTTTACAACAGCCAAGCATTACAGCGCCACTCAGGCAATCAAGGATTTCGACCGGAAGAAAGAAATCGCCAAATGCAGGCGCAAGATGTGAGCTGTAGGAACCAGGGAGCGTCAATGGCTTCGCAGAACAGCATTGGCTGTAAGAATAATTCACCGGAAGCTGGACATGTTGTTGAAAATCTCGTCAGACAACCGCCACTGCCGCCAGCGGCAGCTCCAGCTCCGGCTGCAGTTGAGAACGGGTTGGGAGGCAATTCAGTGGACGACGAGCGTCGCTTTGCGGATGAGCTTCTTGCGGATGTTGGATTCTTTGAGGAACTGGATGACACCTTCTGGAGGTGATTACATTTTATTTTTTTAAAAAAAAAAAAATTATGGAGACATGTTGGGTTTTTTTTTTTTTTTTTTTCTTTCTTTCTTTCTATTGTTTTGTTTTGTTGATGGACATTTTAATTTAATTTGTGGATTTGGAGCATTACCATTAAATGTTGCTGCCTGCAATCAATCATTTTGGTTGATTCTATTTTGCAAGTTTCTTACTACATTATCAAAGTTGTCTCTTCAAGGGGAAAACTTAAAGATTGATTTTTTATTTTTTCCTATAAGCTGAAGAGTTTTCTATGAAAGTAGTTAAATTTTTTAGATTAAAAACTTCCTATGGCAACAGGAAAGGTATCCACTTTGCCATTTAAGTATTACCCTAATACAAAGACAATATATAAATTATGTTAAATAAAAAAGTTCCGGTAATATTATATGAATTTCCAACAGTGATGTTTCATAAAGTAAAATATTTTACTATTTTATAGGATATTATAATAATTAAATAGTAAAAATAATTTTTAAGTGAAAACAACATTATTTAAAAAAAAATAAAAATCTATGTATCTATCTGTTCGCACATATTCAAATTAAGTAAACTATTAATATTAAGTAACTAAATCTTCTTTTATGCAAAATATCGTTCTATATATAACAAGTGATATGGAATATTTGGCTTACTTTGTTTTCTCACCATAAACTATCAAGCAATTAATTAATTAATTATATTATTTAATCAAACTCATATTGGTGAAAAATTGGGATTGGGAATTAACTTGTGCTCTATCCCGATAAATAAAATAAATAAATAAATAAATGAATCTCTCCTTTACTTTCACGATGGAATGCTCAATTTGTTTATTAATTTATCTATAATAAGGTTGTATTTGATTTTTATTTGATTTTTTGTAATTTTATTTTATATTTTTATTTAAAAAATAATTTAATATACTTTTTTTTCATCCTAATCAAATTGAGTTACTTGAAATTTTATAAAAAAATATACAATAATGATATTTAATTGATTAATAAAAATGTGTAATAATAATAATAATAATAATAGTTGATGGTGTTAATTTTATTTATGTCAAATTCCAAAAAATTATTATAGTTACTAAAATTTACTGCCTCGAATTTGCACCATGACAATTAATTTAATAATTTAAATTAATTGCAAGCGAGAAGTAACGCTTAAGAAATTGGAATACGCCCACTCGTCTTGGGATTTAAAATTTAATATAAAATGGGAAATTTTATTATTTGCTAATTTTTATAAATATTAAATCATATAATCATATTTTTACTATTTTACTCTTTTTTTTCCGGTGTATTTATTCTTTAAAGATTTATCTTCCAATTTTTATTATTAACTTTGTATATTTTGATTTTTTCCACAAAACATTAAATAAATATAAATTTAAACAAAAAATTTCAAATAAATTCAAAAAAAAAAAACACGCTTTATACACATCTATTTAAGCGAAGTAATGTATAAATATATTTAACAAAAGGGGGTTAATTTTTTTTATAGAATAATTGGGGAAAAAATGTCAAATATAAAACCTTATGGTAATTAGGATTTTCATATTTTGATTTAAATTCTGAAAATCCCATTTGTATTAATTTACTAAAATTATGATTTAGTATTTGTAGAATGTCATTTCTTTACCCTAGATTGAGTGTAAAACATAAATATGTGTAAATTTGTTAATATTATAATCGTTTGAAAATCGCGTTAGTTAGGCTATTTAACATACTATAAAAATAGCAAAAAGACTTAAATAAAATAATCTCTAAAATAAAATTATTTCAAAATAAAGAATAATATATTTTTCCATATACATTCTATAAATAACAACAAAATAAATTTTTCAAAAAACAAGTGAGTAAGTGGGTCCCTCTGACAAACCAAGGCCCACTGAATCTCACCGGCCACCTGTGTACACTCAACAATGCATTCCCCAAAAGCTCCCGGTGTTCCACTCCAAAACGCGGGCTCCGACCAATCCAACGGTCAAGATCCACTCAGGAGCAAAAATCCAGGACTCGTTTTAAACAATCCTCAAAATCATTAGTTGTACGTCAATAGCCAAATCAGTGTAAGAACATATAATCTCGTCGATTAATTACTTTCCTTCTCACACTAACCCGGCAATAAATAATTAATTATTTATATCCTTTCAAAATTATTCACATTCAATTCTAATCCCCGTTGGTGCCCTCCTTTTACGTCTCCCGTCCCGTCGGCTGCCCGCCTGCCCGCCGCCGGCGTCGATACATACAGATATAGATACACGCACGCTGCCAAGATTCTTAACTTGATTCCGTTCGAATTCCTCCCAAATCTCTAACAAGCAAGAATCTAATCCGCCCCTTTCTTTAAGGCCCCTCGTATGATTTCAGGACCAATCGATTGTTGTTGGGCGTCGCTCTATTTTAATTAATTTTGTATTCTTGCAGAGATTGAGGTTTTCTTTCGCCGCCGTCCATGGCGAATTCCGGCGGTCCGACGTTCTACTCACCCCTATCCAAACCGCCGCCGCCGCACGCCCGACGGCCAAAGCTCCTTTCTTTTGCCGTTTTGGTCGTTCTTTGCTCCATTTCGTATCTATTCGGCGTTTGGCAACGCGGAGGAGGCGGCGGCGCCGACGGCGTCGCCGTCGGGATGGGCAATCTCAACGCCGGGATTTCCTGCCCCACCAGCAACCTAACCACTACTGTTTCCGCCGCCGTTGTTCCCGGAAATCGGAAATTAGATTTCGGGACTCACCATTCCGGCGAGGACTCCGCCGGAATCAACGCCTCCTCCGCGGCGGTCAGGCCGTTCCCGCTGTGCGACGTCAAGTACAGCGAGTACACTCCCTGCGAGGACCCGGTCCGGTCTCTGAAATTCGACCGGGACCGGCTGATTTACCGCGAGCGCCACTGCCCGGAGAAGAACGAGTTGCTGAAGTGCCGGATTCCGGCGCCGTACGGCTACCGGAATCCCTTCAGATGGCCGGCGAGCCGAGATCTCGCCTGGTACGCCAACGTCCCCCACAAGGAACTCACGGTCGAGAAGGCGGTCCAGAACTGGATCCGGTTCGAGGGAGACCGGTTCAGATTCCCCGGCGGCGGCACCATGTTCCCCAACGGCGCCGGCGCCTACATTGATGACATCGGAAAATTGATCAATCTCAAAGACGGCTCCATCAGAACCGCCATCGATACTGGCTGCGGGGTAACGAATCTTCCTCCCCTTCCCGATCAATTTCTTGATACTTCAAGTCCAAATCCAATTCAAGATCACATTTTTATCATGTCTTCTCCAAAAATCTCACCAATCCTTAACCCGTTTTGAATTTTAAGGTTGCAAGTTGGGGTGCATATCTATTGTCAAGAAACATCGTCGCAATGTCATTCGCGCCGCGGGACACACACGAAGCTCAAGTTCAATTTGCTCTCGAACGAGGTGTGCCAGCGATGATCGGCGTCATTGCCTCGAAGAGACTCCCGTATCCTTCCCGAGCATTCGATATGGCGCATTGCTCGCGCTGCCTCATCCCGTGGGGGCAGCAAGGTAGTTCTATATCTTATCACTTCCATTTTCAACGACCATATTATAATATTCATTTTCAACGATCATATTATAATATCCTAACTTGCTGTCTTTTTCAGACGGACAGTATTTGATCGAGGTTGATAGGTTGTTAAGACCGGGCGGGTATTGGATCTTGTCCGGTCCGCCGATCAATTGGCGGAAACACTGGAAAGGGTGGCAAAGAACACAGGAAGATCTTAACTCCGAGCAGCAGCAGATCGAGAATGTTGCGAAGAGCTTATGTTGGAAGAAACTAATTGAGAGGGATGACATCGCGATTTGGCAGAAGCCGACGAATCATATCTTCTGTAAGAAGTTGAAGAAGGTTCACAAGAGCCCTCCTCTTTGCCCTCTCCGGAATCCCGACAAAGCCTGGTTTGTCATCCTTAGCCTGTAAGAATTATTCGTAGCAAGTTTCGGGTTCTTACATTTCTTGCAGGTACACGAATTTGGAAACCTGCGTGACTCCCTTGCCCGATGTTTCATCGAATGAGGAAGTTTCCGGTGGCAGTCTGGAGAAGTGGCCGGGAAGGCTGACTGCAGTTCCTCCGAGGATTAGTCGGGGGACGGTGGATGGTATTACACCGGAAGTTTTTCGACAGGACATGGAGCTGTGGAAGAAGCGCGTGACTTATTACACGAGCATCAACAACGAGCTCGGGACATCGGGGAGATACCGGAATATTCTCGACATGAACGCATACATGGGAGGCTTCGCCGCGAATTTGTTCGACGACTCCGGCTCGAGCTCCTCTTGGGTGATGAACATTGTCCCCGTCGAGGCCAAAGTCGACACTTTGGGCATCGTATACGAGCGAGGATTGATAGGAACTTATCATACATGGTACTAATACTAATCTTTGCCAGCTTTCACCTTTTCGAACATTGTCTGATGATGATCTTGTTGTCGTAGGTGCGAGGCGATGTCGACTTATCCTCGAACATATGATTTCGTCCACGCTGATTTGGTTTTTACGATGTACAAAGACCGGTGCCAGATGGAGGATATCATGTTAGAAATGGACAGGATTTTGCGACCGGAGGGCGGTCTGATCATCCGCGATGATGTCGATGTTCTTCTCAAGGCGAAGGCGATAGCGGAGGCGCTTAATTGGGACAGCAAAATCGTCGACCACGAAGACGGGCCGATGGAGAGGGAGAAGCTGCTATTCGCTGTCAAGCTGTACTCGACAGCCCCGAAAACTTCGTAACTATTTGACAACATCGTTTCGTTCGGTCTCACAAAAACTTAGCTAACGATTAAAATTTCCTTTTTTCGTGGATTTTTGTTGTGTAAGTGTTTAGTTTCGATTTGAAGCACAATTGTGATGACAAGAAGTTAGGTTGCTCATGCTTTGTAGTAACTATTCATTTTCATTAATTTTTCGATATCTATAAATTCATATCGATCGATCGTTTCGGAAGCATCGATGGCTGCGGTTAATTGTTTTCCGGCTCTTTTAACGCTGCTGCTGATAATGACGGCAATGCCGGGGCCGGCGCTGTCGCAGCAGCAATGCTCGAACGTGCTTTCGAGCCTCAATAAATGCGTGCCCTTTGTGATGCCCGGCGCCGGAGCTCCCAGCGCCGACTGCTGCTCGGCGCTCCAGGGCGTCGACCACGCCTGCCTTTGTAATATGCTCCAGGTCTCGTCGCGTATACCGACGGAGTGTAGCCTCCCGCCGCTAGCGTGTCCAGGTATTTTGTTACCGTTGCTAGTTTTTATTGAATTTATTTTTTTCATAAAATATTTATTGAATATTTATTTTTAAAATTTTGAGATGTTTGAAAGGTTTTATGTAATGGGAGAGTTTTTTTTTTTTTTCTTATTTTATTTTGACTATTGTGTTTGCAGCAAATTGAATCCGAAGCTGCGGTGAATAAAATGGTAACGATGATGCTGGCAAGAATTGGAGAATAATTGCAATGCTGCCTAGGGAATTAATCGAATTAATTAAATAATACTGTTCTCATGTTATGTGAGAAGATTTATAGATTTGTGTGGAATTTTAATAGTGATATTGAGAATAAGAAAAAAGTATTTATTTTCTTTCTGTCTATACCTTATTTTCTCTGTCGATTTTTTAATAAAAATTTTTAATTTTATTTTTAATTTACTTATTTTAAAATTATAATATTATTAATTTTAATTTTCGTATAAAAAACGGAAGAAGAATATATGGAAAGAATACATACCTATATTTGAATTAAAAAAAAATACTCAAACTGTATCAATTTTTAATAACGTCAATAGAAAGCGGAAAACAGAAAGAGGATTTTTTTAATATAAACTTAAAAATAAATAAATTGGACCAAAAGCCTTCAAAAGTCGTCAGTCTTCGCAAGTCTTACCTGTCAATTGTCGTCTACTTTAAAACCCCCAACCACCACCGCACCCCCGGCGGCGCGTCGTCTACACTCGACGTGTCCTCGCGCGTCTTTTCAAACACCCCCAATTAAAATCCCGCCCCACCCCCCATCCTTCAATTCCTCCAAGATGAGGCATGGGTAGGGCCACCAAATGGCTCCGTTCGCTCTTCTCCACCTCCAAAAACCCTCCGCCGGAGAACCAGAAGAAGAAGAAGAAGACAGCGAATAAAGCAGCAGCGAAGTGGCTTCTGCCCAAATCCGGCGACACTAGCTTCACGACCGACGAATCTTCGGCTTACGCGACTCAGCTGGATGCGAACAAGCACGCGATAGCGGTGGCCGCGGCGACGGCGGCGGTTGCTGAGGCGGCTCTCGCGGCAGCCCAGGCGGCGGCGGAGGTCGTGAGATTGACTGGCGGCGGTGGAAACGGGAGCGGGAGGAATGACGCGGCCAATATTGGCGGCGACCGACGCCGCGCCGCCGCGGTTGTTAAGATTCAATCGGCTTTCCGTGCGTATCTTGTGAGTTCAATTTTTTTAGTTTTTCTTCAACTTTCCATACCTGGAAAGCACACAGTCTTCTCCTCCATTAATGATTTTGAGCACTCCTCTTCGATTGAATTTACTTTTTGGATTTAGAACAAACACAGTTAGAAATTTTCAGTAAATAATTACTCCATGTTAGGGCCAAATCCAATCGATTCATGTTCATCATCGAATTAATTTTTTTATACAAAGTACAAATCATTATTGCAATTTTGGATTAGTTCATTTGGGTATAATGATAACACTTCCCCTTCCCTTTGTTGAGCTTTTGGCTGTCTGTCTGCTTCTTTATATCTTGAGCTAGAAGTTACACAAGAATGGCATTTGAAAAGGGACAATGCCCATGTCCTACTTTTCCCTTTCCTTGAAAAATGGTGGATGATGTTTTTGTTCTTAGCTACATCGATCTTTTTGTTGTTTGTTTTCTTAGTTCGATCAAATTGTCAGTTGTGGATGATGATGATGACGAGTGTTGTTGGGTGTGAAATTGGTGTAGGCTAGAAGGGCATTGAGGGCACTCAAGGCCCTTGTTAAGCTTCAAGCTCTCGTTAGAGGCCACATTGTTCGAAAACAGAGCGCGGACATGCTTCGCCGGATGCAAGCCATGGCTCGGATCCAAGCTCGAGCATCTGCACATCGATCTTATATCGCAGAGCCGATGAACAAGCAGTTCGGAAACTACGTTCTTCGTCCAGTATGTTATGCACCAATCTTTGATCAAATTCGTATAGTATAGCATATAGTGATGATGATGGCATTCGCCGGTTGTCGATTTTGCAGGGCATCGGGTATAGGAGAAACTATGAACGGTCGAAACAGGTTCCATCGACCCTCGAGGTAACTTCTCCAATTCGATTTTGAGATGGTTTTAGTTCTAAAATTGTGGTAAGATCTTGCATTGTTTATAGATGGGTCAAGAAGGCGCGCGCCAAACTTCGAACTGGCTGCATTACTGGATGGATCAGTACTCTTCGAACACTGACGAGAGAACGGACAAGATACTCGAAATCGACACATGGAAGCCTCACCGGCTCGACAGGCGAACCGAAGGAAGACAAATCTCCGTCCCGACTAAATTCCAGAAGCCTAATCCGAGTATTTCCTCGGACGAGGTGTCTCCATGTCAAGGAGATCAAGCTTCGTCTCGACAATCTAGAGGGCCGTTCACTCCTACAAAAAGCGATTGCTCTAGAAGCTTCTTCGGCGACTACCTCAGCCACCCTAACTACATGGCAAACACAACCTCGTCCCTCGCAAAAGCGAGGTCTCAGAGCGCGCCCAAGCAGAGAATGACGACGGAGGAGTTGGGAATGAGTCACTGTCTATGGGAACCCGACACTGTTTCGGAATTTGGCTTTTCCTTACCGGGAAACTTCAGGGACAACACTTATCTACAATACTCGGATCGGTTAAGGAGGCAAGAGACTCCTGCGCGCGGGGCTTACCCGGGCTTTAGCTCGACCTACGGCTACCGGCTTTAGCTAAAAGTTTTCTGTGTTATAATGTAAGTTATTATCGCTGTATGTTCGTACGTACATTGACACGCTTTACTTGACTTGATTCAACTCAATATCGCTGTCCTAAAGCTATGTCTGCAAACTAGGATAACAGCGTGTGTAAAAGTTTGTATGCATCGAACATCTTTCTCGTATCCTAAACTGTTAAGGTTCTCAAGAAATCGTAAACAACACCGGTTTCATTGGAGCGTGGAAATGGAAATGCAAGAAGCAAATTAACGAAACAAACAAGGAAAGAATCATCAAAACACGACTAACATCTATACGTAGACGATGTAAATGTAAATATACGACTGCCTAACTCACCCGAAACTTTTGGCTTTAGTCAGCGAGCATCGCACTTCCATTTAGAGGTCGGTACGCAACTCAAGTATCGACACCAATGGCAGCGATCGTAACCGTTCACTCCGCGAAACAGCATCACCAGTCCTACAGTAAACCTGCATTCATTCGAATCACCATTACCGCCAATTAATCCGCAGCCTTACAACCTTAACCCTTGTAAAAAAACATCTAACACTCACCCAGCAATCAGCAGTGCCAGAGAAACCACCCACAGCACATACTGGTAGGCCTTGTATTTAGGAGTGATTCGGACACGATCTGGGAGGTTGTGGCGCTCGAGCCACTCGAACTGAGGGCGCGGCAGCAGGACAAATCCGAGGAGGAATCCAGACAAGAAACCTCCGATGTGTGCAAAGTTATCGACATGGGGCAGAATCCCAACGGCTAAATTGATAAGAACTATCACCAAAAGTGTCACAAATGCCGCAATCTGCAAAAAAAAAAAAAGACAAGAATGAAAGAAAATCGAACTCCAATTTTACGAATCAACGATTATTACTAACCTTGTTAGTGTACATAGACCAGTTTGTGATCAACTCCGACAGCATAGACCCGAGAAGGCCGAAGAGTGCGCCGGAAGCGCCGACGGAGATTCTGTCGTGTAAGAATAAGGCAGACAGAATGCTACCGCCGAATCCGGAGAGCAGAAATATTGTCCCGATCAGAACTACATCAATGATCACAAACTTTGTCAATACAAACCAGACCAGACATTCTTAAAAGTTAAATCGTCATAAGCTTGGTTGTCGTGTTATTACCGAAGCCGAAATGCTGCTCGAGGCGGATGCCGATGAGCACGAGGCTGAGCATATTCGCGACCAAGTGTATGACGCCGGCGTGCAACCAGATGGAGGAGATAAGCCTCCATCCTTGATGCTGGTGCACAATCTTCGTCCAGCTAAGAGCACCCAATCTCTCTAATCTTTACGACACAAACAAGCATAGGATCCATGTCAAGTTTGTCTGAGTTTGGTGCTAATAAAGTTGTGTAAAATTCAGACAAAAAAAATGTTTCGAGTTTCGACAATTACAGCACAGAAGGATGTAAGAATTCAGACACGAACAAATTTTAATCATTATTGCAGAATCAAACAAAAGGAACAAGAGTACGAATTGTTACGTGGAAGAAGAAGGACCGAAGAGAGGATTCTCGCGCAGAGGCTGGAAGGAGAATCTCCCGAGGAACCTCAGGACACACTTATCGGAGCCTCCGATATTACTCTCCTTGATACGCTTGGGACAGTTGTTCAAATACATCACCACCAGAAACACAGCGACATTAGCCACCACGAAGACCGGAATCAGCCACGACACCCAGCCTCTGTCGTCCCTGTCGTCCGCCGCCGAGTGGCGCCTGGTTTTCTCTCCTCTATTTTCGACGTCGTCTCCCCCGGGCATACCTCCTGCTTTTGTTTTTCGATGGTTGTCCGAAACCCCTCTGGAAAAGTGAATTTAATAGGGTAAGAAGTGGGGGGTGGGGTGGTAATGGATTTATTGGGGGAGGGAACGTGGAATTGTGGTGAGAAGGAAAACAGGGGAAAGAGGAACTGCAGTTACCCCAATCTTATTAATCTCCATCTCCATCTCTCCCTCCATTGGAATCCCAATTCCCGTTCAGAGTTCGTAAGCAGTTGGGAATTTTGGAGAATACCTGCGCCCACGACCTTCGACTCGCAGAGACGATTGATGATCGATCGATCAAGGGCTCCGATGGATGCCACGTGGACAGTCAGGGAGGGGGGGTGGGTGGGGTTTGGCGGTGGACTTGGTAAAAGAGGAAATGATAATGATTCGACACAAACGGACCGCCGGTTTCCTTAGGCTCACCAGACACTTCCAACACTGTTACATTCACCCTTTATACATGAATATATATTTCTTATATTTATTTATTTTTAAATAAAATATTTATTACATTTAAATATTAGAGTGGATTTTATCTATAGAATAAAATTATAAAGTAATAATAATAAAATTAATTTTTCTATTTGATAAAATATAAAAATATATATATTAAATAAGAGTCGGACATAAATAGGGACAATATTGTATTGGAAGGGAAAAAAGTTTGATCAACAAAAAAATAAAAATCGGGTAGAAAAATATTATTGTATTTATTTAGTTAGTTTTTAGCTTTTTTGTTTTAATCATAATAATTTGTAAATGGTTTTTATAAGATCATAATAGTATAAAATTTGTATAACGAATAAATAATAGTAAAAAAAGATTCGAACAAATACATACTAAAGTAAAAGTTAAATAGTAAATAATAAAATAATAAAGATAACAAATAATATTTTTTCAATTTTCACTCCATTTTTCTACATATAAAAATAATTAAAATTAAAAAATAAAAAACAAATAATTTATATGTCAAACCCCACACACACATACACTCACACTCAGAAAATTTTATCCAACACATGCCTTTGAGGGGATATCTTTCCGCTTGATTTACCAGAGTTTGACTATTAAAAGTATAAAATTAATCATCATGTTATGCGATATCCAATTTAAATAATAATAAAAATAAAAATAATGAATGATTGTTGGGTTGGGTAGTGGGGGGCCCTTACAAATTAAGATAAAATTTTTCTAATAATATTAGCAATAAGTTGTAACAGAAAAATTATTGTTGTTCTTAATTTACCAACTTCACAAAGGTGGTTGTCACCTGAAAGGGGAAGAAAACTAATCCATTCCATTCATGTTGTATAAAAATAAAATAGAAAAACAAAAGAAAAAAACACACACAACACATCTTATTTAGAAAGAATATTGATTAAAGATTTCATTTTAACTTTTAAAAATTATAAATAAAAAAATATTTTTCTAAAGTCATAAAACAAAGTTATTTTAAAAAACTTTACCATAATTTTTGAAAATATATAAAATTGGTATTAATATTATTATTTTACAATTATTTTTAAAATATTAAATTGTTGTTATTTTTTTAATATTTTCAAATAATTATAGTAAACTACCGTTAGACTAATGATTTTAATTTGGATGAGATCAAAATTGATGAAAAAATAATAATAATATTAAAAAAAATAATAAATCAATATGACTAAAGTTGATATTTGTGATTTACAAAATAATAGTTATTTATTTTTCCCTATTTTTTATACTTGAAAAATGAAATAGGCTTTCCTGATTTTAATATAAAAATTGAAAATAGTATTTAAATGCGTCCAGTTTGGGCCATGCCATAAATATTGGGCTTAGCCATAAACGGCTCAGAAAAAATTATGGATAATTTTTAATTGGCCCATAAATTAATACTAAATTTGATTTCTTCATATTCTTTTTATTACACGGTTGTTATAGGTGATTCGTTGAATTGACAAATTAAAAGTAATAAATGAATGGAGGATAAAAATATAAAATTTATGTTTAAAAAATGAAATAAGATAATAATTATTAGACGTCCCAAATAAGAGTCGCGGGTGGGAGTATTGTTTTTTTTTAAGTGTCTGTACATATTGTAATATATTGAAATATTTATTCATGTTATCCAGAGACTATTTATGTGCCTATAATTAATACTAATTTAATATTGTTTATATGTCACTCCCTCTGTCTTATATAATACGGGTGTATTATTGTAGACACGGAACTAAAATATAATTAGTAAGTAATTAAGAAGTGTATTAGTAAAAAAAATTATTATTTAGTAAAAATAATTATAGATTAAGATTAAAATAAGTAAATAGTTTAATTAAAATTTAAAAAAATTATAAAATTTAAAATTTAAAATGCGATTAAAGTGCATAATTATATTTTCAAAAATATAAATGACAAATTATGTGGGACGAATGAAAATGAAAATAAAAAATAAAAACAAATTGTGTGAGACGGAGGGAGGGAGTACCTTATTGCAATATTGTAGTTAAAATCACTGCTGACATTGTTAAATTAATCACACCTTAATCGAGATGTGATGTCAGCCGCACGCCATAGTACCATTTGTTTATTACATTGAATAAATAATTCATAATAATATAGAGAGAGATTTATATATTAATTGCCTCGTGCTATTACAATGTTCTATAGACTTTATTTCAATTAATTATACTCAATATTGAAATTTCTAGTGATATATTTCTATTTTTATTTTTATATAAAATTTTAATAATTAGTGGTAACGGTAGACAAAAATAAGTACGGTCTGAAAATTCGATCTAAACACGAAAAAACTATGCTTAGTCTCTAGTCGTATGCCCGAATTTGAAACCGACATAGAGATATTACTATACAAGAATTTGAAATATTATTATTTAAATCATACTAATTAATTATTAAAAATCTTAAGACAATGCAATTTTAAGAAATTTAGAAAATATCTTAACATATGGAAATCCCTCTGTGTACACGTAATTAATATTTAATTACACTTATTATTCAATATTACATGTTTTTGTAACACACATCCCTAATTATGAAAATATTTCCAAAATGTGTGAACTTGCCAAAATTATAAAATAAAACAAGACAAACGTTTTACATGTGTTATATATATATATATATATTTTCTACACCATATTTTGGTAATTAAAAAGATGAACAAGAACAATAATAGAAATATTAATAATTAAAACTTGCATAAATTATTCATTTACTCGTAATTCTTAGGAATTGTTTATATAGGTACATTTGAAAATTTTAATACTAATCCATCTAATTTCTACTCTTTACGTATTTATATTTTTGTCTGTCTAATTTAAAAGTTAGATATTTTTATTTTTAGTAATGTGTATTCTATTACTAATTACTATTATTTTGTTTATATTTATTTATCTTCTTACTCTCATTTTATTATATATTTTTATCTAAAAGTAAAAATAATTTGATATTAGCTATGTTTACTATAAGAGGAAAATAATATCACATTTTAGTGAAACATACAAAAATGATAAAAAAAAATTATTTTGAATTGAAATCGAAAAAGATATATTATTTATATTGTATGAATGTGTGTATATTTTGTATTTTTTTAATTATATTTCAATTTTGGTGTTGATTGAGTCAAATAAACACCATATTAACTTGATTATGTCAACATAAATTAATAAGGTGAGCAACACATATTTTACAGAAAATAATAAGATATGCAGAATATTAGTTTACTTTCGTCAGTAGATAAATAAATAAATTATACGCATTCCTAATAAATTAAAATTTTAGTCGAAACAATAATTTACATTATCACAAATATAAATTCATATGGTAGCACATATTCCATTGCACTAAACACGTTTGTAGTGAAACAATCATTTACATAATTTAATTTTTTTTTATATAATAAAATATATTATTGAATTCAACGTAACAAAGGTATATATACAACATATTACAACAATAATATATAAATTTTACAATATATATTTTTATATAATACATCATTATTTTATTTTATATATACACATGTATTATCCTAAAATTAATTTGGAACTGTCGTGATTTATTTAATACTCTCTCATTCCCAAAAGTATAGTCTTATTGTGTTGGACACGAGATTTAGAAAATATTAATATTATATTGATAGTCGGTAAAAAGTAAGGATAAATAATTTTTTTTTGCCCTTGTGAGTATATTAGTGTAAAAAATAGTGGCAATTGTGTAATAATAATAAAAAAGTTTGAATAGTTTTACGGTGATAGTTATTTATATAAATAAGACTATTGTATTGGGACGGATAAAAATAGTAAACAAAACTATTGTATTGGGACGAAGAGAGTATGTTTTATCTTATTAAATTTAATTTATAAATTATTAAATTCAATAAAAATATATTTAAAATATACTTAAAAAAAATAACAATTACATTTTAATGTCAAACAAAAATAGTTTAAAATTAAATCAAAACAAACTAGTCTTAAAACCAAACACCTCTTTATGCCCCAATGCCAAAATTCTATCAATTAATTATTAAATAAAACAAGTAAAGTGGACTTCACGCGCGGGATTTGGAGCGTTAAGGAAATTCATTTGACAGCGCAGCGTTCTAACGGAGGGGGCTCACCGTGACACCCTATGGACTTATATGTAATAAATATTTTATATATAGAGTATATTTTTATTTATTTATTTATAATTTTCCAAATTTCCTGGATTATTATTATTATTATTATTTTATTTTAATTTTCTTGATTCCCTTTTATTTCTTCCATTTTCCATTTTGCAAAAACAAGAGAATTGCAAAAGTTTCACATCAAACCCCCTTTTTTTTTACTCCTTCGATTTCCTCAGTATCAAATTGCATTCAGTTCTCCTCTGCACTGGTTTTCGATAACTCCAACAAAGGTTCAATCTCGAAACACATCAAGAAGAAGGTGAGAAGAGAAAGAACTAATAAAAATCTCTTCACTGTTATCGCGCGTCGTCCGCCATTGGAGCACTGTCAGTTTTCTCTTGACCTGAAAGAAAACCATATATATACACATATCTGTAAGTATATATATTTTAATTCCCGCACGTTGATTATAAAATTGGTTTGGGGAGGAATAATTCGAAGTTTGCAAATCTGAGGTTTTGTTCGTATCCGATTTCCCCCATATGTTCTATTTTATTTTTTTAATCCTGTTTCGTGCGCCTTCGTCGCATTCGGGAAGTTCGTAACCTTGGATTTTGGTGTCCAGAAGCTTCTTCTGCATACATAAGCAAATGGTTTGTCTTTACACGCGTACTTTTTATTGCCTTTTGTTGTCTTGTTTCGACTGTTCCCATCCTCAGAAATTATAGAAAAAAGGCTAAGAAAAGTCGTCGTACCTTACGGGAATTGGGGATATCTTTTTTCTCGGATGTGTTTTCTTGCACACTGCCGATGATATCTCTCTCTCTCTATATATATATACAAACACATTTCTATCTCTATATTCTACACGAATTGAATTGACAGCTTATTACATTACTGTGGTGCTTTTTATTCATTATTAGGGCGACGGCTGAGTTCTGAAATAGTCAAACTGGAAACCCATACCCAAACCCAAACCCACAATTTTTTGGTTTTTATTTTATAAAATTAGGGTTTCGGGAAAAAGGGGGCCTGGCTGGCCATGGTTGTGACTGGTGAGAGGTGCAGTAAGGAAGCTCAGTTGTCATTCACCAACTCCGTTTGGTGGTTCTTAAATTTGGTGTGGTTATGGGTTGGTGAAAGGCGGTCATTACTGTGTCTGTATCTCTCTCTCTCCCTGTGTATGGAGGTGTCCTAATTTCTTCAAGACGAACAGCACACACTCAATGCTCAGTGCTGCTGGGAAGTTAGGCTTTTGCGTGTGCTATAACTGCGTTTTGTTACATCCCGTAACTACATTTATGTATATATATGTATGTATGTATGTGTATGTATCTATAAGTATATCTGTGTGTGTGGAGAGGGGAGGAGTTTTTGAGAGTTCTTGGGGGATCGGAGCTGTGTGTTCTTAGGTGTATTTGTTTATTTGTCCGGCCCGATTGTTCTAGATGAGATTCGGGGTCTTCTCCGGCAAGGATATCGGCGGTGTTAGTGACCCTCGAGGTGCCGGTGCCGGCGCCGGCGCCGGAGGAGGAAAATTGTTGGCTGATGGTTATAGTTCCTATGACAATATTATGACCAGTGGTGCTGTTTCTTTACCTCCTCAGGCGCCACTGCAAGTCTTCCATTCATCTCATTCTCAACCCTTGTTCCACACTCCACCTCTTTCTCTCTCCCTTGTAATAATCTCTCTCTCTCCCTCTCTTGGGCTCGGAGCCACAGTTTTTAATTACCTGCCACGGAGTCTTATGAGCTGTGTATGTGATTTTATGTTTCTGTGTATTGAATATAATTATTTAAGTTTTTGGGGGTTTTGTGAAGCAGGCGAAGATGGATGGTCTAGGGGAGATGAGCTTGTTGGGAGGAGGCTACGATGGAGGTTTAATGGCGGGGAGAGGCAATTCATCGAGGGAGGATGAGTTCGAGAGCAGGTCTGGCAGTGACAACTTCGAAGCAGCTGCTGCTGCTGCTGCAGCATCAGGGGACGATCTCAACTCCACTGAAAACAAATCATCATCATCCAAAAGGAAGAAGTACCATCGACACACTGCCTTCCAAATTCAAGAACTCGAGGGGTATCTTACTATCCATCTATCTATCTATGCTTTGTTTTTATAACTGATTCATGTAATAAAGGAGACATGTTTGTTACACATTGCTGGTTTGGGTGTTTTTTGTTTGTTTCTTTCCTTTAGTTCTTTTAAGGAGAATCCACATCCTGATGAGAAAGAGAGGCTCGAGCTTGGGAGGAGGCTCGGCTTGGAGCCTCGCCAGATCAAATTTTGGTTTCAGAATCGAAGAACTCAAATGAAGGTTTAATTTGCTCGATTCGAAATTTTGATTCTTTGTTTCTGTTTTAGTTGAATTTGGTATTGTGTTTGTTTCAATTGACTTGATTATGTCAAATTAGACTCAACTGGAGCGCCATGAGAACTCGATTCTGAAACAAGAGAACGATAAGCTCAGAATCGAAAATCTCGCGATGAAGGAAGCCATGAGGAATCCAATGTGCGATAATTGCGGCAGCCCCGCGATTCTTGGAGAAGTGCCGATGGAGCAGCATCATCTTATGATCGAGAACGCGAGGCTGAAGGACGAGCTTAGCCGACTCAGCATCCTGGCTGGCAAATTCTTGGGCCGGAACAGCGGCAGTCCGATGTCGGCAGCCATGGCTATGCCAAAGCTGGAGCTTGATATGATTGGAAGCAGGGTATGTGGCATGAGCTCGATGGATTCGGTATTGCCGTTGGGACTTGATTTCGGAATGAGGATGCCCGACGCATTTCCCACCATCCCGCCGCCTAGAGGACCCGATTTGGGCATGATGAATTCTGAAGCTGCTGTCGACAAAAATATGTTTCTTGAGCTTGCTGTGGCTGCAATGGACGAGCTGATGAAGTTAGCTGAGCTTGACAGCGCCCTTTGGTTCGGAAGCTTGGAAGGAGGCGGGCAGTCGTTGAATCTCGACGAATATATGAAGACGTTTTCTCCTTGTATTGGTCCCAAGCCCGACCATTTTGTAACTGAAGCGACGAGAGCTAATGCAACCGTAATAATCAACGGAATGGCGCTTGTGGAAGCATTGATGAATGCGGTGGCTTCTTCGTCCCCGTTCAAAATGCAGCGTTTTGTTTTTTAGTTAAGTGTAAATTTTGATTGTTTTTCGTTTCGTTTCCATGTTTAGGATCAATGGGCTGACATGTTTCCCCTGAACATCGGGAGAGCCTCGACTCTCAATGTTATCTCCCCTGGAATGGCTGGAACCAGAAACGGCGCGCTGCTACTGGTACTGTACATGCTATTATCGCTTCACTGAAGAAAATAGTTTGTACACTATGACTGATTTGTCGTTGATCAAACTTGTTTGCCAGATGCAAGCCGAGTTCCAGTTTCTTTCTCCTATGGTTCCCGTTCGCCAACTGAAGTTCATTCGCTTCTGCAAGCAGCATCGAGAGGACATGTGGGCTGTCGTCGATGTCTCTGTCGACGCCTTGTTCGCCGGCATGAGAGGAAACACTGCCGTTACTTGTAGGAGGCTTCCTTCTGGTTGCGTCGTGCAAGATATGTCGAATGGCGGCTCGAAGGTAATTAGACCCCAAGAATAGTTAATTAGCTTTACCATTTCGTTTGTGATCGTGATTTCAGCTTTGACTCAATTGACTTATGACTAAGATATCATGTGTCTTAAGCTTAGGTGTCTTCATCTCTTCGATTATATGTATGTCATTACATTTCAGGTTACCTGGATAGAACATACTGAATACGACGAGAATATCATCCACAGTCTCTACCGTCCTATAGTTCGGTACGGAATGGCCTTTGGTGCCGAAAAATGGCTCACCAACTTACAAAGACAGTGCGAATTCTTTGCCCTCACCATGGCCTCCAATGCCGATCAGTCAGGTTCTGACGTCTTACACTAATTATTTTTTTTTCACTCCGTCGACTTCAACAAATGCTGATATGTTTCCTTTTCGGCTGTTTGTTTTCAGGTCTTCCGCCTAATGGTAAAGCTAGCTTCATGAAGCTGGCGCAGCGCATGATCCGTAGCTTCTGCACCGGCGTCTGCTCCACCGTGCACGATTGGGAAGAAGTTCAAAGCACTGAAAATGCCAAACTGATGATGCGCAAGAGCATTGGTAATAACTCGGGAGAGCCGCCTGGGATTATATTGAGCGCGACTGCGACTGTTTGGATGCCTGTGTTGGCGCCGAATCTGGTGAATTTCCTACAGAACGAGAAGGCCCGGGAATACTGGGACGTGCTGTCCCAAGACGGTCCGATGCAGCAAGTTCTATGCCTTCCCAAGGGACAGGATCACACCAACAGCACGCGCCTTCTACGGGCCAACGTAAGTGTGTTTAAAATTCACTCTCTACGCAATGAGCGTTAAAATTACCGAATTTTTTACGCGCAGGTTTCGTCTGGCGGAAATGCGAACCCGAGCAGCGTCCTGATCTTACAAGACACGACCACAGATGCCTCGGGATCGGTAATAGTTCACACTGCGGTGGACGCTGCGGGGATGAACACGGTGATGAGCGGCGGCGATTCTTCGAGCGTGGCAATCCTGCCGTCGGGATTCGCAGTTGTGCCGGATTGCTTCTCCGACTCTACGAACAGCAGCGGGAGTGGGGGCGGGAGCCAGGGGTCGATGCTGACGGTGGGGTTCCAAATTCTGGTGAACAATATGCCGGCGGCGAAGCTAACGATGGAATCGGTGAAGACGGTGAAGTCGCTGATCGGGCGGACTCTGCAGGGCATCAAGACGGGGCTGGGGCTGGCGTGCGAGTGATTATAGTTTGTGTAAGTAAGAGGATTTGAGTCAAGAACGAACCTTTCTTTTTCGATGAAAATGAGGAACCCATGCTGGATGGTTGGATGGATGGAGTAGAGGGTGGTAGTCAGTCTAGATGCGCGTTCTGGGGATATACATATACTATACTATTATTGATTATTGGGGATTGGGGTTTGTGGTTCGGGCATTGACTCAACAAGACCTTGACCTTCTTCTTCTTCTTCAATTTGTACAATACATTACAAGGTTGTCTTGTCTTGTACCTTGTGACTGTGTGTATCTATCTATCTTATCTAGTTGTGTTCTTTTGCTTCCCAATAGGACAAAATGGTGGTTTGCTCATGTTTCTTTCGACATTATTTTTATTTAAAAAAATATGTATTTTCTGTTAGAATTATTAGGGCCGATCATGTTACTGATTGGGAAAATTGTGATGATTTGCCCAATTTAGTTGCAACTCGTTGGGCTATTTTATCCTAAGCCCAATTCCAAAATTTCCGCTCATCCCTAATTTTCGAATTCCGTCGATCCTCTTTCCTGATTTCCCCAATTTCCTTGCGCTACGGTCGCTCTCTCTTCATCTTGACTTCATCGGCCGGCGTCGTCTCCAACAGATTACAGTAGCGTCACTGAACTGTAAGTTCTGGTACTCCCTTCCTATCGATCAATCCTATGGCTAAAACGGAAGCAAGTGGGAATCTTTCAAGCATTTGCATCGATTTTTGAACTTGTTTGCTGTTTTGTTATTTCAATTCGATCTTTTTTGTTCTATGGATGTAAGAGAAACAATTGCTGAGAATATTCTGAACCATTTTTCGAATTATATGCTGTTTCGATTGGACTCGTCTTGGTCCGCCCCGGACTCCGCGAATTTTTGAAATCGAACTTTAGGTGTAAAATCTCTTGTTAGGTGGTTTACCGGCCTGACTGAAATTAGGGTTCCTTGTTGCTGTTGAGGATTTACTTGCTGCAAACTTGGATGGATATGGTTGATCCCTGGGGTATGCGCCTTCCACGATTTATAGAAGACTGAGAAACACGAGGATGATATCACACCGTTCGCTTCGATTTTTAGGGAAATAAGTGATAAGCCCTAAAATTGGGCCAACTCCCCCAAAATGAGATCCTTCATCGTCCACACGTCGAAGGTCTTGGCCTCCAGATTCTGGAGCCGATCCATGTCGCAGTCGACGTCCATACCCAAGAAACAAGAGCGAGTTCGGGACCATGGCTACGACGACTACATGGAAATCGAGAAGAAAGTGCGCAAGGTTCTCAAATTCCGGGAACTAATCCTCTCGCAGCCGAACAACATGGTCTCCATTTCGCGCCTCGACATTCTCTCCCGCAGATTAGGATTCAGGCAATTCGAGGCTGGACGGTTCATTCTCAAGTTTCCTCATGTTTTCGAGGTTTTTGATCACCCTGTGCAGAGAATCCTTTACTGTCGGCTCTCACGTAGAGCAGTTTCGCAAATGGAGCAGGAAAATGAAGCACTCCTGCGGCAAATACCTGATGCTGTGACTCGGTTGAGAAAGCTAATGATGCTGTCGAACACTGGTCGCATTAGGTTGGAACATGTTCGTATTGCAAGGCGGGAGTTTGGATTGCCCGATGATTTTGAATACTCTGTAATTCTAAAGAATCCTCAGTACTTCCGATTGTTTGATGCTGATGAAACAAGGAACAAGTACATTGAGATGGTGGAGAAGGATTGCAGTTTAGGGGTTAGTGAAATCGAGAAAGTGAGGGAAAGGGAGTACAGAGAGAAAGGTATCGATGCCGAGGACATTAGGTTTTCATTCATCGTGAATTTCCCACCAGGGTTCAAGATTGGGAAGTATTACAAGATTGCAATGTGGAAGTGGCAGAGGTTGCCTTACTGGTCCCCCTATGAAGATATATCTGGCTATGATCTGAGGTCGTTGGAGGCGCAGAAGAGGATGGAGAAGAGGGCTGTGGCAATGATCCACGAGCTATTGGCTTTGACTGTAGAGAGGAAGATGACGCTGGAGAGGATTGCGCATTTCAGGATGGCGATGGATTTGCCGAAGAAGTTGAAGGAGTTCTTGCTGCAACATCAAGGGATCTTTTACATTTCGACGAGGGGTAATTTTGGGAAGATGCACACGGTATTCCTGAAGGAGGCGTACAAGAAGGGGGAGCTGGTTGAGCCAAATGAGTTGTATCTGGCGAGGAGGAAGTTGGGGCAGCTGGTGTTGGTGAGTCCTAGGAAGGCAAGAATGAACCAAGAGTTGGTCAGTTATCATCAAAGAAATGGATTGGAGGACGACAATATGAATCACATTCCGAGAGACTGGATTGAGGCGAAAAACAACATTGATACGGAATTGGACAATGAGGACGACGATTCAGACAAGGGTGATAGTTACAATGAAAGTAGCGGGGAGAAGTCTTGTACAACACAATAACGAAACCATTTCAGATCCCCGGTATTCAACAAACACCGAGCTCGTTGAGCTTCCATGCAATAGAAGAAGCCTCGGGGTTCTCGCCTGCATGATGATTGGTTGAGGTGCTACAGGCTCGAGTGTTTTCTTCGACAGAACGGCTGCTGTGATGCACAGGGAGAGACAGAGAGACAAGGTATGACTAGAACTCAACCCTGTATCGATAAAATGCTAATGATGGATAGTAGTTATAATTTATAACAGCGATAATGATGTGTTATATTTGGTTTTGAGGTATGAGTTCTTGATCAAATGTGTTCTTGATGGCTCTTAAATGTATAAATTATAAATCCCCTTTGGTGATTGGCATAGAATAGAATCCAGTAGTTTGCAGTTAGGACTTTTAATGTGTGTGTATGTGAGATTTGTTATGATTTATTTACTAGGAGAGAAGATGATGTAATTTTTATAAATAACTGTGAGAATTATTGAATGGTAAAAAAACATAAGAAGTGAAAATAGTATTGAATTTTCATGATTTGAATTATGGAAATAAATGAAATTATTAATGAATGCAATTCATTATGTTGCTGTCAACTTTTTTAAGCAGCAGCAGCAGCAAGACCAAGAGGTGTAATTATTTTCAACCAATCCTAACCACTTCAATCTCTCTTTTTTGTTTGTTTGTTTGTTTTCCTTTAAATGGCATCCTATGACTTGGTTCCACGCTAATCTCACCCACTACAATTCATAATCATACCAGCTATAGATAGTATTATTATTTTGCAACTAAAGTTTGACAAAAGTCCTCCCTGGTTTTGTCTTTATATTTATTTTTGGAGATTCATACATGTTAAATACATATCCGTATTTTAAATTTAAAAAAAAAAAAAAACAACAAAAAGCAAGAAGTGCTCATGTTTTTTTTAAAAAATTATTATATATATTAAGAAAATCTAAATATAAAATACTTTAAGATTTTTAAAAAGCAGTCATAAAATGGGTGCAACAGTTTCTCTGGTTAGGTCTTTTTTTTTTTTTGGAAGCTTGTTAATAATCAATCTAATTTTTATATTTTTAATAAAAATATGTTAATCCTTTTAAATTATTCAAAAAATTTTAAAAAAATCGAGGGCGTTTTTCTCTGCTGGCTCTGGTTGACCAGAAGATATTTTCTACATGTGCAGTGAAAGAATTAATGGTTCTAATTGAATTTTAATTCAAATAACAGAATAGATAATAAAGTATACAAAAATAATTACAATTACTATTACTATAAAGCCATTAAGGGAAAATCTGCCATATTTCCAAGTAGGATTCGTTTCTTTTGTCATTTTCCTGTTTAAACGTTTTCGGATTCTCTTCGATCTCCAGAATCATCCATCAGCTCCATAAACCCATAACGTAAATTGCACAGAGATTTGGAGTTGGAGTTCGTAGGGGAGAAAATTCACGGCAACGAATGGGGAATTCATTTGGGTGCTCTGCCTCAGGGGAGCGATTGGTATCAGCTGCAAGAGATGGCGATTTCGTCGAGGCAAAGATGCTGTTGGATTGCAATCCATGCCTTGCAAAGTACTCCACATTCGGTGGATTGAATTCTCCTCTTCATTTTGCAGCTGCCAAGGGCCACGACGAGGTAAACAGGGAAACCCTAAATTTCCGGTCCTTTGTTTGCGATTACAGTATATCATGTTTTGTATACCAAACTTGGGGGATTTTTGTATATTTCCCTGATTTTCGGAGGCTTGTATTTAAATTAGATTGTGGCATTGTTGCTGGAGAATGGAGCTGATGTGAACTCGAGAAATTATTGTGGTCAGGTACAACGACAAGGATTTGCTCGACTATGCTTCTGTCGGTGATTTCCAAGTTTAGGAATTTGGTTTGTAGATTATTTATAATTGAAAAATCTGGTATCTGATAACCATTTCTCTATGGTTGATTATGATTGCTCAAAACTGTTTCACTTCAAGATAGTGCAGTTGAAAGCATTTGCTTTGATGAACATATCTTGAGGTTTTATGCAATACGTATTTGCTTGTTCAGACAGCATTGATGCATGCCAGTCGGTACGGCCACTGGGAAGTTGTTCAAACCCTTCTTCTTTTTAGATGCAATGTAAGCTTATCCTGTCTTATTCGATAAAGGTTAATTTAGAAAGTTTTTGTGTTTGGCTGTGGATCATATCTTCAGATGTTCTTTACATATCCTACTATGTTTTAGAGGTCCCACTTTTGGTATTTTCCAGGTTACACGAGCAGATTATCTGAGTGGGAGGACTGCCCTCCATTTTGCCGCCATCAATGGACACGTGAGATGCATGAGATTAGTGGTTGCTGATTTTGTTCCAAGCGTACCATACGAAACTCAGAACAATCAAGCTATAAATGACTGCAGCGATGGTTCTAATGCTAAATCCAAGTATGCATTATTGCTTGGTTACATCCATAAATAGATTATGATTGAGCTCTCAAAATTATTGACAGGTTTTCACATGGAATGCTTTTTTTGAAATTTTCTGTATATAGTTATATGTATATGTGTGTATATGTTTCTTCTGTTTCAGTGCTCTCTCCAAGTTTGTGAATAAAGCTGCTGACGGTGGTGTCACCGCCCTTCATATGGCTGCCTTGAACGGATACTTTGACTGTGTGCATCTCCTACTCGACCTTCAGGCAAATGTTTCAGCCGTCACATTCCATTATGGAACATCGATGGATTTGATTGGTAAGCTGTCTACTTTCATGTGAATGGAAGGTCTTCCATGAATCCTTCGTCGTTTATTGCTTGAAGTGATGGTGAATTTCTGTAGGGGCTGGAAGTACTCCTTTGCATTATGCTGCTTGCGGAGGAAATTTGAAATGCTGCCAGGTGATCGATTGCATCATTCATTCTATGTTTCAATGACTCTAACTCGTATTACTTTAAGCACTAGGTAAAATATACACTACTTGTTTTTGCAGATCCTTCTTGCAAGAGGCGCGAATCGGTTATCATTAAATTGCAACGGGTAATTTTTTCGGTTTTTGTGGAGAATTTTCTTTCGAACTTTGATTATGCAAAATTATTGTTGCGACGAATGCTGGTGCTGCTGTTTCAGATGGCTTCCTCTCGACGTAGCCAGAATGTGGGGGCGGCATTGGCTCGAGCCCCTGTTGGAATCTCATTCTGATCTGCCGATCCCGACTTTTCCACCTTCAAACTATTTATCGTTGCCCCTCATGAGCATTCTCAACACTGCCAGGTACAATGTAATAAAACTACGGATTGCTGTTACACATTAAGTTGCGTATGAGTTCTTAAGTGTAATCGATTGTGTGAAAATGCAGAGACTGCGGGCTTCAGTTCTCGGCTAGTGCCTCCGATGATGCCGATATTTGCGCTGTTTGCTTGGAAAGACCATGTACAGTCGCCGCTGAAGGTGAGCCGAGTCGAGCCGTACCTTTACCTATCTTGTTCGACTCTCGGAAGAAATATTTACGAGCATTGTTGTCTCTTTCAGGGTGCGAACACAAGCTCTGTGTTCGATGTGCTCTGTACCTTTGCTCGACCAGCAACGTTCCTTCGAGCTCAGCAGCACTGCCGGGCTCCATCCCGTGCCCGTTTTGTCGCCACGGCATCGTGTCCTTCTCCAAATTGCCGGGTTCTACGGCAAGGGAGATCAAATTACCATTATCATCGTCGCTTGGACTATGCACGCCGTGCGTTCTTCACCACAGAGAGCAGGACACATCTGAAACCGATTGTTCGAAGAAAAAATGTGTCGACTCTGTTTCTTCGGATATCTTCTGCCCCGTCTCTTGTAGCCCGTTTCCTTCCGTTACGATCCCGCTCTGCACGTGCAGTGAAGGGCCATGCCTGAATTTCAATTCCGGAGAAAGTGATCCAGAGGAGTCGTCGCCCCACCGAGCACAGTCGATGTCGGGCGAGCAGGAGAAGAGTGAAGGAATGAGACTGGAGAAAACTACTTGCTCGAGTATGTTCTGGGGACGACGAAGCTGCAGCAGAGAGCATCAGTGCAACGCCGAAATCAACGCTTGAGAAATGCCAGTCGCTGGAAGGTTAAACTCCGGTCTTCCTCGAAGACGACGACGAAGAATTCCGACTGTCTCTTTTCTAGGTTTGGTTACATCTTGAGGGATCCCTTTAGGAATCTTGAAGGGCTTGTAAGAACATGCCAAGAACTCTTTTTTTCTTTTTCTTTTTTTGTGTGATGAAATAGGCAAGAATTTGTTGAATCTCCATAACGGTTTTGCCTTGTGTTTATGATAGAGGCTTAAATTGAATGAACTTGTCCTTGTTAATATATATAACCTTATATTATTACAAAATTTTGTATATACTTACATATATGTGTATAGCAACATTTGATTGAAGAAACTCCAATTGTAATAAAACTATACCTAAAGAGTAATGTGTGATATGATTTGGGACCACGACACGACCAGATATAATTTCAGTACCAAAATCCAAAAAAAAAAAGACATTCTGAATTTTTTTGTTTTGCTTTTTTTAATGACTGCATTCTTCTTATTATATTCTCGTACAAATATATCCATTTCCCTAACAATATATATATATATCACAGACAGACAGAAAGAGATCCTTAAACAGACCTAAAAGGGTGGGGGTGGGGTGGGGTGGGGTGGGGGCCCTCGAAAAACCGTACAAGATAAGGGTTTTTATTATTATTTTTCATGAAAGAAAGTAGTAGTATTTAAAACAGCACAAGTACATATATAAAAATCCAAAGCACAGGAAAGCAATGCAACAGCAACAAATAATCAATCCTCAAGGAAGGAAGGCAGGATAATATATATATATATATATAATTTATTATTATCATTATTTTGTGATCTTAATTCAACTATAATCTGGATGATCATGATGATGGATCTATCTTCTTCTGCAGGCAGTCTCCCTCTGTGCATTGAAGTAGACAGCAGCCACAGGCAAGCCCAAGGCATTATCCTGAGCGAATCTCCTGGTGTTGAAATGATCTCTGGAAGGCGGCGGCACCACGCTGTGCCGCGACCTCTGCCTGAATAACACAAACACGTATCGATGGATCCCAATCACCGGCTTCGGCGCCTCGTATCCCACAATCTCCCTCCCTTATTCATTCATTCAGGTTCAAATCAATACATGCATACAACATCCATTCATTACTTCATTCTTTGTGATAATAATAATATAAATATCTGGAGAACTTACCAAAGGAGACATCAGTGGTGCCTGGAATGTCTGTTACTATCCTGGAATCCAAACACAACATGTTACTATAATGCTTAGCTCAATAAACCTACATTCATAAAAAAAAAATATAATACAAATGCAACAAATGAACTAACATCACGTTCATACGACACATATTATATCCTGATTAGGTCACCACCCTAAGCCTTCCCAACATACATACACACACATATATATATATATATACACACACAAATACACATATTATTGTATGCTAATTAATTTGGTATTAATAAAACTGACCAATGAAGATGTTCCCTCAGGTAAGGATCACTGGGGCCTGGAACATCAGGATCAGTCATAACCTAATTAATCCAAGAAATTAAACTTGTCAATACATATAAGTGTGTAAGAAGAATATATATATATATATATATAACGGTGGTTATTCTTACAAGAGTGTAAGCAGCCCTCATGTCTTCTCCACCTATATCGACACGCGGCTTAAATGCAACGAGACCGGGCATGAGCTCGTGTCCATTGGAGACTTGCTTGTTGGTGTTGTAGGTCACACTCAGCTTCACACTAGGTATGAAGTTGTCGACGACTTCTCCAATAACCCGGCCTACGGACAACGGCTCCACATGCCTCGACATTCTTGAACGAAGTTAATAATATATTTGTGTAATGTCTTGTAAAGGAAAGAATGCAGATGAAAAATGGTGATATATAGTATTTGAAATGAAGGTTTATATTTGGTGTGTGGGAGGGATATATTGGTTGCAAGAATGGTGAGGGGTTTTTATAAGGGGGACAATTAGGAAGGGCAGGACATGGATTATTGAAGAATTCATTTCAAGATTCTTGAGAATCTCTTCATGTAATAAAAAGGGAACTAAGTTTGTCCATATATGCATCCCAAGAAAGAATTTTGCAACCTAGAAGATGTCGATTCATCGATTAAACTCAGTAACTTTCTAGACCATGAATAATAATAATAATAATAATAAAGGGACAAAATTCCTCCAGCTGCTTAATTATATATTATAACTATAAAAAAATAAATAAATAGTAATATCAATGCCAGTCAATGGGTTTTTATAAATTGAATTAGATATATTTCTATCATCAAATTACCCTAATTAATCTTTCCTAATGACACATTTTGATCTCTAATTGGGGAAGAGAAATCGAATCCAAAGTTAAAAAAAAAAAAAAAAAAAAAAAGAGAAAAGGTTAATGCAATTTTCTTGATCAACAATGATTAATTCGATTATAAAATTTATGATTAATGAACCTTAATTAACACATAGTTTGTTTTAGTGATTTATTGCATTGCAAAGATTGAATGGAGAATCCAATAATTAAATTAATATTTTTTAAAAAATTTAAATATAAGTTGAGTTGCTTTTGTTGACCTTCCAAATTAAAATTGAATCTAAGTCGAGTTTGCCATTTGCCCAAAAAGACAGTATTGTAATAAAAATGCACACTGTCATGTCACAAGGGCATTGGGTGGGTGGGAATTTAGAATAAAAACTTTTTCTAAAATAAAAATTCAATTTTTTGGTGTTCCCCACTATAAAATATAATATCTTGATCAAATGGGAATTCAGCTTTTGAGGTGCTTCACTAAATACAATACACATGAGAAGGCAATTAATTATTATTATTTTTATCTTTAAAATTTTTATTAAAAAAAAAAGATTAATAAATATATATATATATATATATGTAATCAAGAAAGAGGGGATTATTAATTAGGGAAATGATGTGATTCTTTTTTCTTGCCATATATGGTAAGTGAAGAAAGTGTTGCTTTGGTGCATATTGTTTATTAGGACAACATGTGGTTATCATCAATCATATAATTCCCTCTTATGCAGTATCTAATCAATCATTTCTATGTATATATATATATATATATCTCAATTATATAATGATTAGTGGTTAATTAATTTACTTTGTTTTTATGTATAATTTGACATTGTAATTTCTATATCCATCATCGATCATAATTTCACACACACACACCACATATATATATATATATACACACACTATTCTTGAACAGGAGAAAGTTGTATTTTTTTCAGTGTATAATTATATGATTAAATGTAATGTTATTTATATAAGGAAACAAGTATAAAGTGCATAATCTATTTTTAACCTCTTATCTAATTTTGTTTTGTCTCTCTAACAAATAAAAAATTAATTTAATTAGGGTTTCTGTCACATCAGGCATATCTGTGCTATTGATTGATTAATTAATCATTCTATTTTAACACAGCAGGGCAATATATATTCTTGTTTGTTTTGATTGGAAATTTAGAGAGTCGAGTCAACAATTATAATTTGAACACATTGAAATCAATCAAAGATTATTATTATTTTTAAATAAACAAGGTACGTAGGTAATATTAAAGACCTAATTAAAGTGGTATCAACACTATTCATAACCCTGAGAATGAGCCATCATAATATTAATTTAAAATTAATATGGTGCATGTGTGCAATGCAAAATGTTACACGTGTAGTTTAACCGAACATAGAAAAGAAAGGTGAGATCAATAATTAATATGCAGGTGATTAAATGATCCCTTTTAATCATGCATGCATGTATGTATAATTTATCTATCTCTTTCAATTAATAATTAATGGACCAAAAATTATATATATATATATATACACAGTTTTTCAAATTTTATTATTTAAATTTTGAATTTTTCAAAAACAAAATAAAAAAAAAGGCTAACAAAACATCCCATTAAATCTTAGTTAAACATAAAATTAAATCATTTTTTTTTAAAAAAAAAATAATCTCTTATCAACTGTCTACTCCAAATCATTCACGAATATATATATAGGAGCGGATCGAGGGGGTGGCAAGGGTGGGCTGCAGCCCCTCTCCTTCCCTTCCCACCCCACTTCAGTTTTTTTTTTTTTTTTTTCATTTATTTAAATTTATGTATTTTTATTTAAGTATATGTAATATAGAGAAAATGAATATATAAAAGAATACTAAAAAATTATATATCTTGTCTGAAAAAAATAATATAAAAAAATATATTTATAATACAGTATATAATAATTATTATTATTGTAGTTTGTTATTTATATTTATTTTTTCCAAAATATAATAATCAAAATGATAATTTTTTCGGATAACAAATAAACATTTATAAATAAAATATATTATTTTATAAATTTCAAAATTAGATCCGAATATAATAATCCTAGGTCGTCACTGTGTGTGTATATATATATTAATCCGAGGTCGTCACTGTGTGTGTGTATATATATATATATGATATGTGAAATGGGATTCCATTCAAATACTAATAGTGAAGATAAATATAAATATAGAAGTGGTAGTGAGAATCTATTACTTGTGGTCTCTCTCTCTCTCTCTCTCTCTCTCTCTCTCTCTCTCTCTCTCTATAATCAGTATGTGATATATATATATATATTCTTAATTCATTCACCCATATAATTAATTAATGACAATGGCGTGTCTTCATCTAATTAGCAAGTGGCAACCCCCACTCTCTCTCTCTCTCTCTCTCTCTCTCTCTCTATATATATATATATATATAAATTTAAATTTGATTTTGGATATTCTGTATATTGGTGTACGTAGAACTTAGGATGGATTGATTACTGATTAATGATTACTGTGTGTATATATATATATAAAGAAAACAAAAGAAAATAGCTTTACGTACGTCACTCCAAAAACTCGAGTTTAATCGTTCAGAGCTGTCTCCACCTCCACACACACACACCCATAATCATAAAATATATATATATATATGAACCCTAATTTCATTCAGCTTTCTGAATGATAATAATAATAATAATATTCCCCACTCTGAAAAAGAAAAAAGAAAATAAAAAATAGCTCAATTGAAACTGGCGTAGGAATTAAGAAAAAAACATTTTTTAAGAAAAGCAACAAAAGTAAGTAATACTATAATTAAATGTATTATTGAAATTTTAGTTAGTAATTAAAATGAATAAAGAAATAAATGTAATTAAATGTTGAATTTGTTAGTTTGCCCAAAATTAATAATGAATAAATAAGGGACGAAGGGAAATAAATTTTACAGACATAGGAAATAGTAATACTAATAATTTGACTTTGTTTGATTGTATTTTTTATTTTTTATGTTTATTATATTTTTTTTCTCCTAAGATACTATATATTGCTATCTTCATCATTTAATTTTATACTCAATTTTTTATAAAATATATACATAAAAAGATAAGCACAAAACTTCAAAGTATATATATATATATGTATGTGTAAAAACTGTCATTTTGCATATGGATATTTCTTTAGCCAGAGTTTTTTCAAATTTTACTATTTGCATTATGTGTTTTTCGAAAAAAAATATTTTTTTTTCCTCATAAAATATTCCATTAAATATTATTTTTATATCAAACTCAAATCAATTTTTTTCCAAACTCATCAAAAGAAACACAGGGATTACGAGGGGCTAGGTTGATGCGTTGTTGTTTTGAAAATTTGCAATGGATATGCAAATTTTGTAGGGATTACAGATGTGTTTGTTTTTGAAATATTTTACAAGAATATTTTTTGAAATATTTTAAAATAATATTTTTTAAAATGAAGTATAAAAAATTGCATAAATAATATAAAAAATAAAAAATATGTTTGATATATTAATTTTTAAAAATAAAAATAAAAAAAATATAAAGAAACACATCCTACTACAAATTAAACAAGAGAAGCTTATCCCTCACAAATTTTACTATGAATGTTGTAAGAGATTTTTGTTCCCTTAATTTTAATCAAATATACATATATATATATATATATTCAATTACAAACTACCAACTTGCAACCAAATATACGAAAACTACAATATTATATATATAGTATTATATATTTCATCTGCTCGACTTTCTTTTACAAGATTTTGACAAATTTTACATTATTTATCAAAAATTTTTCCTTCTACTTCGTCGGATAATCTCCGCAATTACTTGTTCTGATTCTACATATTGATCGAAAAGAAAATGGAGCACCTAACAACGCATCTTCACAGACCAAGAACTACGAGATCACCCCCTTAAAAAAATTTAAAATCATACACTTATATTTTATTTTCTGCATTATATTAAAAATTAATTTTACATTAAAATTAATACTTATTTATATCACATCGTCCATCTGTTCAAATTAAAAAATTTTACTATTTGAATTCCAACACAAAATTCAAACTCCTATAATCTTCGAGTATTATAATTTCAAAAGGTGACATAATTAGAATTATAATGTTAATCTGCAATGGCCCATATTTAAATTGGACTCGGCCCAAGTCCATTATATTCATCAGACCATTTTCTATATCACTCACTCTATAGTTTGATTTACAACGTATTATTGCAAATGCTTATAATAATTAATAGCACCGTATCATAAAATTTTATTATGTAGGAAATTTAAAGTCACCATATAGATAAATATTTTTGGAGTTTTGAAAAAAAAAAAAAAAAAAAATTGATTTTTTTAATATAATATTTGTAAAAGAAAAAATATATTTTATAAGATAATTTTGAAAAAATAATTGTTAATGAATAATATTAAAACCTCTAGAAGTACCAATGTAAACAGAGTTACACTTTAAAATAATCTTGTGTATAATACACATGAATTTTTAGGATGAGGATTATGGATAATCAATAGTTCTAATTGACACATAAAATATAATTTTGATAGCATTGCTTTATTTTATATTTCATTTCCCAATATCCCAATACAAAGTACTATTTTGTGTTTTTATAGTTCATTTAGAACTAATAATATTTGATTAATTAAAAAATAATAAAATTATTTAAACGTAAAAAAAAAAAAAAAAAAAAAAAAAAAAAAAAAACCGCCAATGTGACTGTGTGCTTCTTTCGATAAGTGCAGATTACACCAAAATTAAATGCTGCAGACTTTTGACTAAATTATTATCCCTGCATTCATTATTGTGTTTCGATTTATTATTATTAATTTATTAATTTTACAACACTTGCATTTACTAGGATTATAGAAATTTAGTGTAATATATTTTATATGAGAATGATTACGGTGATAATTTAGAAAAATTTTCTGGCCCCTATCGAAAGGTTAATTTCTACACCATCGTGTCATTTCTTATGGGATCAAATAACACATGTTCTTGTTTAATAAAAATATGTACTGTTTCTTTAGAATGATATACGTGTGTGCGCATAAGAATATGTCATGTCCAAAATATTTTACTATTTTCGTTTGTCTTAAATATTAAAAAAAAAATGTAATTATATATTAATATTATAAAAAAAACTACTGCACATCTTCATTAACTAATAAAATAGTATTTTTATTTTTTTTATAGCGTGGGGATCTGCAACTGAACTTAATATCTTGTAAATTAGGTCCGACAGATAAGTTACATTAAGCGAACTATGTGTGGCAGGTAGAAATGGAGAAATTTTACCGAACATACTGAAATATCGACTTATCGTACCATATCGTGTCGAAAATAGCGAAAATTTCGGTACGATATCGGTATGAATTTTTAAAAAATTTGGTATTTTGGTATGATATTTATTAATTTTTTTAATTATTTTAAAATTTAAAATTATATTTTCGGAATAATCGATATCGTATGACATCTTTAGTGAGAGATGACCTGATGCCATATGACCTTGTGGTCACAAGTTCAAATCCTACCACCAAAGCATTCCATGCGGATAATAAAATATTATTTTTTGATTTAATACAAAATTGCAAAGGCTTTTTTATTAAGTAAAGAAGGAAGAAATATATTAAAGACATAAAGATTAACAACCAAAAAAAATCTATAGAATGCATAATAAACAATAAGGAATACTTCATTTATTTCATTTTATCTTTAGAAATTATCAGTACAATTAATTCTTAATCAACGGCCAATACACCGCTGATACCACCGGACCCACAATTTCAACGGCGTGGATCCATCTATCATTGGCGCCGCTCTAACGCCAAACGACGCCGTTCCCTTTACCCAAAATTAAATCAATATATAATTTATTTATTTTTAATTTGAAAATTCAGCGAGTGGTCATCCCCTTCATGTTCCCAAACAAACTGTACGTCTCCAAAACCCTCCTTCCAATTTTCAAGAACAACAAATTGTACTTACTGCACTCACTGCTAATTCATTATAATGCATCCATGAAAACCCATCCCAAATTTCTGAAAAATTAATGGCGTCTAACCTGTTCCTCCTCTGCATCATTTTCTTCCTCCTCCTCTCGTCGAGTGCTGTTTCAGACTCTGACATGGAGAATTTGATCCTGTTCAAAAACTCCCTCAAAAACCCTGAAATCTTAACCTCCTGGAAACCTTCCATTCCTCTATGCAACTGGACCGGCGTCTCCTGCGAAGAAGGCCGAGTCAACTCGCTCGTGCTGTCCCCGGTTCGCTCACTCGGCGATCGACTCAGTGGCCCTCTCCACGTCTCCCTGTTTTCGCTCACCGCCCTCATTGTTCTAGATCTTTCCTCAAACCAGTTGTACGGCGCCGTTCCGCCGGAACTAGCCTCGCTGCGGCGGCTGGAGTCGCTCGATTTAGGTGGTAACCGCCTCACCGGTGAGTTACCGAGTCAACTCGGCGAGTTAACTCGCTTGCAGAGGCTGCGACTCGGTCCAAACTCGTTCACCGGGAAAGTACCGCCAGCGCTCGGAAGGCTCTCGATGCTCGAATCTCTTGACCTCTCCGGTAACTCTCTGACGGCGAATATCCCGCCGGATTTGGGGAACTTAACTAGGCTCCAGGTCATGGCGCTCGGAGATAATCTTCTCACAGGTTCGTTGCCTCCGAATCTGTTTACAAACCTTCCATTTTTGTCGTCGTTAGATTTCTCTAACAACGCCCTGTCCGGCGAGTTGCCGCCGGAAATTGGTCGCCTGAGCTCTCTCCGGGAGCTTTACGTAGGAAATAACCGTTTCTCCGGCGAGTTTCCGGCGCAGATCGGCCTCCTATCCAACCTAGAAATTCTCTACGCATCTTCGTGTTCCCTGGCTGGACCTTTACCCAAAACGTTCTCGAAGCTGAAATCCCTAACCAGACTCGACCTGTCCAACAATCCATTAAAATGTTCGATCCCAGAATTCATAGGAGAGCTCCAAAACCTGACTGAATTGAATCTTGTCGATGCTGGCCTGAATGGAAGCATCCCATCGGAGATTGGGAAATGCACGAATCTGAAAGTATTGCTGCTATCATTCAATTCCCTCTCCGGCGATTTACCTCGGCAGCTTTCTGAGTTATCTATGATGACATTTTCAGCTGAGAAGAATCAGCTCTCAGGTACATTGCCTCCATGGATTGGGAACTGGACACAGGTGGATTCTATACTGCTTTCTCAGAATCAGTTCATCGGGAAAATCCCGCCGGAGATTGGGAATTGTTCAGCGCTAACGCACATTAGTTTGGGAGGTAATTTGCTTACCGGCGAGGTTCCGAAGGAGATGTGTAATGCCTTGTCTCTTTCCGTGGTTGATCTTGGCAACAATTTTCTATCCGGAGAGGTCGGAGAAACATTCGTCGAGTGTGGAAATTTGACGGAGTTAGTATTGTTGGGGAATCGATTACTTGGTTCGATTCCAGAGTACTTCTTTCAGCTCCCTTTGATTATATCTCTCGAGCTTGATTCGAATAATTTCACCGGTCTGATCCCTGCCAGCCTCTGGAATTCGTCGACTTTGGTTGAGTTTAAAGCTGGCGATAATGGGTTGGAGGGTTCTCTTCCCCAAGAGATCGGAGACACCTCATTGTTAGAGGTCATTGTTCTTGATAAGAACTGTCTTACTGGTGTAATTCCGAAGGAGATTCATAAGTTAAGTAGACTCTCGGTTCTTGATCTGAACTCGAATTTTTTCGAAGGGAGTATTCCGGCTGAGCTTGGGAGCTGCACTGCACTTTCGTCGTTGGATCTGGGACACAACAAGCTTACCGGGACGATTCCAGAAGAACTCGCAAGTTTGCCACAGCTGGAGTGCCTTGTTCTTTCTTACAACAGCTTGTCCGGGGCGATTCCTTCGAATGCTCCGAAGTATTTCCAGGAGGTTGCTGTTACTCCCATCTTTAGCTATCTTCAGCACCGCGGGCTCTGCGATCTTTCATTCAACAAATTCACAGGCCCGATCCCTGATGCTCTGGGGAGCTGCTCGATCATTGCGAACCTGTTTCTGAACAACAATTATCTTTCTGGGGCGATACCAACATCATTGAAGCAGCTGGCGAATCTCACAGTGATTGATTTATCTTCGAATCTGCTCACCGGTGGCATTCCTTTCGAACTCGGTAGCTTGGTGAAGTTGCAGGGGTTGTATCTTGCGAACAATCGACTCAATGGCAGCATTCCGGAGTCGCTCAGTCAGTTAAATGCCTTGGTGAAACTTAACTTATCTTCGAACATGTTAACTGGTTCGATCCCTTCTAGTTTCGGCGACTTGAATGGCCTTACTCATCTGGACTTGAGTTCTAACTTGCTGACGGGTGAACTTCCCTTGGATTTTTCGGGAATGGGGAGTCTTGTCGCGCTGTATGTTCAGCAGAATCAGCTCTCGGGTCGTGTAGTTGAATTATTCGATAACTCGAAAACCTGGAGGATTAAAGCACTGAACTTCAGTGGCAATCTTTTTGTAGGAGACTTGCCTAGATCGTTAGGCAACATGTCGTATTTGACAGTTTTGGATCTTCATAAAAATGGCTTCGGCGGTGAACTTCCGCGCGAACTTGGGAATATTGAGCTGCTCGAGTATTTTGACGTATCTGCGAATAAGCTAGACGGAGAAATCCCCGATGAAGTTTGTAGGCTCGAGGGGCTCCTATACTTGAATCTTGCGGAGAACAACCTGCAGGGTCCGATTCCTGGGGTTGGGATTTGCAAGAATCTTATTGAAGGTTTTGTAGCTGGAAACAAGGATCTGTGCGGTCGAGCATTGAGCATCCGTTGCCCGGAGAGCCATTCGAGAAATTCGCATTTGCTTACCGTTTGGGTAGTGGCAATCGTCGTTGGAGCTGCTTTAGCTATTCTATCGATTACGATAGCCTTAAAGTTTCGGGCTTCTTCGACATTCAGCAGAGATGATGCTGAGAGTTTCGACAGCAAGTTCAACAGTTCGGAGAATCAAAATCTCTATCTGTTGAGCAGCAGCAAGTCGAAGGAGCCATTGAGCATAAACATTGCTATGTTCGAGCAGCCCCTCCTGAAGCTAACATTAGACGATATTCTTACAGCCACGAACAACTTCTCGGCATCTAATGTAATAGGAGATGGCGGGTTTGGCACTGTGTACAAAGCCATCTTGCCTCACGGGAAGATAGTCGCCGTGAAGAAGCTCAGTCAGGCGAAAGTGCAGGGGCAGAGGGAGTTCTTGGCGGAGATGGAGACGCTAGGAAAGGTGAAGCATCGTAATCTAGTGTGCCTTCTCGGCTACTGCTCCTACGGCGAGGAGAAACTGCTCGTCTACGAGTTCATGGCGAACGGGAGCTTAGATCACTGGCTGAGAAACTATCGCGAGCCACTAGTCTTGGACTGGACGAATCGATTCAAGGTCGCAGTTGGCGCAGCCCGGGGATTAGCATTTCTGCATCACGGGTTCACTCCTCACATAATCCACCGCGACATCAAGGCAAGTAATATCCTACTCAATGCGGAGTTTGAACCTAAAGTGGCTGATTTCGGGTTAGCAAGATTGATCAGCGCATGCGAGACGCATGTGAGCACCGACATTGCTGGGACGTTTGGATATATCCCTCCCGAGTATGGTCGGAGCTGGCAATCTACGACAAAGGGCGACGTCTACAGTTTTGGGGTGATTATGCTTGAACTGTTGACGGGGAAGGAGCCGACGGGGTCTGATTTCAAAGACGTTGAAGGCGGGAACTTAGTCGGGTGGGTGGCTCTAAAGGTGAAGAATGGTGAAGGTGTGTATGTGCTCGATCCTACGATTCGAGACGCGGAGTCGAAGCCGATGATGATGAAGACATTGCAGGTTGCTATGGCTTGTGTGTCTGAAAATCCTGCTAATAGACCTACCATGCTTCAAGTTCTGAAGCTTCTGAAAGGGATTAGAGATGATGAGTTGGGAAATTCTAGGGATGTTTAAATGAAGAATTCCAATCCCTAATGTTATGCAAATAAAATTGTACTACGGGTAATGGTGGGGTGAAGGGGAAATGAATATGAATTAAATATTAGCTACTTACTTTGAATAAATATCAGCGGAACCTTCCGGAACATGGTCGTTTGGCCAGGAGCAGAGGTTATCAAGTCACGTGACTCTAATTCGCACGTGCCGTCCTCTTTCACGTCTATCGTGGTTATCCTAAAATGATCCTCACCGTCCATTCTGTCCAATCGTAGTTTGGTCAAATTCAATTGCAGATCCTCTGATTTCTCGGGCTCCTTCGCGATAGCCACGAGGTGATCTGATCGTCGCCGGCGGCGTCCATCGGCTCGGATTTGATGTCGGCTCCGGGAGGTTGTAAGGTGATACCGTGATCCGCTGAAGTACTTCCGCCTTCGCGCCCGCGCTTCAGTCCGATTGGAACTCCGAATAATCTGGCTTTTATTTCCTCCGCGGCGGATCTGATGTTATTCTCCTCGCCGCCGTGCGCTGCTGCGGCTTGTATTTTTTCGGAGCATCGCGTCATCGGGAGCAGATCCAATGGCTTCACGGCGTTCTCCGGTGGATGAATTTTACTGCTGTGCGAGTGATGATCGTTGGCTGCGGCGCTTTTGTTGTTGCTTGCATAATTCGACATTAAAGCGTATATGTTGCCGCATAAGCTTTTCATTTGGCAGAGCTCTTTGTTGAGTTGCACGTTTTCTTTCCTCAGCCTCTCGTTTTCTCCGATCAACTCCACCGTGCTGCCGCTGAACTCGGCGGGGGAATTGGAGGACGAAAGCACTTGCTCTTCTCCCGAATCCGACGGAGACACTGTTTTCGGTAGCGAAGCCTGACTCGGATGTGACGTCGCCTGTGGTTGCACCGCCACTGCTACAGGTGGCGCCGGCGTCGTAATTTTCCGGCGCTGAATGTCGCACAACAGCTTTTTTTCACCTCTACGAAAGCATTCATTCGAAAACTCCCATCGATCAGGTACGACCTTCCTAAATCCCTAGAAATTCATAAAAGTAAGGCTTGTAAGTTGTAACCGGAAGCACAAAACATTCTAATTAACTGCAGGATTTCATAAAAGTCAGGCTTGTAAGTTGTAACCGGAAGAGCACAAAACATTCTAATTAACTGCAGGATTTTATTAATGAATCTTACGTAAGTGTTGAGCTGTCGAACGAAACTCGAGAAATTATTATGCTTGAAATACTTTGGCAGTAAATCTCTAGCAAACTCCGTCGGATTCCACACGATGAAGGAAGATCCATCTTCATTCCACGAAATTATATCATCTATAGCCTGGTCGTCCACCAGCTGATATGTTTTGGTCAAAAACGGCGTCGGTAGAGATCTCGGCGCTTCAGCAGGCGTCGACTCACCACCACCGCTCCGATCCATCGGCTTCACCTACGAAACGAAAGCTTTCCTATCTCAATAGATCCAAAATATAAAAACTTAAAATCACATAAAAGCAAAATTACACTTACAGACGCGAATCCAGCTGCAGAATCCTTGCAGCGATCCAACTCGCAGCGAAATTGTCGGAAGCCGCAACTCGAGAAGGTTATGGTTCTGGAAAAAAATACGGTTACCAATAAGAGAGAAGGTAGCTACAAAAGGAAATTTTCGATGAGACTATGGAGAGAAAATTGGAGGAAAAGTGGAATGGAAGGAAGGAAAGCACGAGAAGCTTCGGTGGAGCCTACGGAAGGATGGAAGCGGCCGTTTCACTGTTAAATAACTTGATGTTGACGACTTTTATAGTCGTGTTTGTCGACAGTCGAAAAAATCGGCGTTGCTTGAAATAACAATAAAGAAAACAAATATTAATATTTAAGCTCTATTATTTTCAAAGATTCCTTTTTACATAAATATTATATTCATCATTATGTAATAGGAGTATAAAATAAACACACAAATTGAACCTACTTTTCCTTTTTAATTGAGTACGTAATCTATTGTGAGAGACCCAACTACACCCGTTTATGATGGCAGTTTTTGGAGTAAATAAATGTATGTAAATCTATTAAAATCTTAGGGACAGAGAGATAAATTGAAACGTCTTTTAAAAAATTTGTTAAATATAAGTTCATAAAATATGTTCTAATAGTATAAGATGAATTTATAATCGTAAAATTATGAATTTGAATATAATTTACAAGTAATTAGATTCTACCTGCTCATAATTAGCTGGGCAGCACGAGTAAATTGGTCAATTTTTATATGAAGATAAAAAAGTAAAAAAAAATTAGATATTATGTCATTATCCCACATTCTAGAATTTCTAATACATCCAACATACATAACATACATACATATAGGGAGATATACACAATTATGTGACCCCCTCACTCTGTCCCAATATCTCTGTCAATTCCCACATCAATCGTGTTTGATTTGGGTTTTGAACATGTACATATATATATATATTTTGGTGGTCTGAAAATTCGATATTTTCAACTTAATATTTCTTGTCAGGTAGTATTGGACTGATATATTTTTGATATTTTGCTAAATGAATTGTGGCCCTCTCTCTCACCATTATGACACTTGGATCCACCATAAATTTATCTTGCCAGACCTATTGAAAAACATCTTCACTTTTTCGAAATAGGTCCGCAAAAGAAGATTTTTGTGTCACTCCTATATTTTCTTTTTGAAAATTATACTTTAAAAAATATTATTATTATTATGCAATTTCTGCTGTTTCTTATAAGAAAGATTACTATATTATTCAACTACCTAAACTAACACTTATGTTTATTCAGCTAAACAAATTCACTTAATAAAGTAGATGCAAATTATAGTAACATAAAAGCTTAAGCAAATCACACAAGTAAGCATTCACTATATGCAGGCTCAGAAAACATAAAGCACCAGTTAAGGAGAATTACTTGTATGATCGTCAGATATTAAGATCCATTTTCTGGCACCGAAGTTTCTGTGTCTTTGCCACCATGCAATGACTGCGTCATGCTTGCTTACGAGCGAACCCCTTTTACATTGTATCATCATCAAGTTGCCTTCACGAAGGGAACCATTTCTAAGTCCTAAGCATATGCATTTCTTTTCTACAAAAAGCTAATAGTTAAAATTCAGAAAATGAACAAAATTTGAAAAAATATAAAGAACAACTAGAAACTTTCGAGATTAACCTTCTTCATCGCGTTCTGATCAGACAGATTTATGCAAATTAGGTTTGCTCAGGGCAGCAACATTATTCAGTGCAAAACTGATTGCATCCTCAAAGTTATGGACAGGAGACAATGATTCTACAAGAATCAGGATGGATGTTTTGTTAGACAAATCACAAAATCTAGCCATTCTAAAAACTAATAATAATGAAGCAAAGTGTCAATTTCCAGTATCATTATCTGAATTTTTGCGGGGTTTTAAAGCATCTACTCCAACGGTTGTCGACTTTTGGGGAGTTCTTGATAATTGACTGACAAAGGGATTGACTTTCATCAATATTACATTAAAAAATCTATATGCATCTATTTCTGTTATCTCCATGGTAAATTAATGAAATTTTGATGACATAATAGCCATATTGCAATTTCATACCAAAAAGGTTCACCAAGATCCATAAATAATCTAAGCAGCACTTTCTTTCAGAGAAAATGAACAGCAAACTCTTCTAGATCCTAATCTGATCTTCAATTATCACAGGTAGAAAATTTACAACACAAACATTCAAAAAGAAAAAGATGATTTCTAACCATATTTCTACCTTCCTTGAGCAGAGAACTTCCATAACAATGAAGAAGAGCAACCTTAAAATCAAGGCTATAACCAAGTGAAATGTGAATTTATAACATACTATCAAAACAAACATGTCTATATCAAAATTAAGGAAGAGGGAAGCGCAACAAGCTCTTAAAAACACCATCATCATCATCAGAATGATATGATGTCTTTGGCTAAGTAAGTTTCTAACTCACCGGTTCATTTGCTTCAATATACCCCAGGTTAGCTTCATCCCATCTCACTTGCCCTCTGGTATACAAATTTCTGAAATTAACAATGGCTTCATTAAAACCTTAAATCATCAACTCTGCACATATATATATATATATGAGTGTGTATAAATTCTACTATTCCATTTATGTCTAAAATGCAATCACCAACTAAGAAATCAAACCCCAAAGTTTCTATAATCCTATGAAATTTCAAATAATTCAATAGCTTATTCAGCACTAAAAAACCATTATACTTCACACTTCATAATGTACTAAGGACTGCCAATCGCCATAGCTGAAAATGAACGTGGACTTCATAATGCAAAACTTCCAGCAGCTATACCTAAATCTTGAATGAAATTTCCATACTGCAAATTCTAATCCTCTACAAGTTGATGTTCTCACATATGAAGATTGAACATATTTCACAAATAAGTCATAAAAAAAAAAGAAAGAAAGAAAGAAAAAAAGAAAAGCTTGACGTCAACTTCTCAAGCTCGAGAAGACAATCCTGCAAAGAAGAAAACTACTTCAGTATGAACGTATTCACATTTTCACCATACTTTCAGTCCATACTATCATTATCAAAAGAAAATAAAAAGATTAAAACCACATGAAACCACAAATTCAATCCAATAAACAAAGCGACGCATTATTTTCTAGCAATGAATCAACAACTTACAGAACGCAACGCCATAAAGTGAGTTCAAAAGCCTCAAATTCGCAACACACAATGATTTCAAGGTCCTACGAACAGCAACCGATTGGGAACGAGCAAAAAATCGTTTGAAGAAATGATTCTAGTCCTTGCTCCTCCTGCAATAGCGCAATTCCCGAATTAACCCTGGTGGTCAAAGGTGACCGTACTCTACTTGAGCCGGATCGGGTTCTTTTTTCTTTTTAAATTAAATAATGACCTGATTTCTGGGTCAAAAGGCCAAGGGTATTTAAGGAAATTCAGTTCTCAGTTGGGAGAATTGGGGATTCCAATTTACAAATCTGACTCTCTGCTCGTTCCAATAACCCTCTGTGGCGGTGCCGAGGAGCTCTTCGATCGGCTCTCACAACTATCCATAGCGCGTCCGAGTATATTTCTTCGTGTAATTCTCAGCAAACGCCTCTCATCTCTGCTTATTGTTTTCTGAATTATGCGTAATTATATATGATTTGAATCCGCGACTCCCATTTCGGATTTTTAAAAATAAATTTATTGTCCGAATGTTTCGGTTTATCGATGAAGTAGGTTATATGGTTGATTTCGCTTTATACGCCTGTGATGGTAGAATCATGAGTAGATTGTTTGATTGTAGCAAAGTTGAGATCTTGATCGTCTTGCTCTGTACCTGCAAATTCTCGATTTTGTTGTTCGGATGCGGCTGTAATTTCTTAATTCTGATTTTATTTATTTATTTATTATTTTTTTCAGTCAATAGTTGTTGGATTTGGATGTGTAGGAGTTACTTTGGGTTTTTATATTGGCGCATGCTGTATTGGTGGGGGTTGTTCTAAGTTATGTTCTTTTCATTGCTGAATCATATGGGGGAAGGGTTTTCAACTCATTATTTCATTATGTGCTTTCCTAGTGATCCGGCTGGATAGTTGTTTCTTGGTTCATGTGGAAGTAAGTGATGTCGACATTTTGAATCTTGATCACTAATGATGTTTAGTTTATAGAAGAATTGCCAGAATGTGATTTTGAACTAATTCGTATGTTTGATGTTGGATGGTTATACCAGTCCACAAATGACATTTTACAGTATACGAGTTCTTTGTTTTGTTGGATATTAGTTTAAATGTTGCATAAGCAATAAATATTTTGAATGGAGATGACCTGCACAACCTAACATTATATTCACTATTTTCATACTGAGCTATGATGTGCTAACTACAGGATATAAGCTTTTCTCTTCACTCCTGTTTTAGGGTATTCTGTAGTTACTTCAGTTCTTTTATGTTCATTTCACTGAAACTATGCATATCCTGTAATTGTGGTTTCGTGATTCGAACATAACCCAAGAAACTACTGGTTTATTATTTTGCTTTCTATATCTGCTATACGATATATATTTGTTTATATATTTCTGAGTCATAGTCTATTTGTAAAGGACACTGAAGATTAAAGATAACAGAAACAAACAGAGAGGGCCGATGTTTTCACTGCTATATGGCCTATGGAATTACATGTTCAGCAAGATGGAGTTTCATGTTCTTATTCTTGGAATCGACAAGGCTGGAAAAACTGTAAGATCTCAACTATATCCATATCTGGAGTTTGTTTGATGCCATCCTATGTCTCATTCCTATATTATGATAACTATTGATCAGATGTTTAAACATTGACAACTATAAGAATCATATATCTCCCTTTGGGAGCTAGCTTTTCTTTACATTACTGTTAATAATACTAAATATTAGAATAGTAGAGCCAGACTTGAGGATGGCTGCCTAATGAATTGGTTTGATTAGAACAATAGTTCGATGTAGGCTTTTCTGTAAATTTAGCTGCTAAGATATGCACCAGTGTGAAATCTTTATTTTGAACTAGTTTTAAGGGATGATATGCAGACATTTCTGGAGAAATTGAAGTCTCAGTACTTGAATCTGGAAGGCCTACCACCTGATCGGATCGTTCCAACTGTTGGACTCAATATTGGTCGTGTTGAAATGGCTAATACAAAGCTTGTGTTCTGGGACCTGGGAGGTCAGGTTTGAAATGTACTCTGGACTTCTTCGATAATCTGTTGTGCATAACCATATATTTCTTTAGCCGGGAGCCTATTCTTATCTAAAGCAATTTATATTGACACGAGCCTTAATTTTCAACAGCCGGGCCTTCGCTCCATTTGGGAGAAATATTATGAAGAGGCGCATGCTGTGATTTTTGTAGTTGATGCAGCTTGTCCATCCCGGTTTGAAGAGTCAAAATCAGCACTTGGTAAACATTACAGAAAGCCAATAATTTTCCTGGTGTATTCTTAGTATAATATCCGATGTTGTGCCAGTATGCTGCCTCCAATCTCCTATTTTGGTCTGCAGAAAAGGTTCTACAGCATGAAGATTTGCAAGGAGCTCCACTGCTGATATTAGCAAACAAGCAGGTAAATCTTTTACACTCAAAATTATCCATTTCGGGATATGTAGAACTTGGTATGCATTTCTTTGATTCCATAAGCATTTTGATGCACAATTAGGTAACTCCAGGTGCTGAATTTGTTATATGCTGCCGTGATCTTTGCAGGACCTTCAAGACGCCTTATCAACTGATGAACTTTCTCGTTACCTGGACCTCAAGAAATTAGACGAGCGGCTTTATACATACCAAACTATTTCAGGTTATGACGGGTACGTTCAGTTCAAAATGATAAGTTTCTTTGCAGTTCGAACGAGCCCCCTTTAGTCTACATAAACTTTTTTATTACAGGCTGGGGATAAAAGAAAGCATTAACTGGCTGTTAGATGCTATGGAAAGCAGCAAAAGAACTGAAAGGTTGAGGCTTCGAGCCGGATCGAACATTGTTTAGAGGTCTTGTCCCTATATACACATACAGAAAGTACCTTTCTCATAACCTTGTACCTAAAGTGAAAAGGTCTGTCTATTAGATTGCTCTCTGTTTTGATGCAGAACACCATTTGAAATGCTTTCTTGTAACAAAGTAGGGATCTCTTATGTGAAAGCTACGCTTTTTTCCCAGGTATATCTATGGTACCTAATGATGAATCCACATATTCTTGTTAGGAATTTCTCTAGCCTTTCTTTATCAGTGATCCAAATTGTCATATTCTTGATGTAATACTTTGTTTTCAAGAAAATGGGATATAGTTTTAAAGTCCATCTCAGGATGTGAAATTAAATAGAAACCCACAGGGAAATTTGACTGAAAGAGACTGCCAAATGATTAATAACTATTTGATCCATTTTTCCCTTGACGCCTGATTACTTGATCCCAGATTCTAAATGCAGATATACAGAATTTATCATCCTTGCCAGATAGAATTAAGAACTTAAGGTTTGTTCCTGAAAACCCTAAATACAGAAGTACCTACCCATTCCAATAACATGTCAATTTCACCAAGAAATGATAGATTAATGGGAGATCTGAAAAATACCTGAGAAGAAAAGCAGCAGAGAAGCATGATCCAGAACTGCACTTTGCCTTAATCTGCATTCTTGATCAAAGCTACAGCAATAAGTAGTTAGGGATAAAAGTCGAGCGAGTAAAATTACTTTCTCCCCAGCATCAATACACTGTCTTTTTCAGAGTATCGCTATGTTCTTAAACTCAAAATCACTAGCGGAGTTCTGCATTAGTATATATACGTAAGGGCTACAGAATTCACACAGCATCAGGCAGCCAGGCATGGGAAAACCTTCGAAAACAATTTCCACCGTACACGCACCTCATTTTGTTGATCCATAAGTTTCCGAAGTTTAGCTTCATTGCCTCACCCGGAGCTGCTTTCCATCATCAAACACATTACAGGAGGATTGCCTCATAGTGTAGAAGTTATCTGACCTGATTTTCGGTAATGTTGGGGTTGGTGTGTCATATGAGCTACCAAAAGGTTGCTCGAATGTGATCTGAAGTTTTCCTGATGGTTTGTTGGTTAACCTTCTGACAGAGAACTCAACGCGAGGGTCAACGGCCCAGATATCCACTGAAGAAGTCATCGTTGAAGTGGAACCTGGAATAGTGGAAGATGCAGAGCTGTTGCTGATGCAAACTTTGCTTGCTTCTTCAATCGGGATCGCACCCGTGAGAGTCTTGATTGCGAATTCAATGCACGGATCCATCAGCAGATTCTCAATGGTGGAGCCGAGACTTTTCTGCTCTTCAGGAGGGACAATCTTTTCCAGCTGATTGTTAGCTGGATTCTCCACCCTGCATTTTAGGGGAGGCTCTTTTGGTCTCTTGGATACGCCGGATTTTCCCTCCACATCGATCTCAACTTCTTCTAGTGGTCTAGCTTTACCTTTACTGATATTTTTGGTGTCGCTGATGTCTGTCTCACCTTCATCGCCAACTTTTACGCTTGTTTTTGCTTCCATTGATGGAATGACTGCCGCACGAGCAAGTCTTGGTGAAGTTCTACATGGTAAGTTGTTGACCCTTTTTCTTTTCAAACCTTCTGGGCCTACTAACACAATGAACCGAACAATTCTTGAGGAGTATAATCTATAACTAGAATGCGAATGTAGAATCTGTCCAAAGATTATCTTGGTTACCTGAATGATTTGTCGCCGCATTATCCTCTAGTTGGATGTCAGGCGTTTTCTTACTTGTCCATTGCACCTTATCATTTACTGCACCTGAGTTTGCTAGAGTTTGATCCTTGCTCGTAGATTTTGCCGCTGCTTTGTTTCTGGCCACCTTCCTAACATCCTTTAATCTATCCAGACGTTGCTTCACCTTTCGTAGCTTATCAGAAAACTCGATTGCTAGACAAACTTCTTCTCCTCTCTGCTTGACATCCTGTGCCATTGCTGCAGCAACCTTCATACGGCGTGCAGGTCTCGGTTTCAGCTTCAGTTCTGACTTAACACTGTCGTGGCGGATCATATTTCTGTCGGCTGTCTTGTCAATGGTCAACTAGGGACAAACCAAGCAATGTCAAAACATGAATTAGATAGTAACAGAAAACCGACGGATTGATCAACAGGAAAACATACAACAAGATTACTAACATTATGTCTTGGCTTGGTGGCCTCTGTCTTCGGCTTGGTGTTTCTTATTTCCTTGGATTCAAGATACCGAAGAACTTCTTGCATGGAACGGAAGTGGCGGCCGCTGACAGGATCAATGTAAGTCTGGTTACCACAGAAGCTCTTATTAATACACACCAAGACTTAAAACAAATGTTACATATCGAAAGAAAGCCTATAACCTGTGAGAAACTACACAGTTGTCGAACCAAATAAATCTCAGGAAAAACAAATATATGAATGAATAAGGAAATCAATACCGGGTCTCGCCTTGTCCTGCCATGTCGCCTTTTAGTTCGGACCTCCTTAATCCATCCTGGAGGTAAGTTTCCAGTGACAGTCTACAAGATTGCAATGATAAAATAAAACAATCACTTGAAGTACTGGAAAAGAATGTCGCAATAAACATGAAGGCCATAATTTCAGGTCCCCAGTGCATTTCCAACGGGTCCACAACAAAAAGAATGGCACAAACAGAAGTAGACTTAAAATCTTCTAGTTCAACTAAGATCATCTAATTCAACTAAGGTGATATTAACACTAGGGATGCCTGGAGCTTACCTTAACCAGATTCTTGGCTTTTCGATCTCTTCCAGAACATTTGAGAAACCGAAGCACCTCTGGCTTGGACTTGAACTTAAGGCCATTTGATGGATTGATGTAGTACTAGAACAAGCCCCGAGTACACAATAATAACCAAAATTTGCCAATGTTAACTTGGGAAGAGTATAAAGATACTAAAGAACCATTAGTTTTAAGTTTGGCACGCTGATTATGAATCGAAAAATTAGGACAGCTCCTCATACTACCGAAACATGTTAAGGTTGTATATATATATAATGTAGTATCATATGATCACACAAAATTCATTCCCAACAGAACAAAGCTGTGGTCAAATTTTATCGCATTTCATTCAAATGGTAACCAAGATATGATAATAATCTTTTGGGATTTGTTTACCTAGGTTTTAATTTTGAAATTTAGTTTGAGTAATAATTTTGAATGTGATATTTTACTTTATATTTTATTAATAATTTTGATGAAGAAAGAACTCTTCATGGTAAATATGGCCTAAACATTGGTTTGAAATTTTAAAGAACTTCTACACGAAAAAGGCAAAATCTTAACAAAATGCATGTTACAACAGCTAATCAAATCCCTTTATTTGTTGGGCAGCCTTATGAACAAACATTATTTTTGTGATTTTTCACATTATCTATAAACATATGCTTTCAAACTTACTTTGACACTAGTAATAAAAACTTCTTTCTAAAAATATATATATATATATATATATTCAATATCTATTTTTATTTAGGGTGTGTTTGTTTTGGAGATTCGGATTTGAATTGGAATTTAAATAGTAAAAAAATTAAATTGGAATAGTGGTATAATGTACATAAATAAATATTGATGTGATATTTCGAACGTAAAATTAATTTTTAGTATAATATAGAAAATAAATAAATAAGTGTTTGATTTGATATTTTTAGAGAAAATTTTTTGTGTAAATACAATCCTTCAAACAAACACACCCTTAATATATTAGGGTAGAAACTTATTTTAGATACAAAATAGAGTTCACCATAAAGGTTCCGTTTATGCAAGTTCTTCAGATTTTGAAATTTTTAAAAAACTTGTAATAATGGTCTCAAAACTTGTAATAATGTGTAGGCAAACAATTACACTGTATTACATACATTTTTTTTACTCACTTTTTAATTGAGCCAAACATTTCTAGAACTCACAAAGCTCTGTTTATATATGTTTTCCCACATATTACTTCTGGCATTGTTTATCAGTACTATTTTTTTAGTATCACATAAAATATTACGTTAAGAACTTATTTTCTAATAAAAAATATATTTGCATCATATCAAAATATATTTTTCTTTAAAACTTTTTAATATTGTCAAATATTCCTAAAACCTCCAAAACATGTGATTTTCCAGCATGCAGAGAAACAAAAAGTTCCTAGAAGGCTCCTAGATCATTGTTCGAACAAAATTTCAGCATAAATCAAACTGAAGTTAATCAATCACCTTGTCTTTCTTGCCAGAGGACCTCCGGGCTTTCACTGTAACTCTCCATCCCGCCGGCAACCAATCCGGGTGCTCACACCCCATTCCACAGCTATAATTGCGATCCGATCGATTCTCTAAACCTAAGAATTAATCAAGAGGAAACAGAAACAGAAACATAAATGCAAAATATACAGAGAGTAGACTAGAGATGAATAATAACGGTGCTGTTGCTTCTTAGTCAGTTCCCAGTCTCCATTGCTGAACACATTTTTTATGTGGTTAACCGATTCCTAGAGCAGATTGTGGAGGAAAGCATGGAAATAGAAATGGTGAGAGAAAAATAATTAATTAAAGTAATTGGGGAAGGGAGGGCGGTGCGAATGAGATGACTGATGAGACGGTGGGTGGGAAATGTGGAATCGGAGAAAACCGCCTCGACAACCACGTGGTGCCCCTCCAAATTCTCTCTCTCTCTCTCTCTCTCTCTCTCTCTCTCTCTCTCTCTCTCACTCTCAGATTCACTCTCACTCTCAGATGAGTGAATGAAGAGCTGCTAGTGAGTGAGTGAGCGGTTTTTAATGGCGAATTTCGAGAGTGAGTTTGAGGTTAGAGCATTTTGAGGGTTTTCAATTGTTTCCTCTCTGAATTGAGCTAGCAGATCTCCCATCCATCAATCCATCCATCCATCCATGTGACGACTGACCACCACTGTAATTGTGAGGAGGTAGAATGAATTAGGAATTCTCCACCAACATTTCAACCACAAACTTTAGAGAAAGAGGAACACACTACACTGCACTACTGAATTTGATCGTTAGTTGAATTAATATAGCAGCAGGGGAAGCGTCAGTGCTCCTCCATTTACTATTACGCTTTGTTTTATATAATATATATATAATATATATGTATACGTGTGTGTGATGGATGGCCACCGCCTTGTGATGAACTTCCACTGAGATTTCATTAATGGAGGTGTATATAACTATATATATATATAAAGCAATATTATTTATTCTTTTCTTATTCTGGATGTTTTCTGCAGCACGCTGCTCTAATTCCCCCCTCCAAGGTCTTTTATTTTTTTTGTTTTAATGGAATGTGTGTGTCGAGAGTTCTACAAGGTCCGGGAGTTTGATTTGATACAACCACGGCTGTGGTGCGGTCTGCACTCATGTGGACCCAACCTATTTTTAGATTTTAGAATAATTTATAATTAATAAAATAAATAAACAAATACTCTGTTGAGTGCAAACCAAGTCTCTTTTTGAAAAAAAAAATAATAATAATAATAATAATAATAGTAATACATTTTAGAAATCCTACAGAAATTCTTATTAATATGATACTTTTGGAAAAAAATCTAAACCCTTCATGGTCATAATAGAAAAGAGAAGTCTACTTCAATGATGCATGGTACTATGGTAGATTATGAGAGCAAATATATATTGTATCAGTACTGCTCTCAATTGAGTATATATGCAGTAATTAATCGGAGCAATAACCTATTGGGCAAGATTGATTGTGAGTCAAGTCAACCTAAGATCAAGCACAACAAACTGTTATACATCAAAACTATTTATTAATGAATTCATCTTCATTCCAATGTCCATGCAGTAATCAGATGAGATGATTGTACACAGAAAAGACAAGTCTTACCAATTTACCAGATATGCATGAGCTTATTCGCGACGGTTTTGGCGTGTTTCAGACTCTGGAGCCTCCGGGCATCATCTTCTTCGTCGCGCAAGGCGAGAGTCAGGTGAAGTAATAAATTACTGAAAGGTTTATCGATTTCTTCCTGGTTTCTACTTGCTGCTTCTGTATCTTCCGATTTATGGTCATCGGTCGAATGGATGGTTAATAGCTTGCTTTTCCTTCCTTCGTATGTTTCGTGTTTCAGCCTTTCCGCCATGTCCACAGCTCGACTAATGCACGAGGAAGGTAGCTGAAATCAAGATGAAGAACTTAAATGATTATTACCAGCTCATCGAACGAATTATAATATGGAAACTTACTTGTGCAAGTTTGGCGACTTTGAACCCAAAGCTGCTTTTCGAAACACCGGGCACGAGTTTGTAAAGGTACGTAACATCGTCATGATGGGCAGCATCCACACCCTGATCAGGTTTGAAATCTGTTTCCTTCTGAGCTGTCAAATACGAAACATGGTATGCTCCCACCGAGCTCGGGAACTCATTTCTGACATCAACTATTTCAGGATAATGGGTGACGAAAAGGGTCATGCATTTTTTGTGCTCCAGAAGATAGTGCAAGGTAGCATAAGCGATGGCCACACCATCATGTGTGCTCGTGCCTCGCCCAAGTTCATCGATTATGACCAGCGAACGAGAAGTACAGTGCTGAAGAATGTGGGACGCCTCACTCAATTCTTCCAGGAAAGTGCTTATGCCAAGCTGGATGCTGTCCGAAGCCCCCATTCGAGTATAAATGCCATCCAGAATGTGCAGTTTTGCTGAAGCTGCTGGTACGAAACAACCAACCTAAGGAAATCAGATGCACGTAGTGAGGTTACCATTAAAGGAATTTCTAAAGAAAATAGATGCACATTGTGAAGTTCTATGAAAGAGATTCATGGGATGGGCTGCAAATTAAACAAAGTCGAAAGAAAAATGGGGAATGAAGACGTGCTTTAAAAATGCAGAAGTTGCAGAAATTATTATCTCCGAGGCAGACAGGAAAAGTTTATTCACCTGAGCCATAAGTGATATAAGGGCAACTTGGCGAATGTAGCAGCTCTTGCCACCCATGTTTGGTCCGGTAATAATTTGGCAGTACTGCTTATCTGCATGTAGATCGGTATCATTGGGAACAAATTCATCTCGCAAAATAGTTTCCATAATCTGCAAAAGAGCAACCGTGAACTTTAGCTTAAAGGTATAAGTGGAGTGTTAACAAAAATATGAATTCGTAATTTCATCCAAGCAAGGTAAAGATTGTCAAACAAAAATGCTTTATACACTGCATATTGTGCTCTCTTATGGTTTTCATTTTCTGTTGTTTAAAAATAAATAGATAGTCCTAACTATTTCTATTCACTTTCCCTCCCTTCAAAACAGCTAAATTCAAGCATAACCTAAGAACAAAATAGGAAACACTCATGGTGGGAATCTTATGATTATAAACTTCAATAAACATCGGAATCAGTATCCACAAGCAATTTTATTATTATTATTATTATTATTCTTTAAATTTCATAGTACAAATTCAACAACCATCTAATAATCACTAAGCCAAGTCGCAGAGACAAACCGGATGTCGACCTGATCTGATGATAAGCTGCGCAGGTTCATCATCACTGACAAAAGTTGGACGAACATAATTCTGCCAAAAAAAAAGGTTCAGAGGGATTTAATTGGAAGAGTTGTTGCAAGATGAAAAATAAGAGATCCACAAGAATTCAAATATGAAACCTTAGTTTTAGAAAGCTCAGCAAGCGAATATAAGCAATCTAAAGCAGCTAATGCTTGGACAGCAGCATGAAACTCGGAATATGAGCAATTAAACGCCCTCAGAAAGCTATCCCAAGCAGCTCGACAAGCAACAGAGAGTTCCTCAGTCACCAGGGTCAACTGATCTAGAGCTTTCAGTACTTCAGGTGGATGGTACCTAATTGTCTTCTTGGTACTATTTACTTTAACCCAATTTGAAGGTGCGTCTGCATCAAGAGGCAGCTGCATGGAGAGCTTATATTAATGAGGCTGCAGAATTCGGAGGACAAATGTGACCCCTCCCACATAATATACAAACCTGTTTTTACATATGTTCCATCTTTAAATAGCAGTGAGATATGAAACAATTATTTAAAGGGCTTGAGTTAGCAGAATTGGGACATAAAAATTCAAGCAAAATGGCCTTATTAGAGTAAAATACTAAATAACAGTAGCTAACAGAGAGAAACTTACAAAAACTGCTAAAAGGCAATATATAATACCTCTATCAAATGAGTGACTCCAGATACACTGATATATTCTAGACTGCTCTTCCGCAGCTGTTTCCGATATAAAGAAAGCAATTCAATTAACTTATCATTTGCCAATTGAACTTTCGACTTTGCAGATGCTACCTATAAATGCAAGAAATGTTTAGGTAGATATCTCATTAGCTAATGATGACAAATTATATAACAATTTAGAAAATTAATTAACTTTTTTAATCAAACCTCCAAAAAATTTCCATCAGAGAGAATGAAAAGATTTGGAAGATCTTGTTGATCAGCAGCTTCTTTGTTCAACATAGTCAAATATTTTGCAGCAACTTTGATAACACTGGGAGAGGAGGCTGTCAATATCAACTTTCTTAGCAAAACAGAGCGCAAAGTGCTAACTTGTTTGTCTTCATTCTCTTCTTCAACATGTAGTTGACGCAGCTGTCTTCCAGCAACTAATATAGCTTGAACAACCACAATAAACTACAGAAAATAAATAAAATAAAAGATTAATACCAAAAAAAAATCAATAAGAAGAATAAGAAGAAGATTAAAAAATTATTGAGCATATTAGTAGAGACTGAATTGCATATCAATACAAAGATAACAGAGAACAACTAATAATAAATAAAATCAGTGGAATCCCTGAACTATGTCTGTATCAAATGCTATTTATGTAGTCAACTATAGCATGGGTATCCTTTATTTAAATAAAATCTTATAAAGGAGCAACGTTAAGAAACTAAAAGACTCAGGCATGCAACGATTTTAATAGAAAATAAGTAGTGACATGCAGATAACACCCAGAGAGAAGAAAACAAAAAGACTCAAGCAAGCAATCACATTTATATGCATAGGGGGGTATATGAAGCATAAAAACAGTGAAACCAAAAGTTATTTCTTACCTCTGATGCAGTAGCAGTCCTGTGGAAAATTCTTGTAATCCCACGCTGAATATCAGGTGCCCTTCCTAATGAAATCAAAATTGAGGATAGCATATGATGAAGATCATGCGCAGCAGTAATTTTGGAAATTTTCCCATCATAGTCAACCTCTGAATCTTTGGAAGTCATGGATTCCAATATTTCTGAAACAGCATCAAAACGAGCATATACCATTTTTCTATCACACAAGGGATGACTTACCTATAAATATACAAAGCAAGTATCAGCATTTGCAGTATAAAGTATTAACAACCACGATAATGGAAAGAGGTAAGGACACTAAACCATTGGCCAGACTCCATACCCAGTGTCTGAGAAGTCTTGAACCAAATACAGTGAGCGTGTGATTCATACAATGCAACAATGAACCTTGCTCAGAACCATCAGAGTTATTTTTCAGCACCTACACATGGTACAAGCAATGTCACCTATTTGTTTAACACAGAGTTAACCTATCACTACGTCATTACCTCCAGCTGTTGCAGAGTGTTGGCTGAAAGGGTCATCTCCATGATGCTAGAAAAAGGCCGGAATGAAGCTCCCAAGCACAAAATTCTTTCAAACCCAAATTTTTTCAGATGACGGGTGGTCAAAGCTAGAGCTTGAATAGCCAAATCAGGCATACCGGTTATTCCCTTTAGAATTCAGAAGAAAACACAGCCATGTCAGCAGTTTATGAAAAAAAAAAAAATTAAAAAAATTGAAAAATACACACACACACACACAAAAAGGAAAAACAATTCAAACGAACAATGGTCTTAAAAGGATATTCCAATCACACCTCTAGTGCCAAGTTATTGCCTTGGGTAGATGATGCAACCTTTCCACAATGATCATTTGTAAGATTATCTTTAATTAAGCCCTCATACAGTGATATCAGTTCAGATCGGGCACCGCCATTATCAAGACAATCTTGTGAAGCATGCTCAATTCGCACATTTGAGGCAGGTCCAGCATATGCCGACAGCAACTGAACAGTATTGGGAAAAACTCAGACAGCTGGAAAGCAAGTTGATAAAAATTATAACAGAACAAGTTAAACAAGACTTCCAATATAAACAAACAGCCGCACCAACACAACAAATTGTAGCAAGCATCACTTCTAAATTCATACACTTTCACAACTGTGCTCCAATCATGGAATTTCACTGTAAGTAACCATTGCGCTTCTAGGAAAATGCCACAAAGAAAGAATACTATTCCTCCAGGATTCTACAATGTGAGATATTACTAATTTACCTCATTTGACCAGGCTATGAACAATGATAAATAAAGTATTAAAAATGAATCTTAGCTACAGGTTCGAAAAGGGAACTACCTTAAATACTCACTATACCTTGTACAAAAGCAGATCTCATTGATGCAGCTGTTTTATTCATTTATAGTCTACAAAATGAGATAAATTTACCTTCTTGGTCTGGTTAGACAATGATCTGCCAAGAAGTAATTCAGCAGGAGTTAAGTTCAAAACCATGGCCTCCAACCGAGACCTCATAAAATTATCATCAAACTGTCCATACACAACATCACCAGTCGAAACTTCGACTGCCACAGCCCCAATCGTCACATCCACTCCACTCTCCATATTCTCCTTTGCCTTCTCCACAACACAAAATAAATAATTACTACTCAATCTACAGCCTTCCTCCCCACCCCCCAAATCCTCAGCAGCCTCCAAAGTTGCCTTAGTATACAATGCCGATAAACCACGACAAAATGGACCTAGCCTATTGGTGCCATGAGCCTTTATTGCCGCTGTCTCGGTTTGCTTAACAACACCAACTTTATAGCCTGCACTTACAAGCCTCCTCACATGAACATGCAGCCTAAACGTCGGAACACTAGCAGTTAAAAAATTATGATCCATGTGTGCATATATACCCAACACTCTAGCAGCATTCTCAGCATCCTCCCCAAAAAATCTATATTTATAACCAACCTCGATCATTAAAAGCACGTCAGGGTACCTTTCTTTGAGTTCAACTACTTGCTGCTCTAACGGCGTGTACTTAGGGTTTATAATATTGTCACATCTCCTGTTTTTGGAGGGTTCCAGGAGGTCTTGAGGAGGTTCCAGAAGCTTGCTGAGGAACTTCTGGTGCAGCGTAGGGTTCGGTAGAGGTAACTCGGAGTTATCGGAGCCTGAAGGCTGATCGAGCTTCGGACGTTTATTGTGGAGTGAATTGAGCAGCGCAGCTCGGCTGCGCTTGGCCGGAGAAAAGGAGACGGTGGTGGCGATTTTTGGCGTGGGCGGAGTGCGCGTGCTTTGTGACCGTGAATTGCCGGCGGCAGAGGCGGAGGAGGAATCCTTGGGTGTAGGTTGAAAGAAGTGGGAAAGAACTTGTTGCTTCTGCTTGCCCATGGCGGTTTACCGGCGGCGACGCCTCTTCCCGCCAGCTTCTCGGTAACTCTCAGGCGGTTCGGTATCCTTCGGCTTTTAGTTCACTGCAATTATTATCTTCAGTGAGATGGGCTCATTGGATATGGGCTGAAAACCTAAAGCCCAAATATCCCAATGGCCCGAATTTCTAGAGAGCCCAATTTTCGCTCAATTTCATCCAATTTGAGGGAAACTAGTATTGGGTTTAGTTTTCATATTATTTCTACGTGGTATTTTATAAAAAAGAATAATATTAATTTCATTTACAAAGTTGAAATTTTTTTGTCACGAAAATTTAGAAAATACTCTGTTGTCCCTGTTAAGATGACCGATGCGTTATTTTTTTTAATAGTGTAAATTAATAAAATATTAATAATATATTATAATAATTTCTCCGTTTAGGAGCAGCTGCAAATATACATATTTTTATTTTGAGATGTTCAATTACAAAGTAATTATTTGTATGCTTTGCACGGCATCCGAAGTACATTTTGTATCTGAGTAAACTTACTTATGAGACATCATATATATATATATACACACGTCGTTCGTTTGTTGCGCTACGCTGCTATTATGTTTTCTTTAATGCAGACATAAGAATTTATGAGGGATATGATTAGTAAATAATTAAGAATGTATTAGTAAAAATAATTATGGTATAATATAAGTAATTATAAATTAAATAATTAATTAGTTTAATTAAAATTAGAAAATAAAATATTTAAAATAAGATTAAAGTGTATAATTTCTTTTTTTTAAATGACAAAATAAGTAGAACGAATGAAAATAGAAAGGTATGCATGATAAATAGGACGAATGGAGTATAAATTAATTTCAGAAAATACAGAACTTATATCATTATTAGTACAATTGTATTCCAAGATATATTAGTAAAGTATTTTGTTCTTTTATTATGCTAATTGATTATTATTTCAATAATACGGCCACGAAGGAGTAAAATAAATAAACAAGAGTGAATGTTCATATGTATTAATTACTTTTATTTTGTATTATTTCAATAATAGTCAATAAAAAACTTAATGACCGAAAAGAATCTATCGAATAAACCAAAAATTAATTCATATAATAAAAAAGTTTTTTAAAAATAAAAAATAATTAAAAAAAGTCTATCATTAATAATGTTGAATGATTTATAACAAAATAAATAATTATATTAATATAATTTTTTGGAAAATGGTGAGAAAGAAAATAAATTATTGGATAAAAGGTATTAATGTAATTTTATGTAGCAAAAAATTTTTAAGGTATATTGAGACTATATAGAACTATTCGGTTGTTAAAATAGACTAAATGTGATTTATTTTATTATTTTTTCTTCTAGTAAATTATTTGAACAATATATCTTTAAATGTTATCAGATAATACTAATATATTATGATCCTCTTGTTATTTCTAATTTGTATATGGATCAAATTATTTATACTACAAATTTCACAATAAGACTCAAAATATATATTATTGTTAAAAACTCATGTAAGAGCTCACTTCATTTGTAAAAAGAATTAACATCGTAATGAATACATTTGAAAGAAAATTATAGTAATAATCAACAGGCCAGCGGATATTATTATTATTATTATTATTATTACAGACTTACATACGCAACAGGAATTTTTCTGAATGAAAAAGTAATGAATTAGTCAATTAGATTAATATATGAAGGAATAGTACTTATAATATTCGTAATATTATATAATATATATGGAAAAAAATAAAAGTTACAATATATTATACAAATGGCATTACTTTTACATTACATCATACTGATAGGAGTATTTTTGTCTTTTTTTTTCTTTTTTTCTTTTTTTTGGTTTTACTGCAATCCAATATAATAGTACTAATATTCAAAAATTTACGTTAAAAAAAAAAAAAACAAACGTCACCCTTCCAACGGGATCGAAGGAGTATTTAAAAAAAAAGAAAGAGAGAGAGATAAATATATTAATTTTGGCTGGACTTTTTTCAAAACTTTCATTGGTGGAAATAATATAATAAGTACGAGTGATTTTACTTAAAATAAAATAAATGATAATTAATTGCCACTTAGCTCAATTATGCTAATTTCTAATTTGAATATTCAATCGCCTCCACCTAACTAAATGTAAATTCTCAATTTTGTAATACAATTGTTATTGTTAAAATAAAATAATAAATGTCAAACAAGAATTGGCACAAGGAATGTTCTAATTTATTTAAATAAATTTCGTACCAAATAAATGTTACGATTTAAGTGGTCCAGCCTATGATTGAATCTGTCTTCGATATACATATTAAAATTCTTCAAGTAACCAATGAATATTTAAAAATAATAATAAAAAAACAGTACACACAAATCATATTACAATATACTTAAGTATACTAATTACATTAATTATTAATACTATATTATGTTTTTCTTGCTTGATGCTAAAATTCCACAACTATATGAACCAACTCAATTCTTTAAATGATTCCCTAAATATATATGATCCGATATTGTCCACCAGAATCAGCTACAAAAACCAATCATAGTACGTTCTTCTATATTCAAATGCGTGTGTGTGTGTATATATATATATATATATTAGTTTCGTATAATATAACTTTTTTGTCATTTATTTAAATGAAGTTACAAATTAGTTTGTAACAACCTCAAAATTGCATTTTAAAATTTCATATCACCTACATTGCAAGCAACATTGATTTAATCTACAAATGATGTAGACTACAAAGAAAATCACATATTATAATTTCCTTTAATATGTTAATGATTTCAATTCATATAATAAAATTAACAAAAACACACAAAAATATCATTCTTTATAATACTTTCGATGATTCCTACGTCACATCAAAAAATACAATAAAAACAATTAATACTAAAGTCCTAAGGCCATCTCCAAAGCAACCTCATTCTTTTAGGTTGCAGCTCCAAATATGGAGATTTACCTCTTCAACCCAACTCCATATCTAACACTATTTTTTGTGTTTGTTACAATGCAACACCAAGCACGCCAAATTTGGAGTTTTTTACTTTTTTTTTTCTTTTTTTCAAAATATTTTTTACAAATTGTAAATTAGTCTTTATAAGAATTGATCTGTAATTTTTTATTGTTTAATTGTATATATTTATATTTTTTAATATAAAAATTGTTTAAAATAATATATAAAATAGATTATTTAGAGAATATTCTTTTTGCAATTGAAAATAAAGTTGTGAGTTCGAGTTAAATTACTGTAGCAACTGAGTTACGTTGGAGATGGATTTGTGCACAAAGTCATGACAAAATAGAAGCTCAGTAATTATTTTATTTAAATTTCCAGAGACTTTAATTGAAAAAAAAGCACAAAAATTCCTTTCAATAACCTAGTGTAAAAGCAAAAAGGACATGCATATAAAAACCCAAATCAGCCCACATGTAAAAAAGAATCACCACAGAGATTCCTAAACTCCATTAAACTAAACTATAAGCTTCAGACAAAACATATTATGAATTAAGACTAAGTAATTAGGCCCAAAGCACATAATAAGCCGACAGAGTAAATAAAAATTTTTAAAAAAATACCTGTCTGAATAGAGAGTAGGTTTACGCCTGCATGTTGACATCAGCAAAAGGATCCAAAGAAGAACCACCCTCCATTTTTGGTCTCCTTCAAGACATTCCACAAATGGGACACGACACCTATGCTTCAATCCCACACAACAAACAATCAATCAATCAAATACCCCTCTTCTTCATTCTATTCTTTACTCAGAATAAAAGTGGTGGTTAGTGAGGAACCTTTAATTTATTTATATTTTTAAAGTTTTTTGGGGATGACCAACTACTGCTTCCCTTTAAATTTTCTGAGTAACCTCTCCTCAGACTTCATGTCCTAAACTCCCCCTGTTTCTTCATTACATTGTCCACATTACCCTGTCCGATGGGCTGCGTGGCGCCAGAGAGGCCGGGGAAGAAGTACAAGAAGGGGCTGTGGTCGCCGGAAGAAGACCAGAAGTTGAGAGACTGTATCCTCAACTACGGCCATGGCTGTTGGAGCTCGGTACCTACCAATGCAGGTCAGAATGTTAAGCTTGTTTTAATGGCATCGAGCTATGTAGTAACAGGATGTCATAAAAAGACATATGAAACAGATTAAATCATACATTTTTTTTCATTCATGCTGTTATTCAACTTTGTCCGGACATTGGATGGGTGCCGGTTCAGTCTTCAGAATGATTATTCAGTAGTCAATAAACAATGCACAGCTGTTGGTATAAGGACAGCAAACAGAAGTCAACAAGAACAACATATATTTTATGTATAGTACTTACAAGCATGCTTAGATTGATACCCACCCTTTAATATTATATCTTAATTCCATAGCTTAGGAAAGAAAATGATGCAAATTATGATGTATGACAGGCTTACATAGAAGTGGAAAAAGCTGCAGATTAAGATGGATCAATTATCTACGGCCAGGACTAAAGCGCGGGGCATTTAGCTCAGAAGAGGAAGAGACAGTGTTGTCGCTTCATGGTGTGTTAGGCAACAAGTAAGAACTTAAACGGAATGCTTCTATATTCGTAGAGTTGACTTACATATAATTTCAACAATGTATTCTCTTGTATAAACCTACCTAAATGATTTTCTTATTGGTTTTGGATCAGAACATCCTTCTATAAAAATTGAACTAATCTTGAATCCTACCAAGAATTCCAATAGTGTCACACCTTCTTGCTTATGTTCTAAATTCTTTTCTATGCTGCAGGTGGTCTCAGATTGCACAACATTTACCGGGACGAACTGATAATGAGATAAAAAACCACTGGCATTCTCATCTAAAAAAAAGAGTTTCCAAAGCAGTTGAAGCACGGCTTCCACATCGAATAAATGAATGCACAGACAGGGAAATTCAAGGATGCGAGCGATCGTGTTTTTCACTAACAAACACAGAAGAGTCAGTGACTTTGCAGATAGAACAATCAAGTGATATTCAAAAGAGTAACTTACCGAAGGTTCTTTTTGCTGAGTGGCTCATGTTGGACCAATTTCATGACACAAACACAAGCTCTGGCAGCGTGTCTGTTTCCAAGTACTCTGCTGAAGATATTACTTCGAATTCTGAAGATTCCCTTGTTCACAGTCTGATGTTCGACGAAGGGGCGTTTGCCGGTGAAGTTCAACCGTTGTCCAACTCTATCCTTGTTGATGAAATGTTTCATGCATCGTTCGAGGATCAAGTGAGGCAGAGTGGCATGATCGACTATTTTCCTGGAGAATTCAACATAAACTATGACCTGATGCACATGTGAAGGATGTTAGCTGAGCAACAACAACAATGAATAGAATCAGTGGGACATCAAAATTAAATGTATGTTGCTTCTTAGGATGCTTTTAAATTTACTGCAAGATTCTGAGTGAACAGAAAAATTTCATTTTGCAAATAAGTTCACAAATGTATAGATTTTCTGGAATGTAAAGATTTTGAATTTTAAGGTCCAACACGGCATTAGCTGGAGTGATGATCATCAGCCCTAAACCAAAAGAAAGATACAGAGTTTGGAGAATTCAATATGCATTCATTTCAAATAAATGAGATAATATACATAATTTACAATCAATGGGCACTAGAACCTCAAGAAAATATCTAAAGGTTCCCTATAATGAGTCGTGACTCCAAACAAAAAATAAATAAATACCCAATCCCATCACTAAACATTGTGAAAACCAGTAAAAAATCTGGGCAGGCTAGTGCATGTGACGAGCACAAATATAACAGCCACCATTAGTCCTAAAGGCATCCACTTCACGGCGAAAACCTGTACATATAAATATCACCGTGGGATATATAAGCAGCAGAATGCTTGATATATGCAATAATTTCACATGCTTTTAAACAGTGCTTACTTCCAGCGTTTTCGAACACCAAATAGGGGAAGGATGTAAATGAGCCTTACTCATTCTCTCAAACATTTCTGTCCATAAAAGAAGTAAAAGAAAAAACTTTTCATCAAACAAATTTGACATCACCAAACTTAACTTACAAAGATCAATGAAATCCATACCAAATTGTTCCCTCTGTTTCACAACTTGTGAAAAACTTTCAGATGCTACATTGTCCTCTATAAAACTATCAGAATTTATCTTTGCTATATTGGCTTGCGTCCTTGTATCGATATACTTCCTTCGAATATTCCCAATTACACCATCTGCATTAGTTTTATTGGAAGTAGAAGTATCCAATAAGTCGTTATAGATACACTAAACTTGGCCGAAGTTATGCAATGAATTTCAGAATTATCTTGAATTTAATGGTCTTAGCTTGCAGTAACAGGATTTACCAAATTTAACAAAACTATAAGGCTTGATAATTCTCTCAGTCAGCTTCACATCAAACTTGCTGAACTCCCTCTGCAAATCTTGCAAATAATGGAAAGCAAGCCGTCTTGGATACAATGCATCACAGAGACCCATGAAGCAAATTCCATTATCAACCAAGTAACTGCAACAAAAAAAAAAATAAAAATGCTAAGTTATATCTTAATTAATATATCGGAAATGCAAAAAACCATGAAATTGAAGGAAACTAAAGCTCTAGCAAACTACAGAAAAGCTGTAAAATGCATTCGAAGAAACTAACGTACAGACTGTAGCACAAATTCCGAAAATTAGGGTTTAAACTTTCCACCACACACACAGGCAAGCATATGAATGAAAATGGAGTTGAAGAATAATCGAAAACAATACTTGAAATAATATTGATCGAGGAAGATAGTCATTCTGGAAGACGGCAAGGCTCCTCGCGAAATCTCCCGGAGTAAGAACTCTCCTTTTTCATTGTAACTGAGAACATCATCGCTCCCTTCATTCACGTACCTCGCCCCGCGTGCTAAGGGCATTCCATCACTCACTCTTCCAACTATTGTAAGCCTCACCATTGATTAATCTCTAGCTTGCAGCAACTCAAATGCCAACACGTAGCACCAAAAGCAACACTCCTTTTTTTCCACTTGAAGACGACAACCGAGGGGTCTGAATGGTGAGAATAATTTACAGGATGCGTGAATCCGTAAGTGAAGCGTGAAGATTGAGAGAAAAAGGTTGAGAATGAAGAGAGAAAGATGGAAGGATGTCGGAATGTGGGTGAACTTGGAGACGAAGCTATTTGAACGATGATGCCTTCATGAATGACGTTTACGCGCTACGCGGTGCTGTTAAAAGGTTGGGGGCCCCAAATCTAAAAAGTGAGAATTTAGGGAGTGAAATTGGTATTAAAGTATTAAAGGTGTTTGTTGTAATTTCAATTTTTTTTTCTACCATCTAAATTATGTTAATTTTGTAAAATAATTTGAATGAATTTTTAAAAAATAATTATTTTATTTTATTTTTCAAAAAAACGCATTGAGAAGACACACAAGAAGAAAATACCTTGAGTTTGTTTGATTTTAATTTCAAATTCAAGTAATGTATGTTATTAATTTCAAATACAAATTAATATTAAGTCTAATTATTATTATTATTATTATTATTATTATTATTATTATTATAAAGTCATTAACTATAATTTGCATTTGATAAATTATTATGATGTCAACAATGGGAAGAAATTTTTTTAGTAAGCAAAGTTATTTTAATGAGCCAGTAAATGCAGTTTGAAAATATTTAATTGCATTTATGGATATAACTTATAAACGAATATAATCTTTTGAAACAATCCATTTCCTATTTCTATAGAAAAAATAAAAAAAAAATTATGTTTATTTAGGGTGTGTTTTTCACCTAAAGACAACACATATTTTCCCTTACAAATTAATATATGCGTATATTTTTTTTTTATTTTTATATTATCTATATGATTATTTTTATTTTATATACTCCCCATGTCTCATTGAAAAGTAAGGTTACTATTTTTCATTTTCATCTACGTTACTATTTCCTAATTTAGTAACTGTACTACCTACTTCACATAATAAATACTCTTTCAACTTACAATATATTACACAAATGTCATTATTTTTATATTACATCATACTAATAGGGTATTTTTTATATTTTTTACTACAATCCAATATAATACTAATATTTAAAAATCTATGTGCCACCCTTGTTGCGGGACTGAGGGAGTAGTATTATTTTAAATTATTTTACAAAATAAATGCATTTTTAATATTTTATTTGAAATATTTTTTTCATATTGTTACGGAAATTCTTAAGAAATCAAGATGAGATAACAAAGACAAAAGAACACAAGATTTGGTAACCCAATTCGATCTACATCTGAGGGCGGCGCTGCCAAGCCTACGCAGGTACATGGATATTTATAGCAAAGCCTTTGACAATAATATCCAAATCATATCTCTAAAATCTAAAATATAATATCCAAATCATATCCCTAGATTTTAGGATATAATCAGCTTCATATCATAACAATCTCCCATTAAAGACTGATTTCATCTTCCACTTCAACATACCTCATCCAATCTTCACTCTCCACCATTCGGTGTTCTGATTCGAATCATTTCTTTACATACAATTTTCAATGTCTCATCATCTGCAAGATAGACAACACCAAAAAATTACATGTGGTATAGAATTCCATGATTCCCGAATCACTGCATGAGTGGAATGATGCTCCAGACTGGTGTCTTGATCACTTGCCGTTAGTCCGTGCCACTCCATTGGACTGCTGACGCTCAGAATCAGCACATCGGATATCTCCTCCGCTGTGTTTGCCGAACCCTGATCCTTCTCCGGCGCCCCGCACTCTCGTGTCAAGTGCCCCTTACAGTTTTAACATACCACCTAACTTGTATCTTCTTGTCGATCTTCTTTTACTAGACTTCATCCATCTTGACTCCCACAAACAAACATAAGGCTCACTTGATATGAGAGCACATCGGATATTCCGCTGCGTTTGCCGAAACCCTTATCCTTCCCTACCTACCTTGCACCGCCTATCACAAAGGGACTCGCTGTCTGACCTACCAGTCGGGACCGACCCAACAGCACCAAGAGACTTTCGACACAGGGCACTTCCGCAAGTCCCAGTTCGATCACGATGATCTACGTCTGGGGGCGGGCGCTGCCAAGCCAGGAGAAATTTTATTATAAAGTACGCAGACACATGTTAAAGTGAAAATACATGATATTTATAGTCTAAGTCTTTGACAATAATATCCAAATCATATCTCTAAAATCTAAAATATAACGTTCAAATCATATCCCTACATGTAAGGAAGGAGGCTTCATATCCCAACACATACCAATTATAAAAAGTTATATTAATAATATAAAAATAATATTTTATATTGTATTTTAATTTTTTATAAAATATTATATATATATATATATATTGAAATTTTAATTGTAAAAAAATAAAAATAATAAACAACAAGTTTGTAAGAAATTTGTATAACTTAAGACTTAGTATTTAGTATATTTGGTTTAAAGTTTTCTTTTATGTTAGTTATGAAAACATATGTCGTAATAAAAAAATCATTATTTTATATTTAATTATTGATTTTATTTTTTTATAAAATAAACATTGAATAAAATGTACTCCAATATATAATTCCGTTATCCAAACATATACTTTTATATATTTCTAAACATAAAATAGTATAAATAAACCCCAAATGTAAAGGCCCAATTAACAGCAGATTAAGGCCCAATAGGGCAAATTTTATTTCGTTTTAAATGGGCCTTGTCTGGACACTAAGCCCAAATATTGGCCTGCTTTATATGTTCTCCCATATACGCGGGAATATATATATATATATATATAGACATATTTTTGTACGTATATACGTATGTGTGTATCAGTCCGTTTGATCGAGCGAAGAAAAACTCACAATCTTTTGTTTTTTTTTTTTTTGATCGGAAAAACTCACAATCTTTGGTCACCGAGGAGTGGTGCAGAGCAGAAACCAACAAAAGCAGCAATGAAATCAGCAAAGATGGAGCATCCAAGCAACGCGTGTAGCTAAAACCTCTCTTCTACCTGCACAGTTTTTCCACTTCTCTCTATCGCTCTAGATTTTTGTTTCCCCGGTAAGCACCGTTGCTCTCTCGATTTGTGCTTCCATTTGTTTAATTTGTGTATATTTTTGTTCCTACAGATTAATTTCTTAATGTAAGTTGAAACTTCAACCATGTGTTCGTACTTGTTTGTTTTTTTCTGGTATAGAGTGTTTAATCAATTGTCGTTTGGTGTGTATGTGTGTGCGCGCGTGTGTGAATTGAGGTTTTAAGTCTGGCGATGGTCAAAGATGTGGATTTATATCACTGAATTCATGTTAGGGTTTTGCCACACCAAAGGATGAGAAATAAGGCGTGTAGCAGAGAGAAGTAAATAAAATGGCAGCTGAGAGTACAAAAAATAAATGCTCTGAATCTGCTTAGATGAAAGCAAATGAAAAAAATAAAATAAAAAAAAGGATAAAGGTGGCTCTGGCTTGGATGTCTGTGACAAAGCCTACCATTATTGTGAATATAATTCCTATGCATTTATGGCCTTCATATTCTTTTTACTCTCTCCTATCTTATCAATTCATTACTCTGCTGTCTCACTGCCAATCAGGTACACACAGATTATATACATGAACATTTATACATCTCCCTTGATTCACACAGACAGACACCTCTCCCAAGAAACCTGAGTTCGTTTAATGTTTGCTTTCCCTTATTTTTTTCTTTCTGTTTTTGTTTTTCCAGTGCTTAAAGGGAATCTGCTCCCTTTCCTTCCAACTTCCAAGTTGTATCTTGTACATGGAGTTTGTTGTGAAGAGCTGAACATGTGCAGTTGATTTGTAGTTTGTGCTTGAGAAATGGGGAAGAAAAGAGAGGGGAAGAAGAAGTGTGAGAAGAAGAAGAAGAAGAAAGGCATGGGAAGAACGCCATGTTGTGCTAGAGAGGGAATGAAAAGAGGGGCTTGGAATGCTGAAGAGGACAAAATTCTAGTTGATTTTATCAGAGAAAATGGGCATGGGACATGGAGAAACCTCCCCAAACTTGCAGGTTTGTTGTTAATTTATTTATTTTCTTACTCTACTTTCATATAATTGTTTCGAGCTCCTCTTTGCTGGGTTTTCTGGTATCATTTTTTTTTTTTAAAAAAAAAGAGTGTAAGTTGATTAATTCATTTGGGGGTTCTTGGTCTTTTAAAAAATCAGAACAAACTTTTAACCACAAAAAGATAAATTCGTGTCAAAATTCTAAATTCTCGGGTGCAATTAGCCTTTTTTGGATTTACTATGCCGAACTTTAAATTTACTTAGTTAAATCAGTAATGGCCTTCAACTTGTCCCATGTTCTTAGAACATTTCTTAGATATAATGATATATTTGGTTTTCGAGTTTGTTCCAGGAGTATTATATCTTGAAGTATCTCCTGCATTATATTTACAATCACCATTCTTGATGGAAGAATTCAAACTCATGGAATGAATAATTCTTTTATTTTTGTTGCTTTCTTGTTTTCCATGAACTAAATCAATGCTATCATAATATGAACATGCCTGGAAAGTGTAGTTTTCTGTACACTGATTGACAATTAGATGTTATATTCGTCACATATAAATTCTTTGAATTGAGGAACACTAGAGATAGTTTCAAGAAAAACTTTATTGATGCGGGCCAATTGAGTTTATTTAATTTATGTTGATATGTGTTGAATTTAGTTCTTCACTTCGTTTAGTTTTTACGGGTCTCGCTGTCCGGTCAGCGAGTGGGGGGTCAAGGGAGGCAAGCCCCCCTTGCCTGGGTCTGGGGGCCCGAAGGTATATAGTATTGGATTTTGGAATTAGTAATTGGGCTGAGCATGTATGATATATTTTCTTAGTTTATTTGAATATAATTAGAGATATAAAATCTATAATATTTGTAGCTAGTCGTCCTCAATAAATTTGTTCTCCGTTTTTGTTCATGGACATAGTCAACACGTACGTTATGTTTGTTATTCTATCATCAATCATAATCCGCCACAACAATTTCAATTGTTCTAGGAATTTTGTATTTTCATAACAAGATGTTCCCAAGCTTGTGTTTGTTAAGGGAGGAACACTTTAAATTGTTTCTTTGACAATCACAGGTCTCCTCCGTTGTGGTAAGAGTTGCCGGCTTCGATGGACAAACTATCTTCGACCCGACATCAACCGTGGCCCCTTCAGCCCAGAAGAAGAGAATACTATTATTCAGCTGCACGGGACGCTTGGTAACAAGTATGCATTGCTTTTATCACTTCCCCTGTACTCTTACATTCATTTCTAGTAGTTGTAATCGTCTCCTTTTCGACGTTTACTTTCTGTCGCATGAAGATGGTCTGCCATGGCCTCAAAACTACCCGGAAGAACAGACAACGATATCAAGAATTTCTGGAACTCTCATCTGAGGAAACGCTTCAGCACCAAACCCATCGACCAGTCGATTGACATAAACCCCGGCTATCCTTCAACTCGTCACCTGGTTCAATGGGAGACTGTCAGGGTTGAGGCTGAGTCCCGTCTGTCGGCTAAACTGAAACAGCCATCAGACAGTTGTAGCCACAAAGGCGACCACTTTCTACACCTGTGGAATTCAGAAGTCGGGGAATCGTTTCGACATAGAACAAATGAATGCAACGAAGCTGCATCCGCGAGTCCAGCTTCGGAGACATCTTCCCTAACGAAACCCGAATGCAGCTCCAGATCAACAAACCTAGACCACCCCGCGACCAATCCCGAAACTGTAGATCCAAAATCGGAAGTCATCAGGTACTGTAAGAAGGAAATCGACGATGCAACGGCGTATTCGGTCTCCTCCAACTCGTACGAGATGGATGACTCTTCCGACACAATGATGAAGCTGCTGCTCGACTTTCCTGTAAGCGACAACGACATGGGATTCCTTCAAGAATCGATGATCGACGACTTCTCTACTTACATCAGAGGTTAGTCACACTTAACTTTCCTTGACTTTTTCCATCTTTTCTATAACATAGCTTATTTACGTGTAGTTTATATGTACCTCTTTAGATACTTCACCATGTCAATTAATACGTGGAAATCTCAAAATGTTGTCTACAAACAAATACACATAATAATCAAACAACACACAGCAACACAGAATAGATACATCTCCACAATAAATAAGCATTCAAAAATGGACTGCATAATTAAACACACACTCAATTTCTTTTGAAGTTCAGGCCAGGAAGATGATCGACCTGGTTTCTGGGCTTCAAAAACAGCCGAGGAGCTTCTTTGGAGCAGTCCCGGTTGCACGATACTTTGCTGCTGATTCCTCTGCTTTCAGAAGATCTTCGCCCCGTTTGGCTTCAATCGCCGCTCGTTTTTCTTCTGCTTGTTTGTGAATAAGAGCCACCTTGTTCTTCATAACCTCTGTGTACTTGGCTTTTTTCACCTCCAGTTGCTCCTGATCAAGTATATATATGTTTTTTTTCATCATATTAGCGTGATTTTACTTCGAATGATGTAAATTGGACGACGACGATGATGATATAGTTCCATGTACCTCAATCTTCTTAAGCTCGGCCTCTAGATTCGCCTTCTTGCTGTTCTCCCATGCTAGTATAGCAGATACTTTCTTTTGAGCCCTAAAAATCGAACTCCATGAGATTTATCAATATAACAAAATTTCATACCGCAGAGTCAGGAAAAATGATGGTGAAGAAGCAGCAGTATCATACTTGTTTTCAGCTTTACATTTCTCACTTTCTTCCCATGCTCTTATCAAAGATAACCTCTTCTCCGTTGCTACCCGCGCAAGCACAGCATCTGTTGATTCAGAATCAGATAAGTATTCGTGAATTGTTGAGTAATTTCACCAGGAAAAAGTCGTGAAGTAGGAATACAGTACGATCTCAATTGATTACCTCTGTCTATAGAACCATCTGGTTTCTTCTTCTCTTCAACAGCTTCCGGTTCTTTCCAAAAGAACAAAAGGACAAAAAAACAGGTAAATTAAACACGATCTTCGCAGAGTGACAGCACTTCAGACAGACTCGAAATTCACTTGACAGGTAAATTAAACATGATCTTTTGAGCAGTTTTCTGTATTCCTTTTGCTATTTGAGCAGGCAAAAAATAGTATAATATATTTGATATTTTCCTCCTTCTGGCACACTAAAAACAAGTTATCATTCATTCCTCCGCTGGAGGAAAAACAAAATTGCAGTAGAATCTCCGAATTAAAAATAATAATAGTAATAAAAATAGTGAAATAAAACAAGGATCCGAGTTCCAAACAATCGAACACCGATCCCACACTTCTTAGGAAGACGACAAACAATCTGGAAAATCAATCAGCATAAGCGCATAATTCAGCAACACACATCCGCAAACAAACTAAGATCTAATTTATGAAACAATAGCAGAATGGATTACTTATTTTTACTATTTCAAACAAGGCTCCAAAAATAGCTCCAGAAAGTAACCACGCACACATATAGGTAGAGTCAAATTACTTTCAACTACTGCAAGAGCTTTGCTGTCGTCGGTTTTTTCCTCCGTGTGATGCGACGGAATGACGCTTTTCTCCTCCACGTCCTTCGTAGGCTCGACATGCTCGGCCGCCGCAGACGCAGGCAGTGCAGCTTCCGTGTGCGGCTCCGGTTCCGGTACCGCCTCAACCTTCTTCTGCTCCTCCTCCGTCATAACTTCAGAAAACTTAGCTATGGTTGCTTAATTACAACGAAAAAATCCGAAAATTAGGCAAAGGAGGAGTGGAGATACGAATGGTGAGCGAATTATATAGATGAATGCAGAGGATTATCGAGTCCGTGTGGCGTGTGTGTGAGAGACGGAGAGAGTGAGAAGGCGTTAGAAGAAGGTAGGTGTCGTTGGGAATTGAAGAGAGAGAAATAGAGAGAGCTGAATGATTGATTGATACAGTTGAGGAAGACGACGGTACAGCTGTGACTATGAGTGGGATCCAGGATCTCCGGTCCTGATCAATCTAAACCGTTCTATCATGTAAGCGGCAGCCCACGAACGGTGGAGATTTTCCTGGTGCTTGGAGTCCGTAATTTTGGTAACAATCAGCCGCACCCTATCCGTGTAGATATTATTAGATGCGGTTGTTAAAAGAACTACGCATAGAGATTGGACACATGTCATTATTTGATAGGTTTGTGAAGCAGTTGCAGAACGAGCTGCACCAGAGGATCTAAACCTCTAACTTTAAACTGATACCTGTCTTATTATCTAAATGGAGAAAATTAAAATGTAATACTCCTTCCGTCCAAGCTAAAAAGTATATAATTATTTTTGGCGCATAATATTTTAATTATAGTGGATAGATAAAAGTAGTAAAATAATATTTTTGTCCTTATTTTTTTGGTATAAAAAGTAATGTGTGATGTAAAGTAAGGATATTTGTAGAAAAAATGGGGTATTTAATGAAATAGTTATTTTGTAATTGAACGTCCCAAAATATAAATATGTATACTTTCTGATTGGACGGAGGAAGTATGAATTTTTAGTTATTTGGCATTATTTATTTTGTAATAATACTTTTCCATCTTAAAATAATAATTTTATTTTGTCATTTCATTCGAAATAATTTTTTACATTTTTTACAAAATTATTGTCACTTTTTACCCTATTATTAATATAATATTATTATTTTTTAATTCTCATGTAAATCTCAAATGTTCATATTGTTTTATGACGGAGGGAGTAGTAGATGTCCCCAACCTAATTTAAAATAGGTTTTAATCATTTTTATTTGTTACATTTTAAAATATTTTTTTCTATTATTTAAAAAAAAATAATTATATAATAATATCAAAATTCCTTTAATTTTTTACTTAGATTGCAAACATACCATTACACATACAATTATTTTATATGTAAAGTCAAATGACGAAAATATAAAAATTCTTACATACTTTCACTAACTAATAAAATATTATTAATTTACACGTCATGTATGAATGAATTAATTTTTACCTATCAAAATTATCATAGAACTATTATTAAAATACAATAATTATTAAATTTCGTAGAAAAATATTTACTTTTTAAATAAATGAAAATATATAATATAATTTTTTTTTTTTTTTTGTAAATATGGATAAAAAAATTGCGTATGTTTCTCAAATTTAAAACCAGAAATTACCGTTTAGTCAAAAATATACACTTAAATCTTGATAAAGGTTCTAAAAAATTACTCCCTCCGTCCTAGATAATATGAGCCAATTACGATACGAGAATTTAGGTAAAGTATAATTAGTAAGCAATTAAAAAATATATTAGTAAAAATAATTATTATATACTAAAAATAATTATAGATTAAGATTAAGATAACTAAATAGTTTAATTAAGATTTTAAAAATTAAAAAATTTAAATTTTAAAATATGATTAATGTTTATGATCAATTTTCTAAAAAAAATGACAAATTATATGGGACGAATGAAAATAAAAAATAGTGACAAATTATGTGGGAAATAGATAATAATAAATTAAGGCAAATGTTGGGTTGTATTACAGAAGCTTCCTTCAAGAAAAAATAATGATTAAATATTTGAATACGAACATTAAGAAATGAGTTGGATTAATTCCTACATTAGTCTGTCAAATAAGTGATGATCGTCGACGAATCAATGTGATATTAGTGTAAAGTATGATCATTGAAAATCGTTTTATTTATTTATTTATATATTATTATTATTATTATTATTATTATTATTATTATTATTATTATTTGTATCTAAACCTCTTATGAATGTGAACATATAATAATTTTTAGACACCTAATTTATATAATGATTATTTTTTTATGTAATTAAAATATTATACCATGTAGATATTCTTTATTAAAAAAATAAAAATCAAAGTAATAAAATAACCCAAAATACAGGTAAACATATATGGATGTACTTACTCGATAATAATTTTAATTTAAACCCATCTATTTTAAATATTTTTATATAACAAGAGAGTGTTTGTTTGAGGATTAGATTTTAAATATACTATTCATTTTATTTTTATTTTTTAAATAATCGAATCAAATACTTATTTTTTATATTATACTTCCTTCGTCCCAGTGCAAGGTTGGCGTTTACTTTTTGCACGTAGATTTTTTTAATATTAGTAGTTGTAATAAAAAAGATGAAAATACCCCTATTAGTATTGTGTAATATAAAAGTAATGACATTTGTATAATATAGTGTAATTTTGAAAGGTATTTATTATGTTAGGTAGGTAGTACAATTACTAAATTTGGAAATGATAACCTTGTTTTGGGACGAACGAAAATAAAAAATGACAACCTTTCAATGGGACAGAGGGAATACTAAAATTTATTTTACATTCAAAATATCACATCAACACCTATTTATATCATATCTTACAACTATTCAAATTAAAAATTTTTACTGTTCAAATCCAAATTCAAAATCCAAATGCCCAAATAAACACAACAATCCATAATCTTGAAATGGCAAATGGAAAATTATGTATGGTAAAGTTGAAGTGGGATTTGCAGTTTCAAATAGAAGGAAATAGTGGGCTTCAATTTCATCATATTTATTACTATTGTTATAATAATAAATTGTAGAAAAAAGAAATAAGGAAATCAAATAATATCCATTTGATAATAATAATAATAATAATAATAATAATAATAATAATATGGTTTTGATGACAAGAAACAGATTCTTTGAAGGAATCTCTACTTTCAAACACATCTCAATCATCACTAAAATTAAATAGTACAAAGAAGTGCCATCCAATATGAGTTGTTTTGGGATATGATCACAAACCCCTTTGCCAACCACTCAAATTTATTATTTTATTATTATTATTATTATTATTTTCAATACAATATATGTATAATGAATCCCATTTATTTAATCTATTAATTGGGCAGAGTATTTTCAATCGTCAAATAGTGGGGTACTGATTGATTGAATAGGTCCCTCTAAAACTGATAAGCCAATCTTAAATAAATAAAATAAAATGAATAAATATGTGGGTTTTGAATTTAAAGAATGTGTTGAGAAAAAAAAGATAAAGCAGTGCCAAAAAAAAGAAGAAAATAGGAATCATTTACACTTTTATATAGTTTTGTAATTTTATTTTATTTTTTGTATTCATTTACTTTTATTATATAAATTACAAAAAAATATAATATTTGATGTATTAATGAACATGCAAAAATGTATTGATGACAATATCTGAGAATAATATAATACTCCATTCATCCGTGATTTAAATCTATGTTTATTTTTTTTTAGAGTTATCGTAAAAAAATATTTTCGTTTTTCTTTTAAGTAAAACATTATTACACTTTTGTACCATTTTTTTAATTATAAAATGAAAAAGTAACAATTATTACTCACTTTTATTAAAATTCATACTCGGTCAAATGAGCACATATTTACACGACGGATGGAGTATAAGATATAGTGATATGCTACAAAAAAAAAAAAGAAAAAAAAGATGGAATGTTGTTTATATTTTAAACTTTTGTAAAGACTACAAAAAAAAAAAAAAAAAAAAAAAAAAAGGGTATATGTTGCTTGTTAACTGTGGAGGTAATATTGAATTTATAGTAAATAAATGTGGTCAAAAAATAATATATTCTCTCCATCTTTTTACTATTTATCTATTTAAGGGGTTCAAATTTTATGCATTTAGTTTCACCTGTCACACATTAGTTAGTCTAGTGTGACTTGCTTTGTTGAGCCTAATTTAAATGGTATTAAATTTGGTTGGAGTTTACTCAGTGTTACTTTCGGGTAGCGACTGCGAATTCCTACGTTATAAAAATAAAAATTAAAAAAACAAAAAAAGTAAAAATTACTCGAATTCTATAAATTAATAGTACAACAATATTATAAATAGTCTTTTTTTTTTTCTTTAAGTGTAAAATAAAATTTTTATTTTTATTTAAATAATTCTACAAAAATATTTGTTTTATACACAATACTACATTCAATATATTTACATTACACAAAACATTTTTTTTTTTTTGTTTTTCTTAAGAGAAAAAAAGAATAAGAAAGAAATAAGTGAATATATTATTAATTTTACATGAAATATTACATAAATTTAATTAACATTTATTGATGCATTTTTTCTTTTTGTTTTTAATAAGAAGTATGGAATAGGCAATTATGTGCAATGGGCCACTTGTTAAAACTTGATTAGCACTACTCAAATTAATAATTGGTGCTGCATTTATGCATTTATTTAATTTGCCCCATTAATTAAAGACACTTTTTTGTGTTTTTTACTAATTGAATATAAAAAAATTAAAGGTATTTTGCATTCATAATCGGATCTTTCTCTATGATATTTCAACACACGCATGTATATATATATATATATATATTAATAAATAAAATAAATACTCCCTTCGTCCACAAACTACGTGTAAATATCAAATAGGACATTAAAAAATGAACGAATATAGCATAATGCTTTTAGAAGCATAATATTGGGCCTCGGCCCAAATCTAAAATACTTAACACAAGCACTTGAAAATAAACAATATTGGTATTATACTAGAGGTGTATTCTTCCCATAAAATTGTTTTGAAATATTTTTAATTAATATTCTACAAATATATTAATAAAAATATAATATATATTTTATTCATTAAGAAACATCTATTATTCCATCTGTCCACTTATTCTATCAGTTTTTAAATTTCTTAATTTATAATTTTTTAATTTTAATTAAATTTCTTAATTATTTCGGTGTTAAAAGGAAGCCAGCACAGAGCGAGTAATTCTTATATTGCCTATAAAAATTTGATGAGTAGAATATATTTATTAATACTACTAACATTTATATACATATACATATGCATACCCTAAAAATTATTACATAGATAGATAGAAAGTGAAGATGAAGAAAGAAGGAAAACAAAAGCATCTCTCCTTATTACCACAAAACACAGAAACAACACAACACAACACATCCTACAATTGAACAACAAATCAAGATCGATCGATCCATTCATTGTAAGAACAAACATCGATCGACAGATCCAACGGCCACCATTCAATCAATTTATAGCTGTGTAGCTGCTACTATAATCATCCTCACCAACACCACCACCAGCAGGAGGGGAAGAGCCCGACAGCGTCGTCAGGATCACGAATGTGCCATAAAGGATCGTAATAATGGCCGTGCAGTTCACCAAGATCGCCTCCGGCCCGTACTTCGCCAGCCCGTTATTCTGAAGAAACGTCAGCTTCTCGAGGTAACCCAGCGAGGCTGTCCCAACTGCCAAAATGTATATAAACGTTCCGGCCAGGGAGTGCCACGGCAGCGACTCGCCTCTGATCGCACTCGACCCTCCCGGATAGAAGAAGATCACGAATCCATAAATCCACTGCCGATAATCGTACAACATCAATAATCGCTAATGTATCAATGCATAAATTAAAATTTAACAAGATAAGAGCCAGAGCATTGATTGATTGACTGATCGATTCATTTTTTACCTGAAGCCCGTAGAGGGAAATGACGGCGATACCTAGCCAAGAATGTAAGCTGTACAGATTGGCGAAGCCGAGCTCGTTGTGGTTCTTGAATGCGGCGCATATTCCAAATATGCCGAGGATTAGAGCAATGGCATGCAAAACTAAGTGTATGAGTTTCTTCTCCGGCTTCCTCAACGGCAGCGATTTGTAGCTCATTATAGCTGCAATTTACCAACAAGAACATACGTCTATCCAATCTTGAAAGTTTGTGAAAATCAAGATAAACAAGAAGGCACACAGGAAGATGATAATTTGATAACCAATTTGATCAAAATAATCTACTTCTCGAGTAGCCAAATAAATTATTTTCATTAATATTTTCGATGTTAATTTCACAGAGAATACATGCAGCACACAACAATACTTCTCCAGATTTGGACTTGGGCTTCACAACGCAATCATATATATATATACATATTTTGTAATCTACTTTCTACTATTACCATAACTTTTCAAATTTCCAAAAATCTTTCAAAATATATACACATGTGAATAAAAACCATTACATTGTAAGTAAAAAGGATACAAAAAAATCCCCAAAAAATATACCTTGGCCACCAATGATGATTAGCCCTATCAGCATCAGCACAGGGTGAAGCTGCAGAAGCCATTAAAACAAACGTAAATTAACCAAAAAGATTCATTACATTTACAACAAATTTCAGCATAATCATCTCTCCATTGACATGTAATTGAAGAACAATTAGTGACTGAACAGTGAATCCCCTAAAAGAAACCCTAAATACTAAAAACCATACCGAAATTTGCAAACCTAACCTCAATCAATTTGATTACTGACACTCGAATAAATTATCATAAAAGCACAAAGCATATTAATTAGAAATTAAAATCAAGAGATAGAGAGAGAGAGAGAGAGATACATTGAAAATGAGATCCTTATTCTCAGCATCCCAAGCCAGACCGCCTCGGAAGGAGATGTTCCAAACCAGCACCAAAACCGCAGCCACAACGGCCAGAAAATGGGCGACGAAAGAAATTGGTAAAGCGTTCACCCCACTGATCGCCATGCCTTTTTTTGTGTTCTTTTCTTTCCGATTATTATTACTGAAATGAATTTCAGCAGAAACGAAATTATTGGAATGAAATAGGAAAACGATTCACAATTCTTCTTCTAAAAATTTGTTGTGATCTATATCTCGAATTTGGAGGGCTCAGCTCAGTCAATTGATTTCATGGATAGGTTTCCTATCTCTCCCAGACCATCCTCCATTCCTCTCGTTGATTCTACTTACCGATATAATTTTGTTTATTAATTGTTGATGGTTTCTGAGCCGTCGGATGGAGGCAGCGACTCTCCGAGCTACGAGGAGTGTACACGTGTCAGTCATCTGTAGGGGCGTCGTGTTCCAGCCACGCTTGGATTCCGTGTCCTTTGTTTGGTGGCTGCCAGGGTATTAGGGTGTTTCGTTAGTTTGGATTAAATTTGGATAGAGGAAATTTATTTAATTCGAAAGGATTTATTATTTATTTATTTATTTATTATTATTTTTTATCTAATACGGTACTCTACGAATATTAGTATTAAATAATTATATATACACACACTTTTTTTACCTCAAAATTAAAAATCAATAATTTATTGTAAAATATTATTTTTATATTAAAATTGAATTTTTAATATTTAATATAAAAAATACATTCGTTATAAAACATAAAACAAATATATTATTTATATTTAAATCACATTTGATGGAGTAACATTTATGAAAAATATATCTTCAAAAAATTTAATAACACAGGTGTGTTTTTCTGCTAATTTATTCAAATTTTATTATTCTCTATATTTTACGGAGAAGTAAAATAAAAATACATACGAAACATTTTATCAAATATTATTTTTATATCAAATTTAAATTAATTTTTTCTAAACTCACCTTAAACCTATATAAACACAAGCTACTACATTCGTTCATACTTATTTCATGCTAAATTGAAAGTGCATTTATAAGTTAGATTTTATATTCATGACTATTATTAATTTTAACATAGTAAATATTACTCATATAATATATTTTATAAAATAAATATATTTGTGTATGGTAATGTGCCCTATTTAAGCACCCAAGCCTTTCACATAATATGAATTAAGGCCTCTTGTGCAGTTCTGCTTCACAGATAGTGCCAAAATCATTAATTCAATTTTGTTCGGTTTGATTTAAAATATTTTTATTTAATTCAAATTTTAATTATTATTAATATATTTTTTAAAATTTCGTTTCAATTTGAATTATTTACCGATATCGCAAATATTTTAAATTAATTTAAAATTTAGTAAATGTCCAAATCGTGCCCACCCAAACCGACAGAGAGAGACCCAAAGAGAACAAGGTAAGGTAATCCATGACGTCAGTATTAAATGGGCCGAATGTATTAAATCAAGAAACCTAATATTTATGGGCTGGACCGGACCGAACTCATTATCTTTTTGTATTTTTTTTTATTATGTATTGTAATTTTATTATTTATAATAAAAATATTTTCAATTTTTTATATAAAATATTACAGTTAACCATTATTTTATTTAAATAAAAAATTGACCGAAAAAAATTATAAAAATGGAAACAAACACAACCAGTATATACAGCCAAAGTGCATTCCACGTTAAGGCATATAAGTCAACAAGTTTGAAAGATGGCATTTATTCACTTTTTTTTTAGGGTGTGTTCGGTTGTAGGATTTTATCAAAATTCTACTATTCATCTAAAATTTTCCCCCCAAAAACATCAAATCAAACATCTATTTTTCATTTTTTATATTATACTAAAAATCAATTTTACATTCAAAACATCACATCAACACCTATTTATATGACATCATACAACTATTCAAATTCAAAATTTTTACTATTCAAATCCCAATCCAAAATCCAAACCCCGAACAAGCAAACCCTTAATGTTTTATTGGCCTGCAGAAAGGGGCTGAACAAAACAATGATTTAATAATATATATTTATATTGATTATAAAAAGTAATTTGTAATGTTATGTTTATTTATTATTTAATTTTGATTTTACTATTCAATTACTCAAATTTAATTTTTTAACATTCAAAACTCAAAACTAAAAATTCAAACCTTCTAACAAACATACTCATAACTTCAAACATAAAATGATTGAACTAGTAATACATACACATAAACAATGTCAGTGTTCTATTAAATGAAAATAGACTATATATTGAATATCATTTCTCATTTAACAAAATTTTGGAACTAACATTTTAGCTATATCTCATATCTCAAATAATTTTCATCCATAAATGATGATATTAATTTGTTTTGTTTGATGAAAACCATATGCATGCTTTCTATGTTATCTATGTAACAATCATATATTTCACCATTACATTACTACCCTATTTCTTATGAGACAAAGTATGTTGATTTTAATGTCATAATAGAAATGTACAACAACACACAAAATATATATAGACTACGCATGAATTATAAACTGACACTATATATATATTATTTTATTAGAGTATATTATTTTTTTTTTTTGTACTCTTTTACTATAAAAAATAAAAAGTAACTAACGTTTCCATATTAAAATCCGTGCCAAAAAATTTCAGTATATTTGGAGGTGATAGGAGAAGCATAATACAAATAAAATATATGAATTAACATTATATAATAATTATTCACATACTACATACATACTATAATTGATTTCAACATATTAAATATACTAACACAACACACATATAAAATAGAATAAACAAAACCTACTAGTCAACCCCTTGTAGATCAAGTAGTTGTTTGAGGGCGAGGTCTTGAGTTCGATCCCGAAATATTAATTACCCATAATTAATTTAGCTATACCGAATTATATAGTTAATCCATGAATTTAACCTATATTATTATAGAAAAAAAAAAAAAACTAACAATGCACATGCGTTCACATGTAAACCATAATTTCCAGATCACTATATTCACTCTTGCTGCCATGCAACCGAACAATACGGGACGCACACACACACATCTATATATAATGTATATATAAATACTGAAATCGATCGCCAATCAATGCAGTCGAACCCCACTACATTTAGTGGGTTATCCAATTAATTATTATTGGCAGCACAGTATATATTTATATAGACAGTGTATAGACACACAGCTTAGATGCCGCTGCTTCTAAATATTAATTAATTCAAGATTATTTAATTTAATCATATAACGTTATATAGGAGAGGTGTAAGTAAAGATGCACACACAGGACACGATGAATTAGGATAAACTTTGGTTAAAATTTTTGGATGTAGCATGATTTAATATTCAATATTATAGTATAATATTATTTGGTCAGGAAATTAATCACAGTGAGTGACAAGTTACCAAACATATATAATTGACGGCGGCAACAATCATCAATTTCAATATAATTATTGTATATAATTAACTGAGAATCCTTCTACTTTGATTTCAGCTGCACAATCTTCTTACTGGATCACTACTACTTATCTGCACCGTCTATTATATTCCTAACATTCTCTAACTAGATTAAGAACATATAGCAATGCTTAAAAATTGATATATTGCATACTAAAATATTTTTTATATATATAGGTAACAGCATTTATTACCAATAGTCATTAGACCAATAAAATTTCTAATTTAAACGGATAAGATTTTAAAACATTGAAATACATAGTAGCTAGAAAACAATTAAATATTCAAAGCAATCCACTGCCTCCACACACACACATATTGGTGTCAGTATGCTATGTGTATCATCAAGTCTCTAAATACACACATTTGATACCTAAATGCAAATCTCTGATAGGTGTCTTCCATAGCTAATTTGATTCAAAATCACTCATTTCATATCAATAGCTAAAAATTGAAATCTATTACAAAGTAACTACCTGTCATTTAACTGCAGCCTACCTAAATTTTTCTATTTCACAATTTTTTGAAATGTTAGGAGAAGTTGAAAGCAATACTCACTTACTTCACACACAGCGCATTGAATACCCAAAGGACATATAGGTGGGGTGTTAAATTTCTAGCACGCCATAGACAGAAAGCATTCAATTTCAATTCAAGAATGGATCCACAAAAGAGAAAAGAGAGAGCAGTAACAAGCAGCAATATTACTCACGCCACTGAAAGCAAGGAAGGATGGTATAAATCATAAAAGGTGGTACCCACCGACAGCATAATAATGTAAAAGCTCCTCCACCTTGATTGGATCCCCCCAACACACACCAAGGATTTTTATTTATTTATTTATTTTAAAAAGATTTTTCAATCTTTCAATTGTCATATATTAATCCCAAATTACCATCTTAAGTCTTAACACGGTACAGGCGCCATAATTCAAGCAATAAAAGGATTTTATTACCTAATTCTCACTCTAGGAATAATACGTACTAAGTTGACCAAGAAAACTATTGCCAGCATTAATTAGTTTACTAGTTACCTAAAAAACTTGATGAAAATACGCTATTCCTAAAATCTGTTACATGCATCTTATTTCCCATATGGGCTGTGATTAACTTTATTGTGAAGATATAAAGTTAAGGCATATGACAGCTATATATTTTTATAAAGGGAAAAATATTAATCAATAAATGCAATAAAATGGTGGAGAAATGGGTGAAGGAATTTTTTTGATAATATGATACCTGTTGTCTGTCTGGCTCCTTCAATCAGGGCAGCCTCAACTTGATGAAACAGCGGTCTGTTCGGATTTGCAGACAGCTAAGGCAAATACAAAGACTGGAGATTTCCTGGCTGTTACAGATAGAAGAAGAACGAAGGGGTCAAGACATATTTCGTGAATAATAATAAAAACCAGAGAAAAAATGTTCAAGAGAAGTGAGAAAAAAATCAAAGCTGTCTTCAAGATGGACTTTTCAGCATCACAGGTATGTTATTGTCTCTACAATGGGGGAATATGTGTGAGTGTGCTGCTTTTATGGGTATGACAGAAAAGTCTATTCTGATTTATTGAAGATTTGCAATCTGAGAACACTCTGCAAAGAACATTTTGCGTCAGTTTAAATTTGAAAACAGTTACAGGGGACAGAATGGAGGTCAAAATTAAAGATGATGACTTGTAAAATCAAGGTTTTGGAAGGATTTCTTACTGGTTATTATTAAACTTGATGTCTTTGAACAATTCCAGGTGCCACAGTTGAAGGCAAAGAGCCTTATGATTTCTCTGGTTCCGGTAGATGTAGGAAAGCCAACGGTCAGGTTAGCAAAAGCGCCAATCATAGAAGGAGCTTGCATATGGGAAAGCCCTGTATACGAGACTGTAAAATTAGTCATGGAGACGAAAACGGGACGTATCAGAGAGAAATTTTACTATGTGATCGTGTCAACTGTAAGTGACACCCTCTCTACCTGCAACCAAGATGAGACATATAAATAACACAGTTTGATACTTACAGGGTTCATCAAAATCAGGATTTCTGGGAGAAGTCTCCATTGATTTTGCAGATCTAGCTCATGCTGCCAAACCGGTGAATTTAACCCTGCCACTTCAGACTTCAAAATCAGGAGCAATATTACATGTTAGTTCTTTCCACCCATCTTATCATTTCTTTTCTTCCCACATCAATAATGTCGACAAAATACACACATCTAGAAACCAGAAGCATGTATATGGCAATGTATATGTCGACATGACTGATCCTGCAGCAAACTAGAGCTTGTAAGTGCTAACATTAATATTCAATTACCAGGTCACAGTGCAGAAGATGCAAGGAGGTGTTGATTCAAGGTGAGCTTCATTGTCAGCAATAAGCATATATTACTCATAAGTATAGCAATATACAAAAAAAGTTTTAATAAAGTGAAGTTTATCTTGAAACAGATATGATGAAGATAGTGAAGTCCCTGGGGATGAGTCATATGATCAAAATGTGGATGCAGATAGCTATGGAAAGAGTGATCCATTATCTCTTGAAGTAAGGTCTCCCTCCCACTATCAAATTTCCTGATTATAATTATACTACTATGAGGACGAAAGGGGAAAGTAGCAACTTAATGTTATTTCTACTCAACCTGTTGTTTTGTAGAGTGATGAATCGAGTCAAGTATCTTCACGAGATGAACAAAATGGAAGCTTGGAGAAAGATAAGGTGAAAATGCTGGAAAGAAATATAGAGCTTACCGAATTAGAAGTGCAGTCACTGCGAAAGCAAATTCTCAAAGAGACCAAGAAAGGGCAGCAATTAACTGAACAAATTGCATGTATAAAAGAGGAGCGGGATGCACTTCAAGCAGAATGTGAACAGCTCAAGTCTTTGTGCCGCCAGAATGATGAAACAGTTTCAAGTCATGCACTGCACGAAACAGAAAATTCGAGAAGCTCACTTGAAAAATTAAAGCAAGACCTCCAACGGGAGAAGCAATTGAATAAGAAACTGAAATTCCAACTACAGAAGAGCGAAGATTCAAATTCTGAATATGTTCTTGCAATGAGAGATCTTACCAAGAAACTGGAACAGAAAAATGCAGATATAGCTCAGCGTTCCAGAAAGAGTAATGATTTACACAGCGGGACAGAGGCCCTTGCGAAATCATCCATGACTAAAGCACCACAAGACCTGTCAAGTAGTAACAGAAATGCTGATGAAATAGAAGCACTGAAGCAGAAAATCGAAGACCTCAATTCTGAGATAGAAGTCTACAAAAAGGAAAAGACAAAGATGCAATTGGAAGTAGAGAGGTATTTGCAAGATATGGAGAGCTTAGACACAGAAAATGAGAACATCTATTCCAAATTAGAGCAAGCTGAAAAAGAACATTTGGAAGTAAAGAGCAAATATGAAGAGTTATTGGCTGAAGCAAAGCAGTCAAAACTCCAGATAGCAAGCTTGGAAGCAGAAAACAAAAGACAGGCACGTCAACATTCTGAATCCTTGAATATGATAGATGAGCTAGAATCTCAAGTCGAGAGCCTGCTGAAAGAACTGGAGAAGCAAGGCCAAGATTTTGAAGAAGACCTACAAGTAGTGACAGAGGAGAAAGTTGAGCAGGAGAAGAGGGCCATACAAGCAGAGGAAGCCTTAAGAAAGACAAGACGTGACAATGCAAATACAGTTGAGAGGCTCCAAGAGGAAATCAAACATATTTCTGCAGAGATGTCAACAGAAATTGAGGAAAACAAGAAAATAGCACAGAAAGCAATGGCAGAAGCAGATGGTTTGCGACAAAAAAATGAACTTCTAGAAGAACAACTTCAGATAACTGAAGAGGAGCTTCAACTAGTTAGAGAGCAAGATGAGAGGTTACTTCAAGAACATTCAGAAAAAAATGAATGGATTGCTGCAAGTAATGGCAAATCAAACAAAGATATATCTGAGCAAATGCAAAATAGTAATGAAAAGGACAAGGAAGATCTGGAGAAGCAGCTGGCCTCAGTGAGGAAGGAAGCAGAAAAACTAAAGAGCGAAAATAATTCCATGAAGTCACAAATAGACCAGAAGAAGACAAAAGAAGAAAACTTGTACTTAGAAGTGAAGAAGCTTAGACTCAAAAATAGTGAAGTTAAAAATCAACTGCATGCAGTTGAAATGGAGAAAGAAGACCTGAAGAAAGAGATGTCCAAAGCACAGCGTAGCTTAATCAAGGCACAGGTAAATACAACTCTGAAATATAGCAAAAATTTCCTTAGCTACAAAACTGGATTTAAACAAGACAGTAATGGGTAACTTGAATCCTACGTACCTGACTCTTTGGAACAGATTAAACAATGCCTTTTTACCTATGAAGCTAAAATAACTATTATTCACTTTGCTTACTAGTAACTTAATTTGACAGGAAGAGGAAAAAGCTGCAAGACAAAATTACACCACTTTGCTGATGAAGGAAAAGAACGGCGTCACCGACAACTCAAAACAGGTACTATGCTAACGATAACAATATGAAATATATTAACAACGAGCATATCTTCAAGTGAGTAATCTTCAACATTACATGCTAGAATTTCAATTCCTTGAATAAAAACTATACCATAACATGTTAGCTGCTGCAGCTTTCTTCCTAAATGGCAACAAAGAAAGGACTAAAACTTTATCTTGATTGTCATGTACAATCTACGTATAATTTTAAACATAAATCACTTCAACTCTCCGTTTTTTTTAATTATATTTTTATCTGATTGTACTCATTAGAATATTTAAATTGGTTACAGGATTCTGGGCCAATGAAGGACAAAAATTTTGTGGAACTCGAAGGATTGAAAGAAAGAAACAAAAGCATGGAACAGGAGTTGAAGGAAATGCGTGATAGATATTCTGAAATAAGTCTCAGATTTGCAGAGGTAGAAGGTGAACGGCAGCAACTTGTCATGACCATCCGTAACCTGAAAAGTGGAAAGAAAAACTAGAGACAAAGTGATGGTTAAAGACTACTATTGTAGAGCATTTAGACACAGGATTTGGATACACATGAATATTCTTGCATAAAGCATATTACATGTGCCTCCAATTTGTTCATTACTAATTCATCCTTGAAAGTCTCAAATAAATAATATAGATTTCTTCAGTGCCAAGACATTTCGTCGAATAAACTGACATCTTAATTTAGACAAGTGAGTCATCACTTGTTCAATGAAATATGTGTGTACTCACATTATAAACGTATTAAACATAAGAAATGGGGAAATCACTATTTTATCAACAATGAAAAACACATTCTAGTGTAAGTCAATTTTATACAAGGAAAGCTCATCTGGTCTGAACATAAGCGTTAATGAAGATGCGAATATGCTCAATAATTCTTCCTACCGAAACTCCACAAATGCAATACACAAATACCTGAATGATTTTCTTTTCTAACCTGGACCTTCTCAACATGAGTTAGGAGACAAAGGTTCAGAGTTGAGGTTGCTAGCTAGGATGCACAATAATGAGGCAAGTTGTTTCACCTAAAAGGTATATGTTGATGCCTGAGGTGCACTGGAACCAGCATGTCTGTCAGAACTCGTTGCGTGTTATTGTGCAATATTTAAAATCCAACAAACCTTTACAATTCTGTAAGTTGACAATGCATACTTGGTGTTACAATCTTCTTTGCGGTGTATCCCTCCAGACCAGCTTACTTTGCCCTCCACTTCCATTTGTTGAAAAAGATAATGCCTACCATTAATTCAATACAAACCATTTTAATAAGAAAACACTTCAAAAAATTTCAATACTATTATCATACATCTACCTGTCTTGCTCTTTTATCAACAGGGGTCCACGATTGAGGACAGGACGAAGAAGCTTTCATATTCTTCCATGATGTCTCTTGTTGTGAAGATCTTTTTGGTCTCTTTCGCTCAACTGTCTTCTGTGGGGTGCTACCCCTTTCGTACTTGTAAAATTCAAGAATAGAAGGACTTTTCCTTTTAGTACTCTTTGAAGTGTTCCCAGAGGAAACATGACAAGGGGAAGATAATTCATATGAAGATCGACTTCGCAACCTACTCTTTTCCTTAATTCTGTTAAGAAATTCAATTGTCCATGGTGATCCTTGTTGCACTTGAGTAGAGTGAAGAGCATTTGAGAGTGGCGTGCCACCAAAACTCTGTATTCCCTTTTCTCGGGAAGACAGTTTATGGAAATTCTGCGGAGCTTTTCCCATCATACTGTACTCCATAAACCCTTTTTGGTTTCCCATGGATATATCATTTTTGTTGATGATATCAAAATGAGGTTTTATATCTTCTCTCATGATCCGTTGTTTCTCATTCTTTGGAAGCCAGGCATCGGGGGCAGAGTCAACCTCAGAACTTGGAAACATGGGAAGACTAGCTGTAGTCAGTGGCAGTTTATATATTTTAGAATTTCTTGCTGAACATTCTTTCCCAATGTCAAGTGAAAAGCTGTTAGATTTAGCAGGAAAGAGATCCTGAAATGGCAGAGTATCATCTACATTGATGACTTCACCTGTAAAATTCTCCCGGGGAATGCAAGTCACATTGTCATTTTGTCTCTTAAAGTTGCTCGTTTGTGACATAGTTGTTTTCCATTTTGGACTGCAATCTAAGTCAAAGTGAGGCATCCATGCATCCTTTTTCTCATCTGATATACAAAGATCTTTCGTCGATAGGAAATCAGAATGGCTTAACTTATCAATAGTCATCATGTTTATATCAATGTCATGATTGGCCAACTTTTTGTCTGACAGTGACGTGAACTCTGATCTGTTGGATATATCAGGACTTCCTAATAGCAAAGAATTTCACAAGACAGAAATTTTCTATCATTAAATTGGTTATGCAGAAGCAATTTCTCTCTATAAAAGAAGTCATTTGGAGGCTCACCAGAAGTATAAACAACTTGTGGATGATTAGGTTTCCGCCCCTCAGATGCAGTGTTCAATTGAACAATTTTCAAATCCGGAATTGATAGTGAAGATGAGCAATCTGTCACTCCAGATTTAGAATCCTCTCGCTCCCCATATCTGCTTGTTGCACTCATCAAAGCAATGCTTTCATCGGGAACTTTATATATTTGAAGAGCTTGAATTCTGTCTTCGATTGACAATTCCAGAAATGTTCCAAGTAGCATATCTAATGACAATATTGAATGAGCTGTAAGGGGATTAATGGAAGGGAATGAAGTGAGAAAAGACTCAGCAAGGCTTTCTGTGTCTGACATCCTGGGATAGAGGCCCCTAGTCAACTTTGCAGCTACATTGATGCAAGACAATATGATTTCTTCAGTCATCTCAGATGAATATGAACAAAAGATCTGCAAATTAATTCCCAAGCTAGCTGCTGCTGCATAGAGTTCATCAGAGGATTCCATAATGCTACATAAGAAACTGCACTCTCCCTCAAATATCTGTAACGAAGGCGATAATAAGTGAACCATCAACATATATAAAAAACAGTAAAAAGGAAACAAAGGAACAACAATGTCACCCTTTCTACCAGAACTGTGAGAATTTATGAAATATTTTCTAACTAATATATATGATAATAAAAATGGGAGACAACAAGAAACTAATACTTTGCTTGAGTGCTTACAGTGGAACTAAGTTGGCATCTCTATTTTACCCATATTCAAAATATAAGCAAGAATATCATGGATTCTATTTTATTTAGACTTCCAGCAGAAGATATATGTTGGCCGGTTTTTGATCCTTGAAATGTATACAAATAATGAAGTATAAGCATCTCAAAGCAAAAACAACAAAACTAAATAAACTAAATAATTGTTTAACTAAAACTTTTTAGCAAAACAAAAAACAAATAATAACAGTAATAAAAAATACCAGGATGCAGCAACTGAAAGCAAAACTCAATGATGTCAAAATACTTGTGGCAATGCTTTCAAGACATAGAGGCAAACATGAAAAGGCCTCATCTGGAGCTGAAACTTTCTTTCCAATATTTCTGGATTCATACCAAGTAAGGCAGACTGCAGGACTTAATATTATATCAACAGGTAGACCAATATCACGTTCTACAACTTGTGCTCCTTCTTGTTCCATTTCAAGAATCTTTTTGTATGTGCTTCTTCTGGAAATGATCATTTCTTCAATGAAATTTCGAGTATTCACAATTATAACAGTGTTGCCAGAAAAAGCCTTGGACATGAAATTTTGCTTTGATTCAAGGCCCACTGGCACAGACTGAATTGGCATCATGTTGCAATGCTTAAAATCATATTCAGCGTCCACATGTTTGCCATGTGTCTCTTTCAAAGGGATATCACATATTAGCTCCTCCAATGTATTTTTGTTTTCTTTTTGGGCTAATGCAGATTTAAAATCCCATTTCTGGCACAAAATTAATAGAGATTAATTAGACAAAAAGAGTAATATGAATAAGTAAGCTGTACTCTATTATCCTTAATTCAAGACCATTCAATTAAGATGCAATAACTATGATACCACCCTTGAATCAACTTTACCCCCAACTTGTGTATATATTGCCCCAAAACATTACTGCCAGGCTTTCACAAGGGAATCTTTTGATATCTTATGTCAATACCAGTGTATCCCAAAATTAAATATTGTTTCTTAGAAGGCAAACAAAACCAGCCAATAGCTAAGAATAATAGTAAGATAAAAGCATGAAATAGAAATTTATAAACTTGCCATTTCAAATTCAATACTCTTATGCATGTCAACCCCATAAGTGAGAGTTTCGGCAATGCATGATCCCTTTAGTTCCACCTTGAGGAAATAAAGAGCGGGCAGGCTGTTTGACTTCGTGCAGATAGAGGATATTCTTGATGATATATTTGAGCCACCATATTCCAATATGAAACTGAATTTGTTGAAAGGGAATGAGGCCGACACAAATCTAGGAACTCAAAGGTAAATAAACAAAATGACCCGTCAGAAATTTTTTGATTGGTTGATAAATCAAATAAATCATTAGTAACTTAGGAAATACTGAGAAGAAGATTTTTTTAAGTACAATACTAAACCAGAAAAAAATACATAGATATATGCATATATATACATAATCTTCATGGAGTTGATACTTACTCATAAGATGCTAAGCAGCAAATGGAATTAAGAATAATATCTGTTATAGCATCTGCGATCCCTAAGCATGGATGTGGACATGAAGAGGTGCAAGAGTGCTGTGGTTCATTAAATGATATTTGCAAGGATATTAGCAGACTCTTCAACGACAGCAAGAAAATTTGGTCACAAACAATTAAAACTTTTGTTTTACTGTCATTTAATTCTGTCTTCAGAATTTCTTCCATGACAGATAAAGATGGATGGAGTCGTCCTGGCTCTTTCTCAGCTTTCAGATTTTCATCCCTAATCAGGTTATAAAAAGAATGCAATCTTGTTCTCAGGCACTGGAGGCTTGCAATTAGACCATCCACATATAGGAAAGTTGCTTGAATTCCATAGTAGCAAAGGTAGAAAGCCATCTGCTTAATTGTAAACAGCATGGCCAACACCAGAATATTATCATCATTTCGAGCCAAGTGAGTATTTAATGTAATTTTATTCTGAAGACATTGCATGAACTTTTCATTGGAAATGTTAAGTAGCTTCAAGTCATTGGAAGCTTGATATTGAGTTCGTATTTGTATAAACTCTTTGTCGTTCCCCAACATAGCCAAGAAATTTTTCCACAAACAATCTATCAGTCTCAGAATAACATCAGACAACCATATCTGATGTACCCTGACAGTCAACTTCTGCTGATCACCCCTGGAGGCAACAGGAGCAGCAGAATCATTAATAGACACAGGCACCTGACACACAGTATCAGAATTAACTGTCTTATCAACATGTTTACTTTCTGTTCCAGCAAGGTAATTACGCGGGTTCATGAAAAACTCGAGATCACTGGACATGGATTCACCAAGCATAGAAACATTCTCAACACCAGGTTTCACTAATAAATCTGCATTCATAATTTTTTCATCTCCATGATTTGGCAAGCCACTTGAATCCATTTTAGAAGCAGATTTGCATACTGAGACATCACTAGTAGAGAAGTTTGACTTCTCATTATAGTTTTCAGCATTTGGCTCAGCAGAGTGGCCTTCTGATAGAATAAAATCAAAGATTGTCTGTTCAATGTTGCTCAATTTGGTAGCAGGATCAATGGTGAAAGTATCTATCTCCCACAGTATTTTCTGACAAGAAGAATATTTTTCTGATTCACAATCATCTTCCAGAAAACACCAATCAAGGTACAAAGTATCAGATGCAGATGAAGATTTCCAATCCAACCGGGGAAATAATTCCTTGACCAATTTTTGTAATGAATAGTTGTTTTCATCATCTGAAAATATAGGTATGGGCAATGTTTTGAAAGAGTCATCCATAAGGGTAAGCTCATTACATACAATGAGTTCACTGAAACTTCTGAAGTTCATGGCTTCTCCAAATAGGGATTCACATGTTTCAACTTCCATCACCTTTGCTGCATCTGAAAATGTCTCATGGAAAATATATAGGTTTGCATCAATAAACAAGAATGCATCAAATGCAACAGGGTTCATCAACCAAATCAAATCATCATCTGATCCTTCAAGATGGTGTGTCAAGTACTCATGACACTGTGGTAGTTCTATAATGCTGATAAGATCCAGCTGTGATGCAAATCTGGAGTTGTCAAGGCACTGTATGACCAAAGGATGATGAAACAGATGCTTTATGAAGTCAAATTTGTTAGAACCCAATAGCTCCTTATTGTTTCTAAATATCTCGTCTGTTTGTTCTATCTCCTGATTTGGAACAGTACCAAAAATCAGAATCTCATCCAGTGTATATATTATTTTGAGAGTCTCCAGACTTTCAACATCCGCTTCAAAAATAGGAAATTTGATGTCATGAGAGTTAACTTCTTGCCGAAAAGAAGCACCTTCCAATAACAAATCAGACTTTTCCTCCATTGAGTATTCTGTATTCATCTTATCAACTGAATAAAGTACTCGTTCAATCTCAGCATGATTTTGTAATGTAACTTTAGAATTGAGTTGATCCTGCAAATTCAGTTAATGGAAATTGAATTCTTATGACTGCATATGGAACCAATTATCAATATGTAAAGGTAGTAAGGCATATTATGAGAACTTGACAGTCCTCAAGACTTTAATTCTTCATTAATGCAGATAATAGCAGAATATACAGCACTACCTGTATGTTACATATGGCTCTACAGTAATGCAGAACTAAAGCCAAGCAATATCATTGTATAGAACATTGAAGAGTTAGATTATATATCTTTCAGTTGATCTATGCAAGTAATGCATGAGCCATGAGATATCATCTACACCTCTCTCTTTAGTAATCAAACATGTCTTTGTTCCAGTGATCAATCTTAAATACCAAAAAGAGGCAATCAAACATTAGTTTCCGCTGGTTATAATGAAAAAATTAGGAGATCAAAGACTACGCTGAACAATACTGAAAATGGAAGTCCTAGAAATTCCAACATAATATTCAAGGACTTTACCAATGTACTTTCAAATTCTGGAAGTGGAGATAAAACGCACAACTGACCAAATTGAGAGTGGAAGGTACTTTTCTGCTGAGCAAAGAGAATAATTAATTGTCAGATTGATCATGCATAGGGAACTGGAAATCAATATGTTGAAAAGGAAACTAACAGGTGCAAGCATGGATATATCAGCCATCTCTGCAGTTTCAAATTGCATAAATCTAAGTCCATCTCCACCCTTATCATTGGAATCCTTTCCATCTTTCTCCTGAAATGTAATGAAACAGAACCTGAGATGTCAAACTTGCATTAAATAGTGCTGAAGGAATCTAGTAAGACAACTTAATTTGATACCCAAATATTCACAAAACCTTTTCACTTAATTCTGCAATGAAAAATACTCTCCCCATGGGTTTAGTTTCATAATTTATGAATAAAGTGCAGCTTGAAACCTCAAACTCCACAAGCATCTTCTCTTTTCAAGAATATATTATCTGTAAGGTAAAACTTGTACAGGATAACACATTCCATTCACGTCTGAAAATTTTTCTATATATTATATAGACATACTCGTTAGAGGATACTACAGAACAGTATGAAGCCAAAAATGTGTGAAGGTTGTAAATGAAGTTATATATTAGTATAGTCCTAGAGTACAAAAACATACGAAAACAAATCACAAACTAACAATAAAGTATTCGTGGTGAAACTTTCAGTGATCACTCCCTACTCCCGAGAGAAGTAATTTCGCCGAGCTACTTCTATATTTTGATTTAACGCAGTGAACATCAAATAACAACAAAGTTCCATGCATATAAACTTAAACAGAAGTACCAGCTGCATAGTTCGATACAAAATAATGATAATAAATAATCGCAGTAAGAATGTTCTCAAGCGAAACTGTTCATTACCTCCGAAAGGACAATCGCCTGCTTTTTCCGACTACTGTCAACCATCAGTTCCTCGACACCGCTACAATCAATGAGAGAAGGAAGGACATCGGATAAAAATATCGAAAGAGCATCGTCGATCGGTAACTTATCAACCTCACTGGAAATTCCAAACCAGGGAATATCATCGAATGTCGGCCAAAAATCTGAATAAGACGAAGGATAATCTCGGGGAGAAAGGTCTGGGAGAGGAAGAAGGTCGAAGCCTACAGCTTCGGACGGACCATCCCCGGCGGCAGTGGCGGAGTAATCAGTTGGAACAAAGCGAGTGCGCATTGTGTGAGCACTTTCGTTGCAAAAAGCGTCTCCGCTGTTAACATTTGAGAATATCTAACGGGCCGATTTTGCATTTATTCGTCTTGGCGGTTCCGGAGCGCGCCGTTGTAGATGTCCTCCAGTTAATTTTCCTGCGGTTCTGTACAGTGCGAATTTGTAAAACAAAATCCCGCTTTCATAAACGCCTCTTTGTTTTGCATTAACAAATTATTCTTAACGAATATATTTTGCTATAAATGAGATTCAATAATGCTCTGGCAAAAAGATCATAATAGAATAAACAAGCATAGTCCACAAGCACATGTAAAGTAGAACCATAAAAACAACACAGCTTTGTAATAAGTTATACAACTTTTAAATGGTACAAAACAGAAAAGCAGCAGACAAATCAGAGGAAGATTATTCTGATAATTCAACAAACAACTGCATGAAGCAGCAGACAAATACTTTATTTTCAAACTGATAACTCTGTTTTAGAGACCAAAATACCGTCGGTATCGGCATAAAGCCAATCCCCGTCGCAAATTCGGGTACCAGCAATGTTTATCGGGACATGCTTTTCTCCGATCCCTTTCTTGCTGGCTTTAACCGGATGCGCAGCTAGAGCTCTCACTCCAATGTCGCATCCATTGATTTCGTCGACATCCCTTATGCATCCATTGACTATAATGCCAGCCCATCCGTTGTTCTGAGCTTGCACGACTGGGTTGCCGCCTAATATCGCGCATCTCATACTTCCACCACCATCGACAACAAGAACTCTTCCATTGCCCCTTTCCTCAAGAAATTCGCGCACCAGAACATTGTCTTCAAACACTTTCAATGTGACAACTGGTCCGGAGAAGACTTGCCGCCTTCCGTATATCTGGAAAGTTGGATGGAGTGCCCGGAGCTCACCGCTCAGAATAAGTTGGGGATTTGCATCGCAAACTTCGGCAGTGGTTACTAAGGCCATCCCCGGATAGTAACCTTCACAAAAAGATGCATCATTAGTAGTTATTTATAACCTTTACAGTTTAATGACAACCAAACCCTTCCGGGAGAGTAATTCGTTCAATAAAAATATTTATTTCCTCATTCCACTTCCCATTTAACATACAAAGAAATACTTACAAGTTGTAGTGAAAGGAAAATTTTGTGCTACTTTGTATGGATTTGTGTCGACCCTAAACCCATGAAACATGTGGTGGGCAAGTTGTGTGCAACTAAACATGCTTATCTCTACATTGGGACATTCTGGCGTCTCAACTATCAGTTCTTACAAGTCTGTTTGATTAGTTTTTAACATATTTGCTTTGATATAAGTATAACATCAGAAATCAAGATTGCAGTGTAGAGCTGCATTTAATGCCGGCTCGCAGTCAAAAAACCAATTGCTGATCTTTTAATCCGAAAGAAAACCGATGCTATGCTTTAAGACTAGACAAAACAGGTGACACAACATCTTAGACTGAATCTGAGAAAACACTATTAAAATTAAAGGATTCAAAGCAATGAATCTGAAAAAACACTAATCAGAACAGTGGATTCATAGAGGAATGCCAGCAGGAATGAAATCCTAGAGCTTTTTTACTTCGATGTAGCTCAAAACCTTGTAACTTTGATAGCAAACAGTCACACTGTCCATGCCACTTCAAGGATTAGAAATCTGCCTAGGCTATGGATTCACCCGAGAAAATTTCTAGAGCGCAAGATTTAGAGTTATCCCAGCAATTCTCATCATCCTGAGGAATATCCAACTGACAATAATTGATACTAAAATGGCATCCACTGTATATAATAGCATTATCACAGCATTTCATTCATAGTGAATGAGACCTATCAAAGTGCACGCAGCTCCATGGTAAAGCAGTAACACTCTCTACCATCTGCAATCACTGAATAACTGTTGGGGTTAACTGTTTTTCCATCTTCACTGGCTGTGCTTTCGGATTAAAATTATATTATGAATCTAATCTACTTATGTTTGATCTTCACACAGTAAATCTCCAAATAATCAAAACAATACGCTTGTCAAACCAGTTTTCTTAATCAAAAACTAAACAGAAATTCACAAAACCTCCTAAAAAACAAAAGAAAGAAAGAAAGAAAAAGAAAAAGCACCGAGCAGTTGAATTTCAAGTAAGCATAACCGTAACGAAGAGATCGGAGTTGCTTACGATCACAAGCACGACGAAATACTGCGTAGCTCCTCCGCCGAAGCACTTACACAGAAGAACAGCAAATTAACCGCTGACTGGTGGTAGACTTCAGCGGTTGAAGACTCGACGGCGATCAAGAAGATCACTGATCCGATTGGAAGGCCCTGATAGCCATTACCATTTAAAGTCATCAATTTTTTATTTTTTATTTTTTATTTTTACTTTTTATTTTTATTTTTTCTCCACATAACTTTTGAAAATGATATAAAAGACCCCAGTTGCTCTTTCCTTGGCAGGTTCTCATCTTCTTTCTTATAAAGCGTGCGTACAGTACAAATAAAGTTCACGTGTCCTACTATGTAATGTCATTTTGTTTATTTAATGTGAGAGGCAAATAAAGCAAAATAGTTTCAGGGTGTATTCATATAAAGATGTTTTGAAATTTTTTTCGTAGTTATTCAACGATAATATATATACATATATTTTAGTATCATATTAAATATTTTATATTTTATATTTTTTTTAAATTCTCGAGACTCTTAGGTGGCGTTTGATACAGAAAATAAAATTGTAGAGAAAAGAGAAATAAGAATAGATAATGGAATTAGAGAGAAATGAAATTGAGCAGAGAAATAAGAAATTCTCTTACTTGGTAAAATTGAGAATTCAATTGAGAAATGTATATAAAAAAATGCACTATATGAATGGATCAAATAATAATAAATGATTAATATTTTTGGTGACTTTTATTAAAAAATATATATATAAATTATATACAATATTTTATATTTTAGTATAATTTTTTAAAAAATAGTAAAATTTAAATACTTTAATATATATATGAATAAGATAGTACAAAAAAGATTTTAAAAATTAAAAAAAATATATACCACTATATATTTTCTCTCCATTTTTTTGCATATAGAAGAAAAATAAAAATAGAGAAATATAAATAATTTATTTATCAAGTTCTATTTCTCTGAATCAAACAAACAAGAAAAATGAGACCATTTTCATTTCTCTGATCTCATTTTTTTTTTGTACCAAACACATTTATTTAAATGTAATCCTATTTATGGTATTTGTTAGAAATTTTGAAGAAAAATGGTATTTATATATTTTCTCTGAGATAATATGTGTATTTACTTGTAAGGTTTTAGTTTTGGGTTTTGATTTTCAATAGTAAAATTTTGAATTGAAATAGTTATTTGATGTGATATAAATGTGTTGATATGATGTTTTGAATGTAAAATTAGATTTTAGTGTAATAAAATAAATAAAAATTTGATGTTTTTAGGAAAAAAAAAATTGAAATAGTAAAATCTGGTGTAAAATCTAACAAATAAACACATTCAATTATTTTCATTAGAATTTTAAATTTTTAGGATGTATGCTCATATACCAACAAATCACTTACCATATTATTTATAATGTTATGGTAGAAACTATTATATTAAAATTTATTTTTTAAATAAAAATTTTATTTTTTCATACTCAAAGTATCTAAATATCCAAATATTTGTTTTTGCACAAAATATTATATTAGTATACAGTATAAATAAAATTAAAATGACAAAAATAGCTTTATTAATGTTATAAAATAAAAAGTATAATATATTTTAAATTGTAAATATATTTTTAATATTAAATAGATAATATAGTTGCTAAAATAAATATATACATTTTATTATAGAATAAATTAAAATAAAAAAATAAATAATTTTTTAATCTGCCGGAGGAAATATTTCATATACAATATTTTTATTGTTTCTAAAAAACCATTGTTTACATATTTAATTTACTTATTTTTTTTTTAAAAAAAAAATTTAAATTTGATATTTTATAATGGAAATAATATTTTTACAAAAATTTGCTATGCGATGTTTCCAAATGCTAATGTTATATTTTTTTTATCCGTTAAAATTATATAGATTTGTTTAATACAAAATATTAAGAAATAATATTTTAATGTTAAAATAGATATAAAAAATAAAATTACAATATTATAAAATATTTATTAACTGATTAATAAAAAGTAGTGTAAATAAAAAATAATAATAATAAAAAAATAAAACAAATTAGATCTTTTGGTTATCTCTTAATGTAATTTGTGTTTATCACATGAGAATTCGCGATTACTATTAAATGAGTGCATTTTAGGTTAACTCTCGACTAAATTTAATAGTCTACGGACTAAAAGTGACCATATGTGATAGAAAAAAACTCTAAGACATAAAAAATTTGAACCTATAACTTCTCACGAATCATTCTCATACCATCGATCATCTCTTTCGAAATATATAAAGACATATGATTGTTGGTGACCAAAATTTTGATTCGACCATTTAGACCAATATTACTATAATATTGCAACTATATTTTTGTAAAATAAAAATTAAGAATATTGCAAAGTAAAATAAATTTAAACAAAAATAAATCAGACATAATAGAGTCTAAATAGTAATCTACCGTATCCTAACAAAATATCCATTTAATATAAAAATATTAAAATACTAATAAAAATATTTTTATTCTCTTTGGTCCCAGTATAAATTTTTTTATCAATTTTGGTTCTAATATAACAAAAACTTATCATTCTTTATTTCAATATAAAAATTTTATGTTCAAATATAACTAAAACTCATATTTTTATCCCAATATAATCAAATTTTATCATTTTTTATTTTCACACAAAATATTTTTGGATGTAAATGTTTATTTCAACAGATGCCACAACATATTTTAATTTCAATTCAAAAAAATTGTATACGACACGATTCAAAACCAATTTAAAATCAAATTTGATGAAAAGAATAAACACGACCGACTTTTGATTTGAATTTCGAATCAATCCGCAAAACATTTTTGATTACACGTGGCACAAACCAAAACACGTGTAACGAGCACATAGCTGCGTAACCGCCATGTCTATGTGACCTGCCTGTTTCATTTCTCCCGTATTTCCCGCTGCTTTTGTTCTTATCCTCTGCGCCTGAATATATATATACCCGCGCAAAATTCTGATTTCAGATGAATCACTCGGTAGAACGCAGTGGAAAATTCTGTGTTGAGATTAAGATATGGCGCAACTGCAACCCCCTTCGCATGATCGTCATCTTTATGAAGAAGATCCTCACGACGTTGGTGTGCATTCGGGTGAGACGAAACGTTTAACTTGCTCGGCGTACGGCATTGAAGTCTATGTTTAATTTTCTGCCTGTGTTTTCTAGTTTGGTTAACCAACTAAATCGCCGTATTGGATTTTGTTTTGATTTGTTGAAGTGGCTGAAGGTGAAGGAGAGCACAATCGTCACAAATCTGTACTGAAAAAGGTAAAGGATAAAGCGAAGAAAATCAAACACACAATCACGAAGCACGGCCAAGAGCACGAGGAACGACACGATCAGATTTCCGAGGACGAAGATGACCGTGAGGATGAAGAGATGGAGAATGATCCAGAAGTCCACGGCGCACCTAGTACGATCACTCATCTTATTTTACCTAATTTATTTGTTTTCTCGGCTCCATAGCTAGTTGTTCATTTCGTTATCAAATTGTTTGTCTGACATTAACAGATACACAGATTTTAGTTCTCCAGGGATTTTCAATCCTTGCTCGGTTCGTAAACTATAATTCGAGTGATTGTTAAATTTCACGTGTTTCTACTTTCTAGTGTACGAATCTACTGTCATAAGAGGAACGAATCTGCCCAAACAAACTGATGTCGACTTGCCAAAGCCAACTGATACGCCGGAGAACAAGTCCTTTCCTAATGTAAATACTCCTACTGTAGGAGATGCAGTAAATAGACCTTCTGGTCCGGCGGTGGAAGGTGACCTGGGGAGGCCGGCGGCGGAGCTCCGTCAGCCGGCAACTTGGAAACCCCTCGAAGCCGTCCCCAGTTCGACTCAACCAGAAGAAACAAATATGAATGTGCCTAGAGTTGGACCACTCGGAGGCTTACATGAGGATCCAAATTCTCCATACAACTCACCTCAAGGAATTACCCCCTCAAATTATCAAGCTAAAGTCGTTGATCCGACAGGGAGAAGTAAACAATACTCAGGATTCTCTCCACATAACACTAATTTTCTTTAATTTCTTTCCTCTGTTAACTGAGTTTGATGATTTAATATGTAGAAGGTGAAGAAGTAGATGTTGAACCACTAGTTCGACATTTAGACAAGATGGAAGTTCGTGATAAATCCACGGCGAACCCTTCACCGAAGTCTGAGCAGTACACGGGAAGCCATGATCAGTTTGCTCCACAAGGGAATCCTCCACAGGATATGTTCAAGCAAGAATCAAACCCAGGCCGTGGAAGTGCTGAATCAGCCTTGAAGAAATTGACCCCTGACGAGCCTGATGCTATGCCTGTCGATACTTCAGCGGGAAAATTATCTTCCGCAGCGAATATCATAGCAAATAAAGCAGCAGCCGCCAAGAATTTGGTTGCATCGAAGCTTGGATATGGCGATCAGGGCCATGAAAGCCTGGGACCTTCTAAGCTGCCTGCAACAGGGGATGTGCATAAAGAGGTGGTAATAGAAGGGACTGATAAGGGCGTGTCTGTGAAAGAGTTCTTGGTGGAGAAACTGAGTCCAGGAGAGGAGGACAAGGCGCTGTCGGAGGCGATTTCTGAGGCGTTCAACAAGAAAATGGGGGAAATGCAAGGGACGAAGGATGTGCCTAAGACAGGGAGAGTGTTCGAGTCGGAAGAAGTGGCGGCCCGTTTGGGGACGGGTCGGGAGAACAGAAGGGAGGGTGAGGATGCAATTACTGCCGGAGCTGAGAGCTCCGGCGCCGGCGTCATGGATCGCCTGAAAGATGCTGTCGGATCTTGGCTTGGTAAAAGCACTGCGACGGAGACGGCCAAAGAGTCCATCGCACAGTCATATGGTGAGTTTTTGTTTGTTTTTTTTTTTAGATTATGTTTCTACACATTTGATTTGACCTATTTGTGCATCGATAGTGAGTGATATAGGTTCCACCGCCGGCGCCGGCGACAAGGGGAGGCTGCAGGAGTCGGGCAAGTGAGTGAATTTGGTCTCTGAGAAGTGGGAACAAAGAGCAATGCAGCGACTATTTTGAGTATGAAGTTTGTTATACATGTGATAATGCTACCGAACGATCAGTTTGCTTTCCTTAATGTAAAAATGTTATGCAATATAAAAAATATACTATATATTTATATATGTGTGTGTATATTAAGATTGAATACTATGTTACGACTTTGACGTGACACTCATTTGGTGGTAGACAGATGGCAGGACGAGCAGGGATGGGCCCCATAAAGTCCCTGGCCCAACCCTGGTGAAGGTAGGTTATCTTTTCGTAGCATGCCAGCATGTCATCACCATATTTTATAGTACACAAAAATATTTAAATATGTTAATCGCCTCGAAAATGACCTATGATGTATATATTCCAGTAAAAGAATTCCCTGAAAACGAAATGCAATAATGGACATATTGAAGTTGAAGTAGATACAACAATTTATTCCACATGTAACTTCGAGGGTGTCTGCTTCTTACCATCCATTCCAAGGCTCTCTTTCCTGTGTGATCCTAATTTGCTGCTAGGCTTACAGCGAGCGTGTAAACCTTGCCCATTTTCTTAACTACTTTCTTTACCAAAGCAACCACGTCCATGTCTCCAACCACTGTCAGCTTCTGGTTCTCCACTTCTGCAGCAATGGAATCCACACCTGTTTTGATCTTAACATCATCACAATATGTACACACATACAGAAAAGACCGATCTCTCTAAAGTTAAATGGGACACCCCAAAAAAAAGATATATTTTTATACAGACCAAGGATATCAGCGGCTGCTTCCATGGCTTTCTGCTTGGTTTTCTCATCTTTCATGGTCGAAACTCTCAGTATCACCTTCTGCGATGCCATCATTAAACATTAAGCAAGAAAATAAAAAACACGCAAAAGCCAGTGGAGTTAGCGAAGAGTGTAGTCAGGTGAGGATTAGATGTATAGAGACAGTACCTGAGCCATTGAAGAGATAGAGGAGAGCTTTGGAAGAGGATACTTTGGGAGCATTTATTTATATCTTTGGCTTTTGGGGACACCTACCACACTCACCGTTCATGGAAGAAAATAATATTATACCCGTCGTCATATAGGGATACGTGATCCAAAGTGTTTCTATGTGTTAATTTTTGGGAGTTTGAATTTTGAGTTGATATTTGAATATAAAAAATAGTTCTTTGATTTAATATTTTTGAAAAATAAAATAAAATGATTAATGTATTTAAAATTCAATCTCTGAACAAATACATCTCTAGTTTATTTATCACACATAATTCACTTATTATGATTGAATTTAGTTGTAATTCCCAATTTATACTTACTTTTTTATATATATAAAATATTATATTTATATTATTTAAATTTAAAATAAAAATCAAAATAATTATGTTTGGAAATTTGGATTTTGAATTTGGAAGTTCGAATTTTGAATCGAAATTTATATTTATATTATTTAAATTTAAAATTTAAATTTTTTTCTCAGTGTTTATTCGGATATTAGATTAGATTTTCACAGTTCATTCTATTTTTTTTTTTCATAAAGTAAACAAATCCCTAGGCTGGAAACGTTTAGTCTATAAACCCAATAAAATAAAATCCAATAAAAACTAGATGGGCTTTAAAACATCTATAGGTCTATAATCGAGCCCAATTAATATATATTAATAAAATTGAAACCTAAAACCCTTGCCATCATCGATTATCTCGTTTCGACTGTCCTTCGTTTCTGAACTTTTTGAGCAGGAAAAGAGAACTAACTAGAGAAGAAGGGAAGCAACAATGGTGAGTAAAAGGCAAAAATTGGCGAAAAAACGATATAAAGAAGAGCACCCAGAGCTTTTCCCAAATCCAGAGCCAACGCCACCGAAAGACCCGAACAAGAAGAAGAAGAAGAAGAAAAACAGCAAGTTCAAGCGCACCAAAGCAGATGGCAGCGATTCCAATAAACCGAAGAAATCGTCGCACAAAAAGCATCCGCTTCGAGTCGCTGGAATGAAGCCAGGCGAGAGCTGCTTTATCTGCAAAGCGCCTGACCATATTGCTAAGAATTGCCCCAAAAAGTCGGAGTGGGAAAGGAACAAGGTTCGATTTGATGTTTTCCTTATCTCTTACATCATCTTTACTGCCTATTTTGGATGTCCATTGCATCGGTGAAGAAATTAGGGTTTCTATTTCTCCACTTTCTTTTATTTTATTGGTCTGGAATTGTATGAGGTCTAATTTCTCGTCTCATTCATTCTGCAAAAGGAAAAACATATGAATTGCATCAAAATTCCCACTTCAATTTGAATCTTTACACGAGGAATTGTGAAATATGATGTAGGGATATGGGAATTAGCTTATCTTACAGTTTTACATAATTTTGTAGATCTGTTTGTTTTGTCGACAAAGGGGACACAGTCTCAAGAGATGCCCCAACAAGAATGAGGAACCAATGGATAAAAAACTGTGTTATAATTGTGGAGAGATGGGGCATTCCTTGTCTCAATGCCTGCAGCCTCTTCAAGATGGTAATTAAGCTTCGATAAGCTGCTTACATTCAGTTTTAATCATTATGTAGATGTTGTTGCAGCCTTGCAGGTGCAATTTATTCCCATTGTTTGGAATATATTTTTGTTAAGTTATTTGTTCCAATTTCTCGGCCCACTTAACAAATTGTGAATGTTTCTTTCCAAGTTGTTTATTTGCATGTTTTCGGAAATAATTATGATAAGACACGGTGTTACTGACTGGTTTCGAAGTGCTTTTAGCCTCGCGCGGCCTGGTTCTTGTTTTGCATTGAAGATGAACTTTTTAAGCTATTGAAAAATAGTACTTTGCAGTTGTTAGTCTTAGGCTAATAGTTCAATGCATCGAATAGAAAGTTCATTTTGGCCCTTAAGTTAAAGGATTGGAGCATTGGCAGAATTACATTGATTTTTAATTCGAGGTTCTTAGGGGAATTCTGCAAATTTTTCTGACTAATTCTAGAAGCACTCTCTCAAGTCAGGAAGATTTTTAATTTACCCGATTCTAAAAATTCCATTTCTTTATTGGCAATTTAAGCCTATTGAAAAAGGTAGGTATTTTTACTGTGAATTTACCTGTTTTCATGGTTGTTGTGGTGCAGGAGGAACAAAATACGCGCAATGCTTTATATGCAATGAAACAGGGCACTTGAGTAAAAATTGCCCCAAGAATACCCATGGAATCTATCCAAAGGTGCGCCATCTTAAAACATCAGAATCACTTACTCCTTACGTCATATTGTGCATGAATGCCTTTCATGATACAATTGCAGTTCTTGCGACCCTAATGTACATTAAGATTGAACTATCTGTTTCAAGAACTGTTTAGTAGTTGTCTGAATACTCGACTGCAAACTTATTCTGCAGGGCGGATCCTGTAAAATATGTGGCGGTGTGACGCATCTGGCCAGAGATTGTCCCAATAAAGGCATCAGTAATTTTAATTCAGGAGGTATTGTGACCAAATTGTTCATAGGTATATAAACAAACATCATTGTTTTCTTTTCATGTCATGAATCGGACGTTTGTTCGTAGCAGATGTACCTGTTCCACAACGGCTCAACCGGGTCACCAAGTTCGCCAGTGGAGATGACCTCGACGATGACTTCACGCCTGCAGTTCCGGTCGATGATGAAGATAAAGATTCCAAGGCCAAGAAAAAACAGGGCCCAAAAGTGGTCAATTTTGTCTCTTAGATAGTTTCTATAGTACATGATGCTGGCAAGCACATATTTTTTGTAGTTTGTTGTGATTTATTTCGATAAATTATGTAAAATCAAAACTATTTAATTTTACGTCTTTGTATTACAATCTTTGTAGCTGCTAATTAAAGCAGTGCTAGTTAAAAGAAGCGTTAAAATAATGTGAAGTCGTGGGCACGTTTTTAGACAGGCTGTGTAGCAACTTTTGGCAATTGAAAGGTGGAGGGAAGTGCAGGGATTGATTCTTGACCCTTTATTTTCTTCTTCTTCCCCGCGTTTCCCTCTCTTTTAAAAGCTACCAAAATTCCTTGCGATTTTTAATCTCTTTCATTTCCTCAATCCTGCAGCTGTTTGGAAGGCGTCATGGTAATGCTGAATTAATTCTTCTTCTTTTTTCCTATTTTGGTTCGTTCGTTTGTGATTATTGCTTGTGAGGAGAAGATTTTGTGTCTAATTTTTCCTGCGCTGCAGAATTTGTTGATTGGAATTTGTGTTTTAGGTTTCTGGCCTGGTAAGTGTCGAATAGCATCGTCCTCTTATTTCCGAAAAATGAATTTGATTATTTGTCGAACTTAATTGCTCATTGGCGATTCTGCAAATGATTTCGGAATAATTTCATGGTCTGTTTAGTGGTAGATTATAGGCTTGTCCATTTCCTTTGGTGGACTTTGTTTGGATGATTTGTTTTATTTATACCAAAAATTAATTTTATCTATTTAAATTCAATTTTTATTATTCAAATCAAAGTTCAAAATCAAAAACACCATACAAACACACCTCTCATTCTGCAAAGAAACAAGTGTTGTCGAATTACAAGGCATGTTTTCATGTATTGATGAAATTGCTGGAATATTCCATCCACCAATCCGTACTTTATTTACTGCAGTTCTGTGTGTGTTTGATTCGATTCAAGAAGATTGAAACCAATGAGAGTTTTAATCACCAATTGTGGCGTTCGATTTTAGGCAAACTCTGCATCTGGAGTGGCTGTGGTGGATGACTGTAAGCTCAAATTTTTGGAGCTAAAGGCAAAAAGGAACTACCGCTACATAATCTACAAGATCAAAGACCAAAATGTGGTGCCAGACAAACTCGGCCAGCCAGGCGATAGCTACGATGATTTCACGGCCTCTCTCCCTTCCGACGAGTGCCGCTTTGCAGTCTTCGATTTCGACTTCACCACCACCGAGAATTGCCAGAAGAGCAAGATCTTCTTCATCGCCTGGTAACTTTTGTATCCGAAAAACAATTTACAGTACTGCTATAAATATCAACATAATTACTCAAATAATTATTCTCAGTAGTCATTTATGAGAGGATTTGATCTTCATCCGATCTGATGTTCTGATTTGATTGCTGCGTAAATGTTATCGGCTTAGGTCGCCGGAGACATCCCCGGTGCGAATGAAGATGGTGTATGCTAGCTCAAAGGATAGATTCAAGAGGGAACTTGATGGCATTCAGGTCGAATTGCAGGCAACAGATCCCAGCGAAATGAGCTTCGACATCATCAAGGAACGTGCCATTTGAAGTAAACTTTCTCTTTCTAGAGTTTATGTGTTTTTTTTTTTTTTTTTAATTGTTTATTTTATCAGTTCATATAATTGTGTGGTGCAAATTTATGAATTTATCGTTCTTGTAATGATAACTTTATATGTTCAAATTTTGATCTTTTTTTATGCTATTGTCAGATTGATCGTAGCTTAGAAATTCATCCAATAGGGACACTCTAATAATAATACTAATATTCATTCCAAAAAACAATAGTATATATTTTCCTGGGAGTAGTGTATCATGGGGTCAACAGACAACCCCTTTATTCATCTCTTCGGACATCTTTTCTAGTACTAGAACAAACAATAGATTAATTACTCTAATATAAATATATATAGTATGTATGTATGTGTGTATTCCATCTCCATCAAGAAAACCCATAGTAGCACGTATACGCAAAATTAAAAGAACGCCGGCTCCGGCGCCGGCGCCGGTCCGCCGGAGTAGAAACCAACTCCCTTAGGCCCTTCCGGCGCCACCGCGGCGGATCCAGAGCTTATCAGCTCCGCCATTTCCCGGCGACCGTTTTTCCTCTGCGCCTCGCAGAATTTGGGAAGATACACTCCTGCACCAGCACCAATCAACCATTAATTAATTAATTAATAATTAATTAAATTAAATATTAATAATAAAATTGGTGCATTGCATGCCTTCCCCAGCAGCAAGGTTGAAGTAAAGATCGACGATGTTGGGGCAGCCATGGTAGCATTGGTGTGAGCAGAGCTTTTTCGCAAAATGCGACTCTAGCAGAGAGTCTGAAGAAATCCCAAGCGCGCTTCTATCCACCCCACACGCTTTTACACACTCCTCACTCTCCACCCAATCCTTCACCCCCTCCGCCTCAATCTCCGACTCCCGGCAAGCATACTCCTCCTCCTCCTCCTCCGCCGCGGCGCCGCCGCGGCTCCGTCGTCCCCCCACCGCCGGCGACGCCTGCTTCTCCAGAACACACCTCTTCCCGCTCGACGACACCGCGTACGCGCACGACGTCTCCTTCAAATCCTCGCACTCGATCTTCCCACCTACATTATAATATATACAAATTAATTTATAATTAGTATTATTACTAAACCTAGAAAAATAAACTTACCTAATGAGGCCTGCAAGAACATTGCAAGGCTTAGAGCCATGGCCAGAGCAACAATGGTCGTCTGCGCCATTGAGAATGGAGATTCGTTGCTCTGTAGAGAAAATGGAGACGATGGTTATATATATAGTGTGGTAGCAATATGGAAACACAAAATGGTAGGAGTATTTATTTATAGATGGGGGCATTGGTACAGTAGAAAATTAAAACATTTGACTATTGACCCTTTACCACCAAATTTGATTATAGTTTAATTAGCCCATTAAACACTCCATTGATGGAGGAATAATTTGTTATTTGTTCTTGGCTTGGCTTCCACAAAAATGAACAAAATTAATTTAACATTTTTTATGTTGTTTCTTGAGGTTGAATCGAAATATGGAAAGGGAAGTGTGTTTGATTATGTTGTTGGTTAGTGGCATTGATTATGGGAGTTTGGTGGCTGCTTCTAATTGGTACAACTTTCATTTATGGCACATGCAATGTAATGCATCAGCTCAATAATAATAAAACATAAAGTATAGGATGTGTGCATGGAAATTGACGCGTGGATGCATGGGCCTTACTGTAATTTAATTTAACGTACATTTGCGGTGTGTTGCGGAAATATTATGGGACTATTTTGAAATTTCGATTGATTTTGAAATAGTTGTAAAATAATTTGTTTAGATAACGATTTTTAGAATTATGAAAATAATTTGAAATTTTAATATTGATAAATAGTGTTAAAATTTTAAAAAATGTGCATGTAGTTATAATGTAAATATTTGATGTGCGAAAAATATTGAATGTAATATTTTGAATATAAAATTACTCTTTTTGTTAATTATAATATAATTATGCCATTTTTTTTTTTTAAATAGTAGCTGAATTGTGATTTTTTTTTTAAAAAAAAATATTGATAAATTTTTAATAATAAATTATATTTGAGAAACATACAAATAAACAAACACAAATCGATAAATAGAATTAATTATAAATTAAATACAAGAATAAGAATAAGAATGAGAATAAAAAATAAATGAAATTATAACATTGAATGAATCCACGAAGTGCCGAGACCGACACAGTGAAGTAATTCCGTGGACTCGTTCGTGATTATAAATTACTATTATTATTATTATTATTTTTATTTATTCACTGATTTTCAGTTCATGCTAGGAAAGCCTGTTTACTTCAATTTTTTCCAATCTACAGCCTTTGGGTGATCGACACGTGTCTTGACCACACAGTAGACGACATGTTTCTTGTCTAAATCAAATCCCGATTCCACGTTTCCAGGAATGCTTTTATTTTTAATTTTTTGAACTTTAGTTTTATTATTTTCAAACTATTTTTAAAATTAATTTTATTAATATTAATATTAATATTATTATTTCGACTTTGAAATAGTATTCCTTTTGCGGTGTGAGAATTAATTAAATTGAATTTGAATGTAGCGTGATTTGCGGTGCCGGGTGGGGTGGGGTGGGGTGGGGGCACTGTTGCTGTTTATTTTCGGAAAATATGTATATATTTATTTATATACATATATTTGTTTCAGATGCACAGCAGCATTTATTGACGATGACTCAGCTCATATCTAATTATTTCTCCACATAAATAATATAGACAATATATAAAGTCTACTACCTAACCGCTTTTATTACATTACTGTTACACTATTTTTATTTTTATCTGTCACTTAATAATGGACACTTTTATATTTTTGATAAATATTATTAAATCAAAATATATTTAATAAATATTAATTAATTACATAATATATATAACATCATAAATGATTCAAGATTTACTTAAAAAAATTTTATTTTGATTTTTCTCCTAAAATATATATATATTTTTATCTATATTTAAAACTACATATCTTTTATAAAATTAATCTATATTAATTATAAATAAACAAAAATATATTTTTATTTACTGATATTATAGAAAATTTTATTCTCTGCAAAATGATATTTATATTATATATATTTTTTAATTGCTATATAATTTTTAAATATTTAAACATATATTTTGATTTTTTTAATCATATATATTAATTTTACTTTAAAATTATATATTATTAATTATATAAAAAATAATATAATAACTAATTATTATTAACTAATTAAATATTTTTACTTTAAAGATAGTGTCCCTAATAAATTGTTTAATTTCGGTAGCACGGAGGGAGTATAATATAAAATTTATAAAATTTTTATTTTTTAAAAAATTTGTTCTCACACATTTTGGTGTATCTGTTAAATATTATAATTCTATAGAGTATTACACACAATTATTGAAATAACAAGATAAATCTTGACTATTATTTTTTTTAAAAAAAATTATAATCTTCATAAATATATAAAAGAAGGTACTAAACCCCACACAATTCCTACCTGTTTTTGCATTCTTTAATTAAAAACAAAAATAATGGTTCTCATCGAACTTTTTTTTTTTTTTAATCTTTAAATCTAATTTAATACTACTCAATTTATATAATTTTTTTTTATAAAAATAATAATTTTAAATTAAAATAAAACAATTAGGTATGTTCCAACTAGTTGACTGCTAAACTCTTTTATTATTATTATTATTATTATTATTATTATTATTATAATAAAGTAAGACTCGTTGGGATTAACTTAAAAAATAAGCAAAATTAAAAGCAGAAGCTGAAGCTGAAGTCAAAAGTAGAGCAGTTAAATTTTATGTTTAGATGAATAATTATAAAAACAGTTTTTTATAAAAATTATTTGGATATAATAAAGTTAAAGTACTTTTAAACCGTTAAAATTATCAAATGGGACATAATCGTGTAAATAGTATATTATTTATTAAAATTTTCTAATTTATTTAGAATTTTATAAGTTATATTAAAATTTTTAATTATCTAAACTAATTGAAAATATATTTATTAAATTTTATGTATAAACTATATTTGTATTTTGTTATTTTTTATAAAAATAAAAATTAAAAATATAATTCAATGTAACTAATAGTACTATTTTACAAATAATTCTAACTTTATAAATTATATTTAAAAATATTAAATTATCTACTATACAAGTAAAATCTATATTTTTAAATTTTGATATTTTCAATCATAAATTTTAAATTTAATTAAAATAAAATATATAAATTAATAATTAAAATACAATAATATTTAAATTTTATATCAATGAATTATTTTTATTTTTATTTTATTTTATTATTTGATTTTTTATTATTATTAGGGTTAAAACTGTAATTTAGAGAGTAAACTGCTTTTACTTTTTTCAGAAGCACCTCCTCAGGTGCTTCTCAAAAAAGTACTTTTGGAACCTAAAAACTGCTTCTACTTTTGAGAATAAGCCAATACAAATATTAGTTAATGTTTATTTTAGAAATAGAAGCCAAAAATATTTTACAGAAGTCATTTCAAACAGCCTAAATCTATCCATGATCTAAATTTACTACCACACCAACTTGGCAATCCATTGCAGGGCAATTAGATATATTTATTTATTATATATTTATTTATTTTTTTAATAAATTTATATAGAAATAAATCTGTATTTTACAAAATAAAGTACAAAATATCAAAATCATCTTACATAATTTCACTAATAAATCAAATATTATTATTTTTCTTAATCTATTACAAAATTTGAAATAACTCATTTGAAAGACGAGATAGCGACTAAAATTCAAAATCAAACAAACAAAAAATGCGGAAGTATTTAATTAGGTAATCTTGTTGACAAATACCTAACATTTTAAGCAATTCCTATGAATTTGTCTTTAATGACTTCATTTTATTTTAATCAAAAATAAAATTAGGGTGTGTTTTTTTGAGGTATTTATTTTTATTTTAATATTTTAAAAATAAAATAATTATTAAATATAATATATTGCATAAAAAATTGAAAAAACATTATATTGAAAACTTATATAACTAAAAATAAAAAAACTTAGATAGAATAAACTTTAAATATATATTTTTTAGTCAAAAATAATTCAAATAATTTGACTCTACAGTCCACAGTCATTTCACGTATTTCGTAAGTTTGTCCAAAGACCAACTTTTGTAAGAGAAATGTGACGGCCCAATACGGTAAGGGTGTGTTTGTTTGGGGTTTGGATTTTGAGTTGGGATTTGAATAGGAAAAATTTTGAATTTGAATAGTTGTATGATGTGATATAAATAGGCGTTGATGTGATGTTTTGAATGTAAAATTGATTTTTAGTATTATATAAAAAATAAAAAATAAATGTTTGATTTGATATTTTTTTAAAAAAAAAATGAGATAAATAGTGAAAATCTTCAGAGATCCTTCAAACAAACACACCCTAAGTACACTTCTGGTTTTCCTTATGCTAGAAATTATAAAACATCTTATTTAAATTATTTTAAAATTAAATCACCAAATAAAATTCCAAATTAGCAAACCCTGGCAATTATAAATAAAATATTAATTATTTTAAGCTCAGTGTATTCAGAATTTAAATTTAAATTTATTTACTATATAAATAATAATTTCATGTTTCCCTTGTCACCAAATTCAATGTTCCCGCCGTGTCGTAACAAAAAATTTATTTTTTTATCTTAATATATTTTATATCAAAGTATTTATTTTTTTTAGTAACTGTACTATCTACTTAATATTACAAATACCCTTACAATTTACAATATATTACACGTACTAATAACACGTACTAATAACATTATTTTAGTCGTTTATACTTTATTCTTACTACATCCAAATATAATACTAATATTTTTAAAATTACTTGTAAAAAGTAAATAGATATTTATTTATGGAAAAGAGGGAGTATTACAAACTATTAAAACCAATAAATCAAAACACAAGACCAAACCTACAGTAAATAATTTTTAAATACATTATTCTGCAATAAAATTTTATAATTGTTAATATTAATCCCTAATTCAATAAGGTGGAATTGGATGTAATGTAGATTTTAAACCAGTTGATTTTATGATGATTTTTCATGAAAATAAATTATTTTTACTTACAAAATATTAAATTCAATCTATCTTTTAAATCAAAAATAGAAAAATAAAAATCACCGAATAAATACACTTTAAAATATCATAAATCATCCAAAATACAAATACATTAATCAAATTGCAACATACTTATTTCATCTTCAATGTCACTATAAGAAAAAAT